TTCTCTATTTGTCATCACTATCTCTATATGGCTTTTTCCGTACGCAACTTCGCTATGTGGCCACAACATTTGGAGTCATACAGAGGAAGTCTCAACCTGAGTGGAGATGTAAGGAAAGTCGCATCTGGAGTTATATAGAGAATGACCTGGAGTTATAGAGAATGACCTGGAGTTATATAGAGAATGACCTGGAGTTATATAGAGAATGACCTGGAGTTATATAGAGAATGACCTGGAGTTATATAGAGAATGACCTGGAGTTATATAGAGAATGACCTGGAGTTATATAGAGAATGACCTGGAGTTATATAGAGAATGACCTGGAGTTATATAGAGAATGACCTGGAGTTATATAGAGAATGACCTGGAGTTATATAGAGAAAGTCACAGTGAAGCCATATACTGTAAAACCGGAAAGTCTACTAACGAGTCACAAAGTCTAACGTTTTAACGACCATTTTTTTTGTTATTTGAAAAATCGTTATCGCTAGATGTCTGTGTAAAGATGCGCATACAGATGGGTGGCCAGGTAGCCATCGTTAATCTTTCTGCACGTAATCATGCCAAAATTACAAAAAACTTTAAACTTCTTGGTCGTTACCGGGTTTACAGTAGGCACGAAGTAAACAGGTGATGACATATAGAGGAGTGAACACATATAGTGTGCTGGTGGACTACTGAGTGCTACAAATACTAGGGAGGTTTCGCTCTACGTACTTACACATGAACATCCGCATGTGTATGCATGTGTGTAGGTATGTAAGAGTCTGGTATACATTGCACATGTGCACCATCGTGTTCATGTGCAGGTGCGGACAAATCTGCACAATATTACACTGACTACCGTTTAACGAGAGAGCTTGGAAGCTCAGGGCCCTACGCTATGCTTTTTTGCCTTGATGACCTAGACAAAAAGAGCATACGGATGTTATAAATTCATACAAATTTTTCCTTTTTTTTTTAAAGACATAACCTCGGATTTGAATCCGCTCTATCGCCCTGCATGCATCCCCCGATACACTTCGCATACATACTAATTCTTCCAAGTTGCTTCACGTTATGATCTTGCATTTGAAAGCCCTATTTGAATATGCATTGTGGCCAGCCGTCTTTGATGGCACGGTATGGTACGGGACAGGTATGGTCGAGGGTAATACGACACCGTCTACCGCCTTGATGACCTAGGCAAAAAAAGCATAGGGATGTTATAAATTTTTCAATTCTCCTATTTTTTTAGGCATAACCTGGGATTCGAACCCGCACTATCGCCCTACATGCATTCCCCCATACACTTCGCATTCATACTCATTCTACCAAGTTGCTTCACGTTATGATCTTGCGTTTGAAAGCCCTATTTGAATATTGCGGCCAGCTGTATGTGACCAGCTGTGTTTGATGGTACGGTACGGTACGGGACAGATACGGGATAGCGCCAGGCGTGACACAAACACACAAACAAACACCAAATTAAAGCTGTGTGGACCCTGGCTAGCGCCAGACGTTACTAAAGTAACGTTTTCTGCATAGCTACGGGAATTAAAATGTTATTTTAAGCAATTGGCTGTGACTTGCAGCGTGATATGCTTTCCTTCTTTTGATCTGTCCCCGGGGAAAATTGCGGGAAAAAATCGCAAAAATCAAAGGATGTGGACGCTGAGCAGCGCTTTGAGATGGCGGACAACATGGCAGACGGCGCGAGGAGTTTCGTTGGTGAGAGGGTACGTGTGTTGTTGTGAACGTGATGAGTATGTGAGTTGTGTATTTTCTGTTCTCCCAACATTTTGTTCTTTATTATTTGCTCTCCTCGAGGGTAAAGAGGCGCCCGCACAGCGCGTGTGTTCTGTTTGTTTTTTGATTTGCTCTTCTATGAGGATAACTAGAGGCCCCCACAGAGCCAGTGGATTCTGTTCTTTTTGTTATTCTTATGATTTGTGCTCTCACATTTTTAGAATTTTTGCGTGATCGTGAGGTGGTGTGTTGAGTGCACTAGTTTAGAGTTTTTGAGGTTATCAGTTCCCACACGTGTGACAGCGATCGTGGCTGGTGTTCTGGGTGGGCGGACAGAGTTTTTTTGAATAATCTGCAGTGCAGGCAGAGGTATAATATTATTATTTCTGGGTGTGACTGGTGTGGTATGATTGAGTGATTTGTGTGATCTTTTCCTCTTTTTACTCTGTTTTATTATTAGAATCGAGGACGATTCTACTCTTGGGAGGGAGTTATGTTGTAGTACGATATTTTGTGTACGTCATGTTGGTGCATGCGCGTGTTGCTGTGGTGTGAAAAGCTGTCTTCGTCTTGAGTTCATGATGTCTTCGTCTTCAGTTCGTCATGTATAGTTGTGGTTCCGTCGTCTTGTCAAAAAAAAAAAATCGCAAAAATCGCGGGAAAAACGCGGCATAATATGGCATAATTTGCGGTGAATTTGCGGTAAATATGCGGTAAATATGCGGTGAATAATATTGATGTGCGGCAATTTTCGGTGAGTATGTAGTGAAATCAATCAGTTACAAGTCTCTAGTGTAAGCACTCGTCATATTTGAGTAAAAAGCCGCCACGATGAGACGTTGCTGACCGAACAGTGCACTGTGTGTACGTACGTGTAGTGCAACAAAAAAGTTCAAAAAACGCGGGAAAATTGCGGAAAACGCGGTCTTTTAAAAAATCGCCAAAAAACGCGGAAAAAAACGCGGCCGCGGAATCGCAATTTTCCCCGGGGACAGTTTGATCAGGCTGCATTGCGCCCCTGTCTTATATAGCTGTCAAAACACAATATTTATACGAGCACATTTTGGAACTTCCTATCTCAATCCCCTTCACATCATGATCATCTTTCCCGGTGTGACTTGAAATGATAAATTGATATACGTATCTACTATAACGATTTCCCAAAATTGACTGGTTTAAATGATAAATTGTTAACTAATTTTGACATAATGGTATGTTTCATGGCTACTAACTTAGACTAAGAAAAGGCATTTTGGCCTGAGAGGGATAGTGCGTGGCTTTCCTGATGGATGCGGAAAGAGTTGGAAGGGCCGCTTCTGAGAGGCCTTCTACAGCAGCCATTGTGTTTTGTCTTTGAGCATACAGTGACATGGTGTTTGTAGCATTGCCATGGTTACTTCTCAGTATTCACCATTGTATACCTTTCACAGCTGCTGTGCTTCAAAGAGGACAGACACAACCGTTTTTTTTAAGCAGTGCTATTATCGACTCGGCAAAGCCGCTTCGACTGATCCGAACCATTGCCGGACCAAAATTCGACTAGCACACATGTTTAGAGCAGTACAGTACTGTTGGGCGCCGAAGAACGGCCAGGCTAGAATTTCACCAATTTTAAGAACGGCCAGGCTAGAATTTCACCAATTTTAAGAACGGCCAGGCTAGAATTTCACCAATTTTAAGAACGGCCAGGCTAGAATTTCACCAATTTTTAAGAACGGCCAGGCTAGAATTTCACCAATTTTTAAGAACGGCCAGGCTAGAATTTCACCAATTTTTAAGAACGGCCAGGCTAGAATTTCACCAATTTTAAGAACGGCCAGGCTAGAATTTCACCAATTTTAAGAACGGCCAGGCTAGAATTTCACCAATTTTTAAGAACGGCCAGGCTAGAATTTCACCAATTTTAAGAACGGCCAGGCTAGAATTTCACCAATTTTAAGAACGGCCAGGCTAGAATTTCACCAATTTTTAAGAACGGCCAAGCTAGAATTTCATCAATTTTTAAGAACGGCCAGGCTAGAATTTCACCAATTTTTAAGAACGGCCAGGCTAGAATTTCACCAATTTTTAAGAACGGCCAGGCTAGAATTTCACCAATTTTTAAGAACGGCCAGGCTAGAATTTCACCAATTTTTAAGAACGGCCAGGCTAGAATTTCACCAATATTTAATGATAGCTTGCATAGACCTCGGTCCTACCGGTAGGACCATCATACACAGACATGCTGCAAGGCCTCTGTTCTAACATTGACCCAAAACTTGACCCTAAACTGTTGCTCAGGGGCTAATGAAGGAATCCACAAATTTTAGGCGTGATCGCACAAGGCATACTACGAAATTCCATGGTAACAGCAAATGGTAACCATGGAAACGGTGTATGGAATTATGCATTCCACTGCCTTGGCAGACTGATAAAAACATTAGTACCTCACCACGATTGATGTGCCATGGTCAAAATTCACTTTGGACAGAGGTGCTAGCGCTCCGACAGGAGTATGTGCGGCCATTTTGACAATTGATAAAATTGCGCATATGCAATGCACTGGACATAGTCTTGCATTTTGCGCCATTACTTTGCCTGACAAAGACCTCATCTCAACAATTGTTTCAAGAAATTTCTCAACCAAAAGCACTTTTGCAGCGCGATTTCTTGGGTCCTACCGGTAGGACCCGTGGTCCTACCGGTAGGACGGCATGCAAGCTATCATTAAGAATGGTCTAGGCTGGATTTTTGCAGATAAGAACGGAACCCGTAATGTAAATGTACACTATAATGTACACTCAGACGTATAGCTGTGCATAAATGTACCGTAATCTCGCGCACTTAGTATAAGGGACATGTTCTTATTCTCGAATATAAGAGCACTCTCGCTTATAAGAACATGCACCAATAAGTGAATGAAAATCACAAAACAACATGAGGTTCATCATGGTTCCACTGTACTGGGATTCACCAATAGTATGCGTACTTGCACATGTACATGTCAATGCGATGTTTGTCTCTCGCATATAATCGAACGAAAATGCACTTGTGAGAACCAAAAACAGCGAGATTATGGTACATGTAAGACTGTACCATCGAATAAGAACGAAACGGCTGTGTTCGCTAAAGATTAGAACGGGCTGGGCCAGAACCCTGACCCCCCAGTTCTTCGGCGCCCAGCAGTACTGTAGTCCATGTGCACCTGCTGTAGCATACACAGAGTATGAACGCCTAGGGTAGGCCAATCAAACACCGATGCTGTATTATTATGCGTGATGTTGTTCGTACAGTGCCGTCTTCACCGCCGACAATCGCAGTGCCGGCTACAGAAAGTGCCAACGATACGTCGGTCGGTCTCTTGATCACGGCAGCGGGCAGCGTGAACGGCCCAATCCAGACCTATGCCATTCTGGTATCGTACTGCACCCTACAGACCGGTGAGTGTGGTACTGTTCACATGTTACTACTGACAGTAATCTGCTGACAATTGTTGTCATAGCCTTTCATATCTTACAGAGACAGTGCACCTTAACCTGCAATAGTGCTCAAATGCCCGGAATGGGCTAGGCCTTGACGGATTATGCTAATATTTTCGTGAAATTATGCTTTTCGCATTGCTGAAAAAATTGCAGAATTATGCTATTTTTATGCTAAAAGTTACCATATTATGCCGCATTATGCTCACATATGCTGCTAATGCATAATGGTTCTGTGCAAAATAACAGGGGAATTTTTTTGTAGAGGGCGTTGTACTGTAATAGCAAAAGTTCAACGGGGTCAACGCACCGTCCGACCTAGCTACGACCATCACTGATTGTAGTGGACTGGACATGTTACCAAGGGAGTCGTAAACCTACAACTTCCTAGTGCATCTACTTGTACTTGTACTTGTAGAACATGTACAACTGTATGGAATTTGATGCGAACAGGCGGATTATTACAATTTTATGCGATTCGTATGCAATTTGCCTCGAATTATGCGATTATTCGATTTTGGTAGGAATTATGCGAAAAATTATGCTAGCATAATCCGTCAAGGCCTAGAATGGGCAGAGCGTAGTACAGTCAGACCTCGTTTATCCGGTCCTCGTTTATCCGGATCCCTCGCCATCCGGAAGAAAATCGCTGGTTACCGATGTGCAGCATATGTCATGCATACAACATAACCGGACCTCGCGATCCGCACACCGGTGCATGATTTTGTGTACAAACAGGTTAAAATGTGTACAAAAAGCTTCGTCGTATCCGGTTGCATGTGGCTGGCTAGCGCTTGCAGAAGCTAGTATCAGGGAGTTGTACAAGCAAATGAGGTCCTTGACCTGCTGGGTGTATGCGGACAGCACTCAGTTGCATGCACTTGTCATTTTCCTCACTTGTTTTACATACTGGGCACGCTAGTTGTACTGCATAGGACCTGTCTACATGTATGTACGATGTCATTGCTTTTGACATGCCACATGCATATACATGCATATACAGTATGTATGTTCAGTTATCCGGTTACCTCGCCTATCCGGATATTTTTGTGGAAAACAGATGTATGCGGTTAAGCGAGGTCTGACTGTACGCAAGAGGTACACAAAAGGAAGTAAAATAGGGCTGTTTCGTTACTCAGAGTTTCATGGCAAAAACCAATCATCAGACAACGTTAGGAGATTCATATTTTACGTGTGATACTGTAAACCGCCCAATATTCGCGTCACTAACAGGGCCGGAGGAAGGAGTTCGGGAGTGGTCCGGCCAACCTTTGAGGGGGTCGGGGGGACCTCCCCCGGGAGAAATATTTAAAATTTACGTGAAATAGAGCGAATTTGGGCATCTCTAAGGCTCCAGAAAATGCAGAAAATTATAGTAAAAGAACACAAACACAACTTTTTATCCATATCAGCCATACAGTGCCGGTCACGGAGTCCTGAGCTACTTCGAAGCACATCACACGTCAGCAGTACAGTCGAGTCATGTACCTCTGGATTTTTTACACCGGTTTTGCACGAATCACATGGACCATCCAGCTGGGAAAGTGGTCCGGCCATGGCCGGACCAGCCTGACCGGTTCCGCCGGCCCTGACTAAGTTTTCGCGATTTCTTAGAACCAGCGAGTTTGCGATGGCAAAAGTTCGCGAAGCACTGGGGCCACTTACATACACCCACTGTTGAAGTTGGATTTCACGATGGTTAATATTCGCGTTATGCTCTTTTGAAGTGTTTTTCGCGGAAATAGCGAACATTAATCCGTCGCGAATATTAGGCAGTTTACAGTATGGCGGATACACGTGACCTTAGCAGTAACCACGTGTTGGTGGCCAAACAGTTGGTCAGGCAATGACAGGACAAACCGGACTGGTTCCGGCGCACCCATGTAGTTTTGGCGCAATGTGATGCCAAGAGTTCATAACCCCGGCCCCAGGTTACCGTATTTCCTCGATTATTAGACCCGGTCTATTGTTTTTTGAAGAGGGTTGGACCCCCGGTCTCTTATTTGGGCATGGTCCATTATTTGAGCACGAAGTTCTATATTATGACGTGTTAAAAATCCACCATTTCCAGCGATGGGCCGATGAAAATATAGTGGACCATGCTCAATAATGAAAGAAAGCACTAGCCACTAAGTTGCGCAACCGAAAATCGCGTCCTTTTTGATCCACCACGTGCTTTCTTAGTGCGCATGCGCAAAGCGATGAACTCAAATAAGAGACCGGGTCTCTTATTCGGGCATGGTCTACTATTTTTCCGTGAGGCCTCTAGGAGGGTCTGCTATTTGAGCATGGTCTATTATTCGAGCATGGTCCATTAATCGAGGAAATACGGTATGAGGTTATGAACTCTTGGTGTTATGGCATTGCAAGGTTCTCTTTTGTAATGATGGTGAGGAGATAACGCCGCTTTCCATAGGCAAAAATTGTGGGACCAGGGTGGCCGAGTGGTTAAGGCGTTGGACTTAAGATCCAATGTGCGTATGCACACATGGGTTCGAACCCCATTCCTGGTATATATTTTTTGTAAGTTTTACAACTTTTTTTGCATCTTTGGAGACAGCATTGGTGAGATAAGTTGTGCATAGCTGGACAGTGCGACATTCGTCACACACCATTTTTTCTATTTTAGACTGGGCAGTGAGTACCCAGTAGCACCCCTTGGGCTGGGCAGTGAGTTCCCAGTTGTACCCCTTGGGCTGGGCAGTGAGTTCCCAGTTGTACCCCTTGGGCTGGGCAGTGAGTTCCCAGTTGTACCCCTTGGGCTGGGCGAGCAAGAATTCATAATATGCCCTATCCCCATGCCAGGCCTTTGGAGCGCGGCATAGCCAGTGTGGTTGTGCATGCACAGGTTCTTCCCAGCATGTATTAAAGCCCAGTTCTTGTGTGTTACTGTTGTAGTACGATATTTTGTGTACGTCATGTTGGTGCATGCGCGTGTTGCTGTGGTGTGAAAAGCTGTCTTCGTCTTGAGTTCATGATGTCTTCGTCTTCAGTTCGTCATGTATAGTTGTGGTTCCGTCGTCTTGTCACAAATATAGTCTTCTAAATGTAGTTATCGTCGTCCATTTGTACAAGTGTGGAGATGGCACGGGACTGGGAGCAGGTAGAGAAAGGGAGTTACAACATTGGTGGCAGCGGTAATGGAAATTTGTAAATCTCAACTTCTGGATTCGTCCTGCGTGGCCTTCGCTCCCAGTTTCCGATGTCATCTCCAGTCGTCCTATCGTCACAGTTTCGTCCGTCTTCAAGAAGTTCGCCCGTCGTCCTCGTCCTTCATCATTCGTCTCTCCCGTCTCTTGTCAGTCGTCGTCACTGGTGGTCCCGGACACGACGTAAAACTGTGCCCAGAAGAAAAGGAAAAGAAAAAGAAGGATAGTTGGTCCCGGACACGACGTAAAACTGTGCCCAGAAGAAAAACTGAAACAGAAAAAAAGAAGGATGGAAGGTGAAGGCTGCAGTGTGAGGATGTGGACGCTGAGCAGCGCTTTGAGATGGCGGACGACATGGCAGACGGCGCGAGGAGTTTCGTTGGTGAGAGGGTACGTGTGTTGTTGTGAACGTGATGAGTATGTGAGTTGTGTATTTTCTGTTCTCCCAACATTTTGTTCTTTATTATTTGCTCTCCTCGAGGGTAAAGAGGCGCCCGCACAGCGCGTGTGTTCTGTTTGTTTTTTGATTTGCTCTTCTATGAGGATAACTAGAGGCCCCCACAGAGCCAGTGGATTCTGTTCTTTTTGTTATTCTTATGATTTGTGCTCTCACATTTTTAGAATTTTTGCGTGATCGTGAGGTGGTGTGTTGAGTGCACTAGTTTAGAGTTTTTGAGGTTATCAGTTCCCACACGTGTGACAGCGATCGTGGCTGGTGTTCTGGGTGGGCGGACAGAGTTTTTTTGAATAATCTGCAGTGCAGGCAGAGGTATAATATTATTATTTCTGGGTGTGACTGGTGTGGTATGATTGAGTGATTTGTGTGATCTTTTCCTCTTTTTACTCTGTTTTATTATTAGAATCGAGGACGATTCTACTCTTGGGAGGGAGTTATGTTGTAGTACGATATTTTGTGTACGTCATGTTGGTGCATGCGCGTGTTGCTGTGGTGTGAAAAGCTGTCTTCGTCTTGAGTTCATGATGTCTTCGTCTTCAGTTCGTCATGTATAGTTGTGGTTCCGTCGTCTTGTCACAAATATAGTCTTCTAAATGTAGTTATCGTCGTCCATTTGTACAAGTGTGGAGATGGCACGGGACTGGGAGCAGGTAGAGAAAGGGAGTTACAACATTACTTTGTGTGTCTCTGCTCACTGATGTGTTGCTGTTGGTGTTGTTGTTTGAATTCTTTATTCTCACGATTGCACCATCGCCAATAAGGGATGTTGTTGTTGTTGTTGTTGTTGTTGTTGTTGTTGTTGTTGTTGTTGTTGTTGTTGTTGTTGTTGGTGGTGGTGGTGGTGGTGGTGGTGGTGGTGGTGGTGGTGGTGGTGGTGGTGGTGTTGGTGTTGTTGTTGTTGTTGTTGCTGTTGCTGTTGTTGTCGCTGTCGCTGTCGTTGTTGTTGTTGTTGTTGTTGTTGTTGTTGTGAATGACTGCAGGTGCTATTCCTGACACGGCACTGACGTTCCAGGCGTGCACGCTGGGCTGCCAGTGTGCACCGTACGTCTCACACTTTGGCACGCTGAGTCAGATCGGATACGGCGCGTCGGGAGGACAGGTACAGATGTTTTAAACGCATACCGTACACGTGCAGCATCGAGCAACTGTGAACAGCAATCCTGAAAAAATTGCTTAACTATGACCAGGAGCTCTCTCACAGCAGCACTTGTTTGGATACTCACTGTCATAGTATGGAAATAACTTGCGATGGCAATTACCGTTCCGTTTCTTATTTGTTATCATCATTCCACCTCCTTGATCATCATTGATAGTTCATTCCGGTGCCCTGGCCCTAGCCAAGTCTGCTGGAGCAACGCGGAGCAAAAGAGGAGCACGACAGCACCAATGCACTCTCTCCTGACAGATGGAAAGTGAGAAAAAAAGGAAGACATCCCATACCTATGAAAAGCATGAATGCCGCAGACATCATCACACAACATGACAATATAGCGTGGTGAATCTGGTGATGTCTGCGGCATTCATACTTTTCATAGCTCTTATTAAATCATTGTCTCCCCGTAGATCATTCATTCCTTACCTGTCCATTTTAAAATGCTATACAGTCAGTCGGCCATGAGCCACGGTATCTCTGTAGAAGTAATTAAAATAACCTAGACCAGTAGGAGCAGTTCTTTGTTTCTATGTTGTCTGGTAGTTGTAGTTGGGAAGCTTGAAACTCAGAGTTCCAACAAATAGTTCTGGTTGAGAGCATTGGCCCTCGAAGCCTGAGGTTACGGATTCAATTCCCAGTTCCAGCAAAGATCCCCCCCCCCAGCCCACCTGGGAGTGGGTACCTCACTAGAGTTGGGGAGGCAAAGGCGACGGGGGAGAGGGGATGATCGCCATCCTCGCTATGCCAAGCTAATATTTTAAACAAGACATCTCTAATATCTGCTCTGCTGTCAGAATTGACCATGTACGGGCCTGCTCAATGAAATCCAGTCGAGTTACTCAACTTTGCGCCTTGCACTGTTTTGCAGCTCTGTGTGTTCGCAGGTCTAGGGCTACGCCATGTCCGGCGGGTACTTGAGAAACGCGACTGGACTTCATTGATATACTTTATACTGTACTATCTGTATCTCTGCCTACCTTTGCCTCACACCATGTGTGTTGTGTTCCGCAGTCACATGCCGTCGTCGGTGTTTCCAGCACCACCTGTCTCAGCGCGGACGTTGTCTGCAATCCTGCACTGAGCAACAACGCTTCATTCGTGTAAGTTCATTCTGACAACATAAACTAGACCAACACTGCCATCTACAGTCCATTCATGTAAAACTGGCTCTCCAACTTGTTGGTGTCCCGCACACATTGATATTGGTATTGAAATATACAAAACTTCGGCAGCTATTTCATTTCGGCTAAATTCGGCACTGACCCAAAACGCCGGAATTAAAACGCTGATGAAATTTTTCACATTGGCTTTGGTGATCTACTAGTGTTTTAACTATTAACCCCGTGCCGAAAATAAATCGCTGCCGAAATGTCAAAAATCGTGAAATGCCGAAATTTCGCGTCGCCGAAATTTTGTTTATTTTAATACAGTAGTGGGAACAAACTGTATATTCTACTTTTGTATTACCTGCAATTCTTCCTTGCCATGTTTGGGGCTGGAACAGACCAAGGATAGGGGTTGGAAATTCGGCCAGGTTTTGCAAAACCAGGACAGGTACGCCATGGAAAAATGTATGGAGAAACCGCCATGTTCACTATAATGATCCTGCATGTAAACATCACAGACACATGCGTCCATGCGTACAACTCAAGTGCATCACACGCTTACCCTTCAAGACGCCTGGCATGCACATGCGCAAACGCACAGTGAACGTTGAATAATGCGCCAGCCGCGACATGTGTTGTGGCATATATTTGTATATTTCTCTTTGAAGATATGTTTTCGTTGCTACCAGCTTCGGTCTCATATTCTCTGTGCTGCACTGATGGGTCCCGCAAAGGACGAAACAGTTCTGTCCGTAGGTTGAGTATGTCTGTATGTCCGTCTGTCTGTCTGTCTCACTGTCTCTCTGCCCGTGTGATCCTGGAATTGATTCTGGTGCAGCATCACAGTCAGAGCGTACACTGCGTTCACAGCAACGGGTGACAGTGCGCAGCCAAGCTTGTCAGATTTCAGCGACAGCTCCAACAACTTGTACGCACAAACGAGCCGAGTGGTCATGACAAGTAAGCGTGGCAGCTGCATGTTGTGATAACGTACACACACTGCAGCAGTATGATAGCATGTTGTAATACTGTACGTAACACGTACTTCAATAGCATGATAGCATGACTGTTGTAATAATGTACATGTACAACAACAGCGGCATGGCAGCATGTTGTATAAACAGCAGCATGGTATTGTTGTGGACATGGAAATCCGATCGAATGACTCGGGGCCGGTGCCCTCAGCGCGTACAGAACGTTGCATGCAGTGTAGGCCCAGACAGATCCTGCCGGCAATTCTTTCGGCAAATATCGAAGAATTGAAAGAGCGATAATTGCCGGCAAAATCGGAGCAAAATATCGAGCTGTTGGGTAAAATCGATGCCTGATACTTGCATTTCCTTGTTTGTTACCCGTTCAGCAGGGTACACTACCCAGGACGAGATCATGTCACCGAAATATCACTGGGATTCACTGTGGATCGACATGATTTTGGAAGAACTCAGGGACACGTGTGTGGAAACCCGTGTTGAGAAACCGACCCTGCGATTTTTATGAAATGCTGTACGGGATTGTACGGGAAGTGAATAAAAGACACGTTTTTCCGGAGCAAAATGGAGCAAAATATCGAGTTTCTTGTGCCAGGCTCGGCAAAATATCGAGGCAAGCGGAGCAGAATCTGTCTGGGCCCAATGCAGTCCACGTGTTGATCTTATGCGTACTCACAGCTGCATGGCCGGCGCCCTGGACCGCTTGACCTCCTTTCTATTGAATTTCTAGGTTTCTGCTTGCATGGGTTACATTGCGCTTGGGTTGATGTTCACAGCAAATGTGTTGCATGATGCATTCATGGTAACTAACTTGTTGTCTTCTGGATATCCATTTGCAGCTACTCCACCACTAGTTGGTCGTGGTGACGACAGCCAAGCGACGGTTCCTGGTGCTGCTATAGCCGGTGGAATTCTCGGAGGACTGGGCTTCATCGTTCTCTTTGCCAGTGGCTTTCACTACATGAAGACGTGAGTCCGTATCTCTGCACATTGTTAGACCACTCTGCTGTGCCACGGTATTCTACTACAGTCAGACCTCGCATAACCGCACACATCCGTTTTCCACAAAAATATCCGGATAGGCGAGGGAACCGGATAATCGAACACACATACTGTATGTAAGCATGGCATATGCTGTACATTTGTAACCAACTATTTTCTTCCGGATAAGCGAGGTCTGACTGTACACCCATACCCCCCCCCCCCCCAATCCCCACTGTTGCTGCCACTGCCACTGCCACCGCAACACCAATCACAATCACCATCACCATCGCCACCGCCGCCACCACCACTACCACTTGTATTCGGGGGGGGGGGGGGAGGGGCTTGTATTCGAGCCCGTACGGTGATCATGTGTTGGCAGGTTTCCAGTGTGTAGGATGTCCATCAACGCTTCCATAGTTATTGGCCAGTTTTCTTGTTTTGTTTACCGTCGGGAATTTGAGAGCGCGAGCCAGATAATCGCCCAACTCATGCCCCAACTAACCTGTCTGTGGTGTTATCTCTCTCTCTCTCTCTCTGTGCTACGCGTGCATGTACATGCTTCTGTGCAGCGAGGCTGGTCAGGAATTCCGCGACGGCTTGCTGGGCACTCTACGGCATCACTCACGCGATAGCTTCACGCTGCCGCTGGAGGCATTAGGCAAGTGGCCCGTACGGCATGACGTCTCCTCCGGCCTGCACCTGGCAACAGCCTCCATGTCCATTCCGGGACAGTTTCACAAAGTACACAGCCGCGAAGAGTTGGAGCTGAGTAAGTTGGCTGACGATGGAATGGCGCCAATCAAACCAGAGCGGAAACCGCCGCCAATTCACGGCACATCGCTTGTCGGCGACCAGTACTCAAGGTAAGGCTGCAGGAAGTCATTATGTACTGTCGGGTCAGAACTGGGGGTCAGCCTCCTACCCTGGACCATTCTTATTTTCATGTACTGCAGTCTATGCACAGTTGAGTCACTGTGTATACATTGGCAGGGAACACGATAACGGTCGGACATCGGACATTTTCCGACCATTTTCTATTCAAACCCGGCGCTTTTTTACTTAAACGGACAATCTGTCCGACCGAAATAATTGAATGGGAAAGAGAACGACAGAGGACAGTGGCGCTCTGGCTGGGAAGAAGTCTCAAGAAGTTAGAGCAGCAACCTGTGACAAGAGGGTTTTACGGCATAGCAGGGAGCTGTCCACTTCAGTGTAGCTCCAGTTTGAGCTTAGCAAACGATAAAGAAGGAGTTTTGAAATGATTTTTTTTTCTCGCTTCCTGGTGAAGCTAGGAACTATTCCGCGGCGCGTTTGTACGATCCGAAAAATTGAAAACGTCCGTGTTCCAGGGGAAACGAGGCGCCAGAAATGTACCAGCTTGCGATATGCCTCTATCGAAAGGAGCAGTCTTCTCGCTATCCAGTCAAGTACGCTCCTGTCGAAAAAGCGACGTGCAAGGTCGATGAAGCAACAGCAGCTAAAGTTAGTCATAAATTCAATGTCGCGTAGAATCTACCTGCTGTTCAAAGAGCACATCACGTTTGCAAAGATGGGATCCTTCAGCCAACTCGAGTACTCGTATTGACATGGTGTCGATCCTGGAGCTGGCAACAAGAACGGGCGAACAAGTGCCCATTTTGTCTTTTGCTGACTTCATAAAAATTACTTTGTCGTCGAAAAACCAGCTCAAATCCGATGTGTGCAGAAACACTGCACGCTCACAGTCACATAGTCCCAGTTACTGTGTTTGCTGCACAATGCACAGAGATTTGAACCAGTGTTACATCTACTTGACTCGAGATCTGTGTGATGTGACTTGTACTTTTGTAGCACCGCACTGTAATACTAATAATAGCATCAAGAGTATGTACCCCCCCCCCCCCCAGGGGGAGGGGGGGGGAGTATGTACATGTACGTGTATGAAAGTGGTGGAAAAATAAGAGTCCCTGACATGTACATGTATCACAAAATCTGCCAAATCACAGTGTCCGGCCATGTCCGACCGTTTCCAGAAGTGGCAGGACATTGTGTCAGAGCAATTTCGAAATCTTATCGTGTTCCCTGCATTGGTATGCTGTGCTTTTGTGCATGTGTGCGTGTGTGTACATGCATGCATGTGTGTGTGTGTGTGTGTGTGTGTGTGTGTGGCAAAGCTGGAGGTTCCTCGCGTATAGTCCCCGAGCTTGTGAAAGCAGGTGGCCATGATTCCCTGGACGCATTGCTGGATCTCGTCCAACTTGCTTGGACGACGGCCACTGTTCCGCAGGAATGGCGCGATGCCGAGTTGGTTCCTGTTCCCAAGAAGGGCGACCTGTCCAAATGTGATAATTGGCGGGGTATTGCCCTTCTTGATGTTGTTGGCAAGGTGTGTGGCCGCATGATTCAAGATCGCCTGCAGTTGTTGGCTGAGTCGGAACTCCCAGAGTCCCAGAGCGGCTTTCGGCCAGGCAGGGGCTGTGTTGATGCCATCTTCTCGCTCCGCCAGCTAATCGAGAAAGCATACGAACATCGTCAGCAGCTCTTCTGTGTGTTTGTGGATTTGAAAAAGGCGTACGATTCTGTACCACGCGCTGCTCTCTGGGTGGCCTTGGGCCGACTTGGGGTCCCGCAACAGCTAGTGGCCCTGATTAAGGCTTTCCACACCTCTACCTCTGCCTCGGTCCGAGTTGGCAACTCCACCTCTGATGAGTTCCCTGTGGTTAATGGTCTCCGACAAGGATGTGTCATGGCACCCGTTCTCTTTAACCTGTACTTCGGGGCGGTTGTTGAGACATGGCGTGCCCGGCTAAAGGATGCAGGTCGTAGTCACTCTGTCAGCATCCAGTTTTCCATCGATGGCCAACTCTACCCCCGCTCATCATCGCGCAGGGCTGGCGAGTCACTGTCTGTTAGTGACCTGGAGTATGCTGATGATGCCGTTCTCGTGTCTGAATGCCGTAGTGATGCTGAGTTTGGTGTGGAGCTCTTCTGTAGTGTTGCCCGAGAATTTGGACTAACTGTGAGCATCGCCAAGACGAAGATCATGACGGCGGGCCATGGGGTCTCTGCTGAAGACTCGGCTGACATCGTTCTCCCCCTTGGCACTATCGAAGCCGTGCCGAAGTTCACCTACCTAGGATCCATAGTGACCCCTGACAGTCGTTCTTCATCCGACATCAAGCGCCGTATTGCCGAAGCCTCAAAGGCCTTCGGAGCCCTCCAGAAGGTATTCACTGACAGATCTCTGTCCCTCTCTAGTAAACGCCACCTGTACATGGCCTGCGTTTCCTCAATATTACTGTATGGCGGAGAGTGTTGGACCCCACTCCAACGGGATATCAGAAGTTTGGATAAATTCCACCATCAATGCATCCGGACTGTCCTCAGCATCACCAAGCCTCGTCCGTGGTCCGAGCGGCTGTCATCCACAGACCTGCGGAACCGTTGGGGAGACCCAGTACTGATGTCTACACGCCTCCGCAATCGGCGTCTGGAATGGACTGGGCACGTTGCGCGTATGGATGAGGATCGCACCCCCCTCCAACTCCTCTTTGGGTGGCTACCTGTGCCTCGGCCGTTTTGTGGTCCCCGGCGACGGTGGAAAGACACGGTGATGACCGACCTCAAGGTTGCACTGCAACAGCCATCTCAGTGGTTCATCCTTGCTCAAGACCGCCAACAGTGGAGGGAAGTACGGGTTGCCCCTCAGTCGAGCTCCACCATGCCCAAGTCTGTGCATTGCGCAGTGTGTGACCGGAACTTCTCACGGGTCTCAGATAGAACGCGGCACAAGTGCACCACTCAGAGACGGCTTCCCATCCAGCTCCAGCGTGGATCAGTGCAATGCCAGAACTGCCAGAGGTGGTTCCGCAGCAAGGGTGGCTACTCTGTTCATCGATGCCAGCCTGTCACGAGTTCTCCTACACCAACAGTCAGTATGTCTGTGCCACTTTCAGCTTGTTGCCAGCAGCACTGCCCAACATGTCAGCGATGCTTCCGTTCTGCGGCCGGGTTCAAGCGTCACAACTGCAATCGTGGTGCGAGACCATCTGCTGCTGAGAGAGCAGCTCTGCCCCTCAGCTGCCCACATTGTAAACGCAATTTCCGCCGGCAGCAGGACCTAGCCAGACATTCGCGGTCCTGCTTGTGATCCGTGTCCCGTTTTCTGGTCCCCTTTCCATAGGGGTGACACTTGCCCCTCTGGGCAGTCATGCTGCTAGTAGTAGTAGTAGTAGTAGTAGTAGTGTGTGTGTGTGTGTGTGTGTGTGTGTGTGTGTGTGTGTGTGTGTGTGTGTGTGTGTGTGTGTGTGTGTGTGTGTGTGTGTGTGTGTGTGTGTGTGTGTGTGGTGTGTGTGTGTGTGTGTGTGTGTGGTATGTGCAGCGATTTCCAATCGATAGGTTGCGGGTTCGATTCCCGACGATTATGGTCACACACGTCTTTCTTCTCTTTCTCAGACTCTTCCTGACTTTTCTTTCATTCTCCTGGGTGGTTACCAACAGCCAGTGTATGCCGGAGTATGTGGTGTGGTGTGTGTGTAGAAAAAGAAAAAAAAGAAGAAGAAAAAAATGGAAAAATGAAAAATAGGGATTCACTGGCCAGAAAAAGTCACTTCAAACAGCTGTGTGGTGGATACCAGGCTAAAAATAGTGGCGGTCAATTCATCAGCCTTGCAAGCTGTTGAATGGTGCAATCCCAGCACAAGTTGCCATGTCTAACATAGCTGTTCGCTATCATCGCTCCCGCGATGGGCATATCTGAGGTCTGAGGTGTGTGCACATGTGTGTGTGTGTGTGTGCATGCGCGTGTGTGCGTGCACGTGTGTGTGTGTACGTGTGTGCGTGCGCGCGCATGCGTGCATGTGTGCGTGTTTCCTGGCACCAGTCCAATTGCGGTTGCTGGATTTGTAAACTATGTCAACAACATGGGTGCACATTCCGACCTTGGATTCGCCAAGCACTACGAGGTGGGTAGACTACAGTATGGACATTATACAGTAGAGTCGCGCGCTGAAGAACGCGGAGCCCAAGAACGTCCAGCCTGAAATTCTAAGAACACCACAGCCTAAAGCTAAGAACGGCGGTGTTGGTTTTCTGGCAGCTTGTGGAATACATATGATCCAGTACGGATTGTTTCTAAGAACGTGCTATAAGAACGCAGCCAGATTGCAGAAAAAATAAGAACGTCCCAGGCTAACCCCTTGGAAACAACGTTCTTGGGCGCGCGACTCTACTGTATGCAAGAGTAGTGGCTGCATGTGTAATGAAATCCAGTCGCGTCACTCAACTTTGCGCCTTGCATCATTTCGCAGCCCAGTGTTCACAGGTCTAGGGCTGCACAATGGCCGTCGTGTACCTGAACGACGCGACTGGATTTCATTGAGCAGCACTGGAGTTGCATGCAAAATGTATTGTGTGTAGAAGTGAAGGGTTTGTGATGTTAAAAGTAGAACACACTGCTGGAACAAGCACAATCCTTGATGTGTTTTTGTTTTTCTTCTATCCGTCCATTCTCGGTCTGAATATTAACCATCCATGCACCCACAAGCACATCCGTCTAGCTACCGACTTCTCTTTTCAGCAAGTCACCCATTTATCACCAACCCCACCAGCCAACGATCACTGTTTGCCTCTCCGTCTGCATTCATCTATCCGTCCGTTTGTTCATCCATCTACCCATCCATCCATACATCCATCTATCCATCAATCCATCTATCCATCCATCCATCCATTCACCTACTCACCCATTCTCCCAATCCATCCATCTTTGTGCCAGTGAAAACAATAATAAGAGGAAAAAAAGAGTGTTTTAACTTCGAGTTTCACGCACTAAGCAATCATCGAAACTCGGAGTTAAAACATCTTCTTTTTTCCTCTTATTATTGTTTGAACTAGTTCTGCTTTTCGGTATTGAGCACTCTACTAGTATTGGACAACCTGGAACTTCTCTGTTTTTTTTTGTGCCAGTGAAAGATATATTATTTTATTGTATAAACAGGTCGTAATGAAATGACCTCAATGTACCTGTGATGTTACCGTTGTTCAGGTGGTGGGTCCCATAGGGCAGCATCATATGGCCGACGCGTCACTTCAACCGGAGAACCGCGGCAAGAATCGCTACAGCAATATCGTGGCATGTAAGGACTAAGAACACAGGTGGGATCGAGGGGGGGGGGGGTCAGTACTACACTCATATCTCTGTTATCCGGGGTGGTCCAGGACCAGGCATTGCCCATAGCTCGGAAATGTCCATAACTCTGAATCACGTACATTTTTATGGGAAAGTGCCCAGATCTGGCGTATGACATCACTATATCTACAAAATTGGCAAATGGGTAGTAATATATTTCTACTAAAACTCGTCCACAGGGTGCCCGGTAGACTGAGGTGCCCGTAACTTGGAGGTCCGGATAAGAGAGATATGAGTGTACTGTAGTACGTACTGTGAGGTCAGAGATGGTGTGGATCAGTACTACTGTAGTAACAGACATGCACAGGAATCATACAGGTTTCTTGTCAGCGTTCAGAAGAGACCAGTGACACAGCTCTTATACTTTTGTTGGTGCTATGCACAATGGATGCTGTTGCTCTTCTTGCAATCTTCTCGAAACGATCGCCCCGCAGTCCCCCGAAACACCTCCAAAGCGGATAGATTTTTTCCAGCTGATCTTAGTTTGGTTTGTCCCCCTCCCCCCCCCCCTCCCCCAGAAAAAGAAACAAACACCTCACCTCATTGCAACTGAACTAGTAACTGTACCTGTTATCATTCCTGCTGTGTGTTGCACTGTGACATCATTGTGTGCCATCATTCCGTGAAATCATTCTGTGACATCATTATGTGACATCATTATGTGACATCATTATGTGACATCATTATGTGACATCATTATGTGACATTATTCTGTACGCTAGATGAGCACTCCCGAGTGCACCTCAAGGTCCTCAACGGAGAGCCAGGCACCAGCTACATCAATGCCAATTATATTCACGTGAGTAGCGACATTCCCAGGAAGGCAGCTAGCAGATAACCTGCACATACACACACACACGGGCCACTATGAAGATAGTCGTTGAGGCTATTGCCAGCTTTGTTCGCTTTGGCAGAAGCATCATATACACGGCAGTATGGTGCTTTGTGGTTATGCTCGACTGATGCTGTACCCAGTGGTGAATAGGTAAATAGTACAGCGGCCCAATTGGCACAGCATTGGGAACTTCTTCAATGATACCACTTTCCAGTTGATCCTGCATGAAACAGAGGGTACCAGGTCCAAGTCCTGCTTGGAAGCGGAAGGATTTTTTCAGCCGTGCTGCAAACCCAAGTCAATTTGGGAACTTGTGGCCTGGCACGAGGGAAACATGGATGCAGCGAATGAGATTTGCGGTCTTTGACCACCTTGTGGTGGGTCTGATCTACTCACCTCTCACCGCTTTAGGAGCTGCATCTGCACATTGACCCTTTAGGCTGGTGGCGTTCCTATGGATACGGAAAACTTGGCTTAACCAAGTGTCACACGAACCGTGCAATTTTAATGTATGATTCTGTCATATTGCCGTAAGACTTCTGGTTGTGTGTAAAGCCGCTTGACTAGTAGAGAGATTGGCTGACCTTAGGCTAGCTCATAGTTAACTTGCGGAGTTTTATCTTTTCAACGCCAGCTGTTATTTTAATTACTCGTTTCCGTTCTTCCCTTCAGCACCCAAACCAGGAGCGAGCGTACATCGCCACGCAAGGTCCTCTGGGCACCACTATTCGGGATTTCTGGCGCATGGTATGGGAACAGGGCAGCTCCACCGTCATCATGGTCACAAACCTTCAGGAGAAGGGAAGGGTAAGACCAAAGTGGAACGTACTATTGTGTTGCCGTGCCGCGTGGGCACAAGGTGCACTGTACACCTGTGTGACGTGCTTGTGTACTGGGTACTAGTGATTGTCTTTGTCGGCCATTTTGTGCAACCGCGTCGAATTATGTGCAATCCCGTTGAAATTCCGTTATGATTTGATGATGAATGACTGAGAACTCTAAACTGAAGAAGGGCCATGGTCATTCCGCTGACAACTTTCAGAGGTTTTTGTTTTGAAGTTTTCTTCCCTTTCATTGAAACCGACTGCTACACATTTTTAAATTCCTTTCCAATTAAAATTGGAAAAGGAATCGTAATTGCTGCAACTTGTTCTCTTTCGGCGGCTAATGAGTTGATGTGCTTGTTATCTGTGTAGGTAAAATGTCATCAGTATTGGCCTACGGAAGGGGATGTTGTAGATCACCGCAAGAATGTGTTCCGCTTCACCGAAGGCATGGACGTCCCACTGACCGTGGAGATGATAAGTGAACAGATACAGTCATTCGCCACGATTCGGACGTTCTTTGTCAGCCAGGTATGTTCATCCGTGGACACTTACACACACATGTGTGTGTGTGTGTGTTCGTGTTCGTGCGTGCGTCCGCCTTGTTATCTATTGGGCTACAACTGTCTCTGCTGCGTGTTTGTTGACGCTGTTGTTTTTGTTGTTGTTGTTGTTGTTGTTGTTATTGTTGTGGTTGTTGTCACTGTTGCCGCTGTTGTTGTGAAGGGTGCGAATGTACGGCAGGTGAACCAGTATCACTTCACACACTGGCCGGATCATGGAGTACCAGCGACTGCTGATGATTTGCTTCGCTTCGTGCTTGGTGTGCGACTGTTCAACGAGAAGCGTGACTTGGAGATGTCAACACCAATAGTTGTGCACTGCAGGTAAGGGTTTTACCATGACACTTGACATTGATGCACATCTCCGGCATGCCCATAAGGGAACTCAGGTGGTGGCGTCACTGAGACAGGACACGTTCATAGTGGTTAAATCAAGATGAGCAGGTGGGTAGCCCGCATGGGGCAAGGGGCACGTGCACCCCCCCCCCCCCCCCCCCAATTTTCGACCTAGGTTCAGCATGCACGTAATGACCATGAATGACAAACACCAGCCATCCTAAAAATGTGCGACCGTGCACCCCCCCCCCCCCCCCCCAAAGGGGGAGCAGCTACGCCCCTGATGAGTGTAGTCAGCTGATACCCATGTAAAGGTTCACTGAGGGGACTCACACATTGCCGTAATTGACAAGAGATTGACAGCCGCCATGATGACTTGATGGTAAGGGTTCGAATCCGTAATATGCAGCACGGCAGAAAGGTAAAAACCCACAACAGGATAGACTCGGATGGAGAGCCAATGATAAATTTATAGTAAAGAAAATAATTATCAAGGAACTACAAGTTACGTTATAATGTCCAATAACACCAGGACATTATAGCATAACTTGTAGTTCCTTGGTCTCACAACAGGAGCGAGACTTTTTCTTAAGAGAGCATGTCTGAGAATACCAAAGTATGTGTGCAAGTGGATCTCTCCGATTTCGCTCAAAATTTGCAGGTAGGTTCCCTTTGGGGTGTGGATCGATTGTGCAAAGCCCTTGAAAAAGTTTCTGAAGGGAACCTTGAAATTTGCATACCCCTCAAAAATGGCCGAAATATCACATTATTTATGGGTCTAGAAACGAGTCACGCCACAGCGTATACGAACAAGCTATGAACAAAACTCCATCAAGCCAACGTTGCCTCACCTTAGAAGAGTTCCTGGAGCAGTACCGTTTAGCCACGCCAGCATCCCAGAAGACGAGGTCCATCACCCCCTGACGCCACAAATGATCGTCTTGAAAATAGCCAATTTACAAGCGCTGGCAAAACAGCCAGCTACGTCCTCAATTGGCCAGAACTATACACCGGCAGATAGTAGAACACCTCTTCTAGCGCTCAGGACATGTCCCCCATCTTCCTTTTGGGGTTTTCTTGAAATAAACTTTTTTGAATTTTTCCACTCGACCATGCTGAAATACGGCCAAAGTCATACCTGCGCAGGAAAGCTCGCCCCTCCGCGACGTCTCCTCAGCAATTTCTACTCCAACACTACTCCCAAGGCCGCAGAACAAAGTGTAGTGTTGACTCTGACAAGGAAAAGCAGCGGTGATCACTTGTCACTCCAAACAACAAGCTTCTCCTTGCGCCACCAATAATTTTTTGTGCGACTGTTGATGCAAAAGTGACTGAAGGCCTGAGCGCAGCTTTTGAATTTTATTGCAAGATGCACGGTGAGATCGCGTGCTCTGTGACGTAGGATGACGCTTCCTGCATCACGATACGCGGCCTTCGATCGCGAATGTGCCTGGAACGCTACTCGGAACAGATCATGATGGCAGAGGTAAGATGAGCTTCATTTCCTGCTTGAACTGCTGAGAACCCCCACAAACTGTCCTAGGAGTGTTGCAATGGCAGCAAGCCGTTGAAATATGTCCTGTACAGCATGGAGAGTTATTCGTCTTTCACACTTACCTCCTGCAATCCCGAACATAGTCCAACAGTAAAAGTCCCTTGTTTTCATGTCAATGCTCGACAAAAGCGGCTAGCTCGGTCCCTTTGTGTTGACTGGCACGCGAGCAGCACTGGCTGCACGCACTTGTCGCGTGAACTGCATGAGAGATTTCTTACGTCATAAAGAATGTGATTTCATCATCATTTCACTGGTCTTCGACCTAAATGGTCAGGGAAAGTCCCGGTTCGTAGGCCTACAACACGGTCAGCATGTTCTTGAGCGCAGTAACAACACAAGTGTGATCACTTCCAGACCAACGGGCGTTCAAGGCGAGTTACAAGCGCTCTTGACAAAGGTGACTCTGAAATCTCGTGAGCCGTGGGCCACGCGACTTGGCATTCTTGCGTCACAAGGCACGTGATTTCACCGTGCATCTTGCAATAAAATTCAAAAGCTGCGCTCAGGCCTTCAGTCACTTTTGCATCAACAGTCGCACAAAAAATTATTGGTGGCGCAAGGAGAAGCTTGTTGTTTGGAGTGACAAGTGATCACCGCTGCTTTTCCTTGTCAGAGTCAACACTACACTTTGTTCTGCGGCCTTGGGAGTAGTGTTGGAGTAGAAATTGCTGAGGAGACGTCGCGGAGGGGCGAGCTTTCCTGCGCAGGTATGACTTTGGCCGTATTTCAGCATGGTCGAGTGGAAAAATTCAAAAAAGTTTATTTCAAGAAAACCCCAAAAGGAAGATGGGGGACATGTCCTGAGCGCTAGAAGAGGTGTTCTACTATCTGCCGGTGTATAGTTCTGGCCAATTGAGGACGTAGCTGGCTGTTTTGCCAGCGCTTGTAAATTGGCTATTTTCAAGACGATCATTTGTGGCGTCAGGGGGTGATGGACCTCGTCTTCTGGGATGCTGGCGTGGCTAAACGGTACTGCTCCAGGAACTCTTCTAAGGTGAGGCAACGTTGGCTTGATGGAGTTTTGTTCATAGCTTGTTCGTATACGCTGTGGCGTGACTCGTTTCTAGACCCATAAATAATGTGATATTTCGGCCATTTTTGAGGGGTATGCAAATTTCAAGGTTCCCTTCAGAAACTTTTTCAAGGGCTTTGCACAATCGATCCACACCCCAAAGGGAACCTACCTGCAAATTTTGAGCGAAATCGGAGAGATCCACTTGCACACATACTTTGGTATTCTCAGACATGCTCTCTTAAGTAATTGCGAATGTGCAATTAGTGACTTCCCGACAAATGGAAGTAAATTGTATTCAAAATGCATTGGCAGAAGGCGAGCGGAACTATTCCGAATAGTCCTGCATGGCTTGCAGAACTAGAAGATCTTGTAGACACTTCTGAGGGCGTACTGTGCTGCTCATTGTGCTTGATTTGTGATCAACTGTGCAGCGCGGGAGTGGGCCGAACGGGCACGTACATTGCTGTGGACACTGTCGCCCAGCAACTGCTCAACAAGGACATGCAATTCGTTGACCTGCTGAGTATAGCGTGTCAGATGCGATGGCAGCGCGTCAGCATGATTCAGACGGAGGTAGGGAGTTCGTACTGGTACAGGCATCATCACTGCACCACGGCTACTGTAGCAAGCATTCAACAATATAATTGATTCGGTGTCAGGTGCATGAACATGGACGTCAGCAGGAGGGTTCTAAGTTTACTTCTCTTCTGCCTTCTGCATGTGCATGCAGCCTGTGCTTCCGGTAGCGTGTGCTGGTTGTTTTGAACATCCCTGTTGCGATTTTTCTTACTTGCTCTGCAGGGTCAGTTTATATACGTGCATCACTGCATCGCAACCCTCATCGACTGCATTACGAAAGTGGAAGAGAAGTCTCCCGGTAAGGAACGCAAAAATGATGTAAACTTGTGCACTTTGCGACGGGGGTGTTGGCGTAGTGTTGCGGTTTGGGTTGTGTCCGTGAATGCTGCAATGTCCTGTAGGTAGGTGCCACTGCAGGGGCGTAGCTCGTCACCCGTTCAGGGGGTGCACCGCCGCACATGTGTAGGATGGCAGGTGCATGTCATTCATGGTCATTACGTGCGTGCTGAAACTAGGTCGAAATTGTTAGAGGAGGTACACATGCCCCCCCCCCCCCCCCACCCGTGCCCCATGCGGGCTATGCGCCTGCCACTGTGTCTGGCGCCTCACACCGCATACTTATACAGTATGAATGCACCCGGCACCCGTACACCATACTACAGTGCTGCTCAATGAAACCTGATCAAGGGAGTATGCTTAGCGCCCCGTCCAGCTGGAACTCCCAGTGTTGCCAGGTCTAGAGCCACACAGCGCCCGGCAGCACGTACTTGACTCGCTTGATCAGATTTCATTGAGCAGCACTGTACTATGACATCTTACACACACACACACACACACACACACACACACACACACACACACACACACACACACACACACACACACACCTTTGACCTTTCACGCCCATCGCCGGAGGCGATGATAGCAATGCTACGGCAGAAGCCATAGCAACTTGTGCTGGGATTGCACCATTCAACAGCTTGCAAGGCTGAAGAATTGACCGTCACTATTCAGCCTGGTCTACACAGCTATTTGAAGTGACTTTTCTGGCCAGCGAATCCCTATTTTTGGTCTTTTCATTTTTTCCCGCACACACATCACACCACATACTCCGGCATGCACTGGCTGTTGGTAACCACCCAGGAGAATGAAAGAAAACTCAGGAAGAGTCTGAGAAAGAGAAGAAAGACGTGCCCACACACACACACTTGTACTTGCTCACTGCCAAAACTGGTCACGTGGGTCTCCCCGGGAGAGGGGAGAGAGACTCAAAAGGAATCTTGGAAAGATGACTCAATTGGCCATTGAACCACCCAACGGCCGACACCCCCTGAAATCCTCAAACTAGGGTGGACTTGAAATGATCCCACTTATCGGCTCACCACATCTCAGTAAGTGGGCGAGGACAAGGTGCAGAAAAAGGATTGACGGCATCAGGGTATCCGTCCCGGGATCCAACTGCAGGTACCCCTGCCCCCAGTGAAGGTAATACTTGGTACTAGTGTGGGTGGCTAAATCAGAGTGGATCTGATAAAAGCTTCACTAGCACCATTGGTTACACAAGAGTTTATCTAGCAAGAAGTAGTCCATGGTTAACAGGTATGTATACTTCAAATAGAAAGTATATGAACCCTGAAACCAACAAAGGTGGTAGGTACAACAATACACCTTCAAGCAGCCGAGCCCGTTGGCAACAGGCCCACCACTATCTGGCATAAGTGTACCCACCAACCGAACTAGCTGGCACCAAACACACACACACACACACACACACACACACACACACACACACACACACCTTCTTCCTTCCTTCTTCCACTGCCATGACTGGCTATGTGGCCCCATACGGGGCAGACCAGGAGACGTGTTGTCCACCGGGCGGGGAGCGCCATACTCAGCGCACGCGGGCCGCGCGAACAGCGTTACACTTGTGCCTCGCAATATCCTGCGGCCGACGAAAACTGCGCGCACAAGTGCCACAGATGAGGGGCTTCGCCACAGGCTCCATGCGGGACTGGACAATAGCGTCAACAGCATCACGGCAGGTGACCCGCCATCCCTGTCGATCTTGGACGATGTCACCAAGCTGCTCCAGAGGAACGCACACACACACACACACACACACACACACACACACACACACACACACACACTTCTGCTAGAAGTAACAGCTTGTGTGTTTTAGCGCAATTCAAGTCATGTGTAGCCAGTTATTCTGCTGATCCTGTCTCACGACCGATATTAAAGTGCTGTTGCTGTTCCTGCTGCTGCTGTTGCTTTTGTTTCAAATCAAATCTTTATTCTCACTTGTTGTTGTTGCTGTTGCTGTTGCTGTTGGTTCAGGTCTCTCACGTGGCCAGATCTTCAGAAAAATTCTTGAGGAACGATACAAATTGTCCTAGTCGAGCCTGGATTTCGTATTCTCGTGGATTTCACACTTCACCGTACGGCTGTCGGAAGCATTCAGCTCGGCTCTGTCCAATCACGACTATAGCACAGCAGCTGCAGGGGCACAGCTACACAGCTGTATACCTACTGATCTCTCTCTCTCTCCTCTCTCCTCCCTCCCTCCCTCTCCCTCTCTCTCTCTCTCTCTCTCTCTCTCTCTCTCTCTCTCTCTCTCTCTCTCTCTCTCTCTCTCTTTCTCGCTCTCTTTCTCGCTCACGTGACAGTAATAGCAGTGACTGCATGCTACAATGGTTGCCAGCCAGGTACTCACCCCATGTTTCTGATTGAAGCTACGCCTATGCCCAATGCCAGAAAATGATTGTATTTAGCCATAATATTTATTGCCAAATTTCTTTACGTCCTTTTGCATTCTTCTTTGCCTGAAAACCATATTCACACACACACACATACATTGTATCGAGAGCCTATGCGTTCCTGCACCAAATTCCCTACGCCAGCCAAATAAACAGTTGAAAAGGATATACGGTGCATAGTCATGCAGCACACACCGCACAACTTCCTTTCATGTATAACCGTAATAGACATCCAGAACCACATCATGACATCGGCTTACATTGCCATGACATCATAGATTCTATACTATTGTCGCCATACCTGCATGCTGACTGGCCTCGGACCCAGGCACTACATTGTGTACAGAGGTACTGGATTGGAATAGATCAAACCTGTGCCATGTAACTCGTTGTAGTAACAAGACGGCTTTTTAGTGATTCATGGTTCCGGCTTTTTGTCCCGTGGTAGCTTGCCAGCGTTTGTTCTAGACGGTCTAGAACTGCATATTCAATTTGTCCACAAGCCACTAGTACCAGATTTCCCTTGCTGTCCTTGTGCCTTCACACAATCATTGTCTTTCTTAGCTCAATCACGGTGTAATGTATGTTGACTTTTAAAATGCATGTACATTATGGTATGTGACCGGATGACTCTGTTGAAAGAGCTGCTAGCTCAATGTTCACACCTAGTCAGTGTTCATTGCTCAGCTAACAAGATACTCATCTGATTGTCAACCAGAACTTCTTGAATATCGGCCAAGCTCAGTTGCAATGCCACTCGCATGCCGAGAGAGAGAGAGAGAGAGAGAGAGAGAGAGAGAGAGAGAGAGAGAGAGAGAGTGTGTGTGTGTGTGTGTGTGTGTGCGTGCATGCATGTGTGTGCGACTGTGCGCGTTTGCGTGTGTGCGTGTTCATGTGTCTGGTGTGTGGACGTGTGTGACCTGTATGTGCCTGCCTGCGGCATCAGCAAAACACTCAGTCTTGCTGTATGTTTGTTTATCAGGCTTCTATATGTACTACTATGACAGCCACCTTGGAAACACTTTATACTCACAGTCGCCGAGCCTCCCGGCGAACGATACTCTAGAGAAAGATTCTGCTCCAACCGGCCTCCATAATTATCAGGAAGAAGCCATGATTGGGGCTGGATCGAGTTGAAGTGTATCATCACTCGAGCACTGCATCCAACCAGAAAAGGAACATTCAAACACTGTGACTGGAGAATGCTGCAAGGACCAGCTTTATCCGTACATGATCATGTACAATGACAATGTCATGTAGCTTGCCTTGGGCCAATCTCCACACCACTGAGCCAGACCCCAGTACAGTTTCAAGAGCTAGACTAGAGGTTCTACTCTGAACTCACCGACTTTTGAACAAACAGGCTAGTGTGGTAGACTGCTGGTAGTTGATTTGTAAGCCAGTTGCAACTTGCAAGTGCCAGGAGAAGAGCAATGAAGGTTTCTCTCTCTCCATGATCAAGCCTCAGCAAGTGGACTACCAGGTCCAGGTACATCCTGTGCACGTACATGGAGGTACAGCGCAGCATACAGTAGTGCAGTCATTACTCATGACTGTACTGATTCAATGCATGCATGACTCTCATATGCAGTTTTGTTCAAGTACGAGTTTTTCCTGTTCGATAATCACCGGGTGGAGTGGCGTTCACCTGTAATCGCTGCGACTGGCGAGGTTGGGAGTGTTGGGATAGTTTGAGGTCGGGAATCCTGCTGTCTGTCGGATTATGTCGATCAGGCGTCCGCGCTAAGTTCGGTGTGGATATGGGCAACACTGGTGAGCCAGTGGTGTCCAGGTCTTTGAAGAGCAGGGTACTGGCCCAGGATGGAAACATAGCAGGCAAAACCTGCCGCATGGAACAGTAGCGGGATAGCGCTTGTGAATAGACGGCACCCAGCAGCCCGGCCGATATAACACGACCTACTTCTTTTTTTCTTTTTTCTTCTTTCCTTTTTTCTTCTTTCCTTTTTTCTACTTTTTTTTCTTTCCTTTTCTTCATAATTTTTTCTTTCTTCGTTTCTTCACTTTGAATTACTTGAGTGTTTCTTCGCGAAAGGAAAGGAAAGCATGCTGTATTAAAGTGTAAGAAAAAATACAGAGCAGAATGAGCTTGGCTGGCTCATCTCTCCGGACACCACTCCTGAGGTGAGTCGTCTCCGACAAACTCCTCCACCTCTAATTTGAAAAGATCTGTGTTTGTGAGAACTTGTTTATTTATGTAGTCAACAAAGTAAGGTGCGTCGTATTACGTGTATATCCGTTGTGGACTTTCCTCTGCGGAGGTGGTCGTACTTCAGGGGATTAAGCTCGTCACACTGGTGGCCTGAATTTCCTTTTCGGTTTACACCCTCAATGTAGTATCGATTGGGATCGACTATCGATCTGATATGCAATAATGATACATGTATTATAAAATTTAATAAACTCCCTCAAACATGTGAATAATAGTAATACAAATATCATTCAATGGCAGTGTAACAGGCCTGATGTGAATGTACAGACTCAGTGGTGTAAATCTGTCCCTGTACTACATTACAAATTACATCGTGTTTGTTCATAGCATGAGTAAACAACACCTTTACGGCAATAGCGACTGCGTGTCTGTATGTATGTGTGTGCGCGCATGTGTTTGTGCGCATGTGTGTGTGTGTGTGTGTGTGTGTGTGTGTGTGTGTGTGTGTGCGCGTGTGGTGTGCGCGTGTATGTGTGTGTGTGTGTGTGCGTGTATGTGTGTGCGCGTGTATGTGTGTGCGTGTGTGTGTTTGTGTGGGTGCATGTACATGCTGTTCTATGGCTCAGAGTGGTGTCTGAGGTGGGATCACTGCGGAGCAAGGTCACTAAATACTTGCCCACCGGTAAGTTTTGTTCTTCTAAAGCCAGGCTGAGTGGACCAGCAGTTCTTTCACAGTTTCACTGGCATGCTCTATATCTCTATCATTTGCCAATCGTAGTGTTGAGTCAGCTGCACTAGTCGTCAGTGAAACTCCACGGTGCATTGCTGATAACCTGCCAGGTTTTCCTCATAGGCTATTCGGACTACGGCCAACTGTGACCACGTTTCTACGACTCAGACGTGTTTGATCAGGGATTGTGCGTAATTATTTGAAACACGACTGCATCACCATGGAAATTTAGACGTGATTTTCGCCGTAGCCTGAATCGCCTATTACAGAGAACATGGCTGTTGCGATTAGAGAAGCTGTAAAGCCAGGAAATTTTGGCATTGTTTCACTTTCGGTAACTTGAGCACAGGCGGATAGCACTAAGCAATAGAACTCTACCAAAGTTACAACTAACAGCCCAAGAGTTCTGTGTATGTAAATGTGCTAAATCATGGACCCAAATTAATTCACGCAGAGCATATCTCTCCATCTGCTTGTCGAGTTTGGGGAAACCCTACAATATGACGCCGGTGGAAATTTCTAGTTTTACTTTAGACCTTGCTCTTCAGTAGGTCCTGGCCAGCGCTTACAGTCAACTTCGCTGATAACGACTGCGGATATAAGGACAATTCGCGAATAACGACAGAATTTCCATGCCCAGAGCAAAGTCCCATCCAACTGTAATACATATAATGGGACTTCGGGTATAACGCCACTTCGCGAATAAGGACACTTTTCTGATGCCCCGCCGAATGTCGTTATAAGCGCAGTTGACTGTACATGACTACAGTAAGATCGGGCGCCGAAGAACACCTCGCCGAAGAACACCCAGGCTGGAAAACCGGCAAAATTTAAGAACAGTCCAGGCTAGAATTATCAGATTTAAGAACACTTTTAAAATTTTCATACATGTACTTACACGAAGTTGCGAATTTACACGTAGATCTACATTGTACATTTTTGGGAGGTGAGTACATGTCATGTACACGTGTAAACAGTAACTGCTACATGTACAGTCATTCCCATTTACGACACCCACTAGTTTAGAAGTACTACAATCATAATCATTGCACTACATGTACATACATGTACATGACAAACGTCATGACGTCACTCGACTCGCCGCGCGCGTGTGAATAAGAACGGTCTGGCTAGAATCAAAAATTTAAGAACTTTCCTAGGCTGCGCTCGAGCCCCTGCGTTCTTCGGCGCCCGATCTTACTGTACCAGCTTCATCAGGATTACGTCAATGGAATTAACTCGGTGTACCTCTGTTTGTGGTGGACGCAAAAGGATGTACTTAGTGTTGTTTTGAACTATGTGTTATTGTGTTATAGTATCGTGGTGAGATGATAATGGTACAGTGAGTTTGTAGTTTTGAGCTGATTGCAGCATCTCTCCATCTTGGGGGTCAGTTTTGAACCGCAACCTGTATACACATAACATGTTTCTGAAGGTACTTCGAAGTACATAATTATATGGTCGAAAGTTGGTGGCTAGTTATCACGTGCACACACACACACACATACACACACACACCTCAGACCTCAGACCTGCCCATCGCGGAAGCGATGATAGCGAACAGCTATGTTAGACATAGCAACTTGTGCTGGGATTGCACCATTCAACAGCGTGCAAGGCTGATGAATTGACCGCCACTAATTTTAGCCTGGTATCCACCACATAGCTGATTGACACACGCGCACACACACACACACGCACCTTCCTTCCTTCGCCCACTGCCACGATTGGCTATGCGTCCCCAAACGGGGCGACTTGAAGGAGTGCTGGCTTCGGGACGCGGCATGAGGCACTGCGAGTCCGGCGGGACGTGAACGGCTGTTTCACTGTGCACACACACTGTCACATACACACATACCCCCCCCCCCCCCCACACACACACACACACAAGGGAAACAGTTTGCTGTTTGGATGTATTCATTTTCTGGTTCAATCCAGTGTACCGACCGCCTCCTATGCCCGTTACTGAGGTTGTGGTGGATATGGCCGAGACGAAAAAGCAGTTCTACAAAGAGAAGAAGACACAGAAGCAAGTGGTCATTTCCCAGGTCGCGTTGGACAAATACGTGGACAAGAACATGAAACTGCTTCCGGAAACGGCGGCACCATTTCTAAAGGTTTGTAGTCTCCATGGTCGTGGTAGGCTGCTTTAGTGCTGCTGCGTTGTGCATCGTCCGGTTCTTTTCGTAGGAGCGCTCTGGCGCTCAATCTCTGCGGTGCTATCCGTGTGCCATGGCTAGTAGTTGGCTTACTTTTAAAAAGCTTGTAGCTGTACTGATGACGCCTAGATGGCCGAAAGGGTGGCTGCCTACAGCATTGGGTACATGTGCATGTATGCAGGTTTCAGGGGGGGGGGGGGGGGGCATGTATAGGTAGTACTGTCAGGTGCGGAGGAACTGGGGGGGGGGGGGGGGGGGCTCATTCATAGCCTAGGCTGTTCTTATTTTCATGTACTGTGTGGACTGTGCACACTTGAGTCACCATGTGTACATTGGTATGCTGCATTCTAGCCTGTTCGTTCTTGGGCACTACGTTCTTCAGCACCCGACACTACAGTGCTGTAGTGTATTTATGTGTACATGTATCAGGGCTTGATCTGCAGTTTGTCGCCGTCTTCGTGACGTACACTTACGTACTGTAGTGGTCAAGGGAATTTGTAATTACCGTCGAGTACCGTACATGCAATCTATTGGGTGTGTAGCGTAGTTAGTGCTGTGGCACGATTCTGAATTTCAGTGACCATTTCTGCATTTTTTTCCCCGGTGACTAGCTTTAAACTGCTGTGTGCTGGATCACCGAGTGTATTAGAAAGTATTAGCACAACGTGCGTGACTACAATATCGCTGTGACGGAGTGAAATCTAATCGGGAGACGATGCAAGTGGGGCTATCACTGTGTAGTCCTGGCCAGCCGTGTGGCGCCAACGCTCTGCTAGCCAGTTGTCTAGCCATTCGGTTTTGTTTTGCTTGTGGACTTGATGTGATTTAGTTTCTAATGGGCTGCTGCTATTTACTTTTCTGTCTCAACTTTAGGAAAAGGCCAAGAAAGGCTACGCGGTCAAGGGCTGCCCGCTATGCTTGCGTAATCTACAAGACTTCCACTACGCTGTAAGTCTGCGTGTGATGCTGTCACAGACCGTAATCTAACTGTTTACGATCAGATCTGGTTTGTCCACAGCTTTAGGCTTCCGCAATGATATGATCTCGACAGGCTAGTGAGCAAAGAATTCGGAGATCTTTTGCACATGCGAAGCGCCAAATGTTACGCGGGTGCAGTACTACGCACTCTGCGTGTAAACGTAGCAAAAAAAGACACTCACGATTCACACGTGGCTTTTAGCAGTAGTTCGCATGCGCGGACCCCCGAACGCGGGAATCTCCAAGTTTCCCCTTTAACCACCTTTGTCGCTTGGAGAGCCTTGGAGGATCCCCGAATATTCAGAGAGGATATAGGAACAGGTGTCCAACTTTTCGGAGAGTCGCGCACTTATTTTACAATGCGAGTGGCTACCCAATGGCTTGTCTACCAACTCTTTGTGGAAAGTATTGGTAGTGAAACATCTTGTTGAAAGTGTTCAGCAAAGTGGCCGTGGTCCTCGCTGCAGCACGCTGTGTTCCATACCATAGGCAGAACGCTTAGCATAAAGGAGAAACAACAGCAGTGGCCAAACTTCGACTTCTGTTACCCCGAGTCTTGTGTGAAACTATTCATCAGTCGTCAGGCAGACGAGTGTTTTTACGTAAAGCTCAGAATGGCAGTCGTGAGTCAGTCAAGTGAGAATTCAAGTCGGCGGGAAAAGCGCGAGCTCCCTCGTAAGGAGCGGCACACGATTTGTCAATTTCCCCAGTATCGCCGAAGTCGTAGCAATCTCTTCTTCTCAGAGTTCCAGCAGTAGAATTTTAGTCACCCATGCTGTGCAATGTGCTGTTGAAAAACGTTATCTTCTGCGAGCCTCCTGCGAGTTGTATGGAAGACTCCGTCTGTGTGACTACAACATCGTTATCCAAAATCTGAGTGTATCTCCAAGTGAATCTTTCCTCCCCTCTCATTCCATGTCTGTGTGTCTTTCCGTCTGCCCTGTCATATGCTTCTGTGTGTGTGTGTGTGTGCACGTGTGTGTGTGCATGTGTTTGTGTGTATGTGTGTGTGCACGTGTGTGTGCATGTGTGTGTGTGTGTGTGTGTGCACGTGTGTGTGTGTGCACGTGTGTGTGTGTGCACGTGTGTATGTATGTGTGTGTGTGCGTGTGTGTGTGTGCGTGCGTGTGTTCTATACTCTTGACAGGATATTCTCCTTCTGCGGCAGTTCATGTCGCCGTGGGGAGATCCAGTGCCACGCATGTATACTGGTGTCTGTATGCTGACTCAGCGTAAGCTTGTAAAGGCCATTCGACAGGCACAGAAAGAAGGCCTGCTACCGAGGAAGGAGAATGTTTTAAAAGAGGCCAAGAACAAGCGCATTCATGATCAGCGCCATCTGCGCGCACTGCTGCAGCTACAAGCGCTGCGCAACTGCGGCGGACTCAAGGAAGACAAGCTGGCGGAGCTCGGAAACGTAGATCAGCAGATTATCAAATGAGGCGACGACCAGCTTCACAGTTACTCTTGAGACCAAGATCATTTTGTACGGCTGTGCTATGTGCAGAAGGCTTTAAGTCTTTTTACACCGGCATGTTCTAGCAAGAGCCAAGCTAGCCAGACACCGATTCAGTGCGGCCGGTTTGCACACTTTGCTTGTGCATGACTCACATTGCAGTGTGATTTTTTCATATATATTCACAGGCGGACAATGTGAACTTCTACACAACCGACCTTGTGATGGACTGGACCGTATAGAGTGCTGTAGCTGTTGTAGCACCAAGCGTACAATATACGGAAGCTCATATTACTCCTGGTACTATACTACTTTTGTGTAGAGCTGGATGCACCTGATGCATTGGTCCTTTGAATGGGGGAGGTGATCGATATCATGAGAATTTATTGAGCCCATGTGACAAGATTCAAAGCACATAGAACATACCAAGCTAGCTGTGTGCTGTGTTGGCCTCAGGGAGTCGTAAAATATAAAGGCAGTATTTAATTATGCTGGGATGACGGCTACGCCATAGCTCAGTGGTTAGAGCATCGCTGGCCTCACGCGAAGGTTTGAGTCCTGGTGGTGACAGTCAAGTTTTCTTCCGACTTTTTTCCCTTTCCTATTCCCTCAAATAGTCTACATTGTAGTGAGTATTTATACTACAGTAGTAATTTTACGGCTCCCTGGCTGGCCTACTGCTGGCCTGGAATTGCATTGGTGACATAACTGCGATAACGAGGGAGTCGTAAACTGGAGTCTGTATAGTATCAAGAGTAGGCTGTCCAACCGCCCTGCTTGCTTTGGACCAAATAATTAATTATGTACATTGTATAATAGGTATCAAATCCTGCTTTGGAATGGTGGCAAGGTTGGACAGATTGCGTAAAACTTTGATGGACTCCCTGCGCTGCATGCAACGCATACATCGAAGAAGATCCCTCGACTCCACGATTAGATCGTCCACACAGTCACAGCCTACAGCATACCTCACAGTACACTAACCCTCTTGTAGTTTGCTGTTTCAGCAGCACAGTGACTGTCAGTGTTTGTTGCAGGGGCCACTTCTCACGAGGCTCGAGGGGAGTCCCCTTTTGTTGCTAGGTGGCGCCAAGGAAGCAGAAGAAAAATGGCGTCTCATGATCCCGATCCATGAACGCAAAAAAATCTTGGTCAAACATTTTTTGAAGCACATTGCATTGAGATGAGCTGATCTGCTGAATCTTTGAAGGTTTGCATGGTTGAAAACTCGGAGTGAGTTGAGGTGAATGAGCAATGAAGTGGTGATTGTGCTCTTGGATTATGGCTGGTAGATAGTGGCGGCGAGGGAACGTAGAAACAATCATGTATCTTTACAATGTCACTCTGCAACGCCCAACTACCATCACCTGCGCCATTCAGGGCAATTTCACGGGCACTAAACAGCAAGAAATTGTTGTGGCGAGAGGACAGAAAGTCTTGGAGCTCCTTCGTCCTGATCCCAACACTGGTAAAATTGTTCCCGTGCTGTCCGTTGAAGTGTTCGGTGTCATTCGCTCGCTGGTGGCCTTTCGCCTGACAGGAGCTTCTAAAGGTACGTGCCTCACATGCATACACCTCGCGAACTTATAAAAAAAAGCCAAGTGGAATTGGATTTAAATTCGATAGTATTCCGTCACCTTTACGAGTCTAGGTTGATTCTTAATTCACCATTTCAATATTATTTATTACTATGTACTGCTCTCAGAGTGGCCTACCTGTACCGGTATTCAAATTGTTTTGACGTGATATTCAATTTTTTAAATGCAGCACAATTCAAACAAACATAAGACAATGCATATACAAGTCATGTACTTTCATTGTCACTTTAGCATTTTCCTGTTTCGAGGCATGAGTTTTGTCCTGACACGCTGCTGCTTAGCTGTGCCGTAGTTACGCAAGCATGTCCTTAAGCTCGCAGTCACACCGCTGCGCTTCAGCTGTTCAGCTTGAAAAGCTGCCCTGCAGTCCTGGTGTTTCTAAACATGGAACACAGAATTATGAAGATAGGACCTTGGTCACTGTTTGTTATGTTAACGTGTCCTTGTGCTAGCAGCACTGGTGGCTGTACTGACAGATAGCTAGCTTCTTGCTATGCTCACACCTTTTGAAAAGACTAGTAGCAAGTCTCACTAGTTTTTAGTGCGAGGAGCATGTATGGGATATCATCATGATCATGGCGCAGAGCTGGTGCTAACTAGTACTTTCACCTCGAAGTTCACCTCCACGCATTGCACCTTCTTCAGGTGACACTTTTGAGAAAGCTGTTTTTCCTCCAGTTTGTTTCAGTCAGCCTTGTGATCAGTTGTGTTTTTCTGCCTGAGAAACTCCTTGCTCAATGCATGTATTTCTCTCTCTTTTCCTTTCTCTCTTTCCTCCTCCCTTTCCCTCTCTTATTTCTTCTCCTCTCTTGTCTCTCTAGTCTCTCTTCTCCTCTCTTGTCTCTCTCTTGTCTCTCCTGTCTCTCTTGTCTCTCTTCTCCTCCCTCTCTCTCTCTCTCTCTCTCTCTCTCTCTCTCTCTCTCTCTCTCTCTCTCTCTCTCTCTCTCTCTCTCTCTCTCTCTCTCTCTCTCTCTCTCTCTCTTCTTTTCTCTTTCCCTCTCTCTTCCTTTCTTTTTTCCTCTCTCTTCCTTTCTCTTTCCCTCTCTCTTCCTTTCTCCTTTCCCCTCTCTCTCTCTCTCTTTCCCCTCTCTCCCCTCTCTTCTCTCCTCTGCCTCTCTCTCTATCTGTCTATCTATCCTGGTCCTTACCTTTTTCTCCTCTGTCTTCTGGTCTCTGGTTGACCCGAGGCTGATACTATGCTTATTTTTGTTTCTGCTTCTTGTGCTGTTTATTGCTGATATGTTTGCATGGTTTAGACTTCATTGTCGTTGGTTCGGATTCTGGCCGTATTGTCATCTTGGAGTACAAACCTGCCAAGAATGTCTTCGAAAAGGTATGCGTATTGTGTATTGTTCCTGTTTGGCTGCGTAGACCACGGTTTGATTGTCGTTTCTATGTTGCACGAGTCTCTAGATACGTTTTCATGTCAGCGTGCACTAGTCTGTGTATCAGTGTTGTTCACAGGCAGCAGTTTGTGTCACTCGCGTATTACCACTTTCTGCATACTACTGTTTGTTGGTAGAATTGGGTGATACATGCCTGAAGATCAATGTAGGTATGTCTTGATGTCTGGTTGTGTCTGTTTGAACCATAACCTTTTTCCTGTGCTCATTCGTTCGTGTGTGTGCGTGTGTCGGTGGGTGTGTGTGTGTGTGTGTGTGTGTGTGTGTGTGTGTGTGTGTGTGTGTGTGTGTGTGTGTGTGTGTGCGCGCGCGCGCATCGGTGTGCACCTATCTGTGCGTGGGTGTGTAGATTCATCAAGAGACATTTGGCAAGAGCGGGTGCCGACGTATCGTTCCTGGCCAATACCTGGCTGTGGACCCCAAGGGCCGTGCCGTAATGATAGGTAGGCACTTGTAGACCACAACACTTCTCTTTATTCTTTACTTAATGGACACCCGGGGTTACCGATTGGTTTTCAAAACAATTTTTTTTAGTATTTTTCGACTTCCACCCACCCTTTCTGCAGGTAACACGATTTTCAACAATATCCTGATTTCAATATCCGGCGCCCAGTAGTACCTGGATATTCTCCATAATATTATGCATTCAATAATCATTTTCAAAACAAAAAAAACTCCTAAAACCCACCCGCCCTAAACGAAAACATTTTGTTTCGATGAAACAGCTGGTTACTGGTGGTTGGATGTTTATGTGTGATGTGTTTAGTACAACATGTACATTGTACAGTGTATGGGAAGAGTAGGGTAGGGTAGGGTAGGGTAGGAGAGGATCATCTACACATTGAACATATGTACACAGTATTTGTCACTAACCTTACAGTAATCAACAAGAGCCAGATGATCCCCCCTCCCCCCCCCCCCCCCCCCCCACACACACACACGTCCACTTCTGCCCCCCCCCCCCCCCCCCCCCTATCCATGCACTGTACCTGTACATCACACTCCATACATCAATGATGGTTGGGCACTTGTTTCAACTTCATCAATTGGTATAAAAATCATGTTCATACTTGGTCCGGCTCATCGCAATTGTCGCTTATCCCCCACGCACCTTTTGACGGGTAAAACCCAGTCCGATCACGATATCTAACTTACTTTTGCTTGGGAGGTTGTGATGGCAAGATCAAAGGAGGCACCAAAGAAAAATGATCGCGACTAGCATTTTGAATCGCGATGTGTTCGACTTTTTTGGGAAGTGGGAATCTGGCCATTCACTGTCTGTGTTGCCAAAAGCCAAGCGCGCAGCGACCCGAAGACCGGAACTGTGGCAGGGGCAACTGACATCCTGGAGAGCGTGACAGGCACGCGTGCATGGCAGAGGAGTATGAGCCGCATGAGCGTCATGCTGAAGAAGAAAGGTGTTTTGATGCGATGCGCCCGGCCGACGGTTGTTGTTCCTTGCTTGGTGGACCTAGCAGCAGCGTTACAAGAGTCGTGGTCAGCGTATTCAGCGGAGCGTATGACAGCTGTCTGGAGAGGCCTGTATGCCTCGAAGGCTTTGTTGAAACACGCTGTGGAGACACACAGGTCACACTGCCCACGTTCCTTGAAGCACCGAAGTGACAGCCACAACTGTTCCTTTCCCATTGCTGCCATACGACAGCCTGAGTGAGAAAGCAAGAGATACTCCGTCTACGCCAGCAGCTAGACACCAGCAAATGTCAGCTCATGTTACATGTAACGGCGCGGCAGCTCGAGTGATGCAGAGTTGAATGAACTCTGGACCTGTAAGAGTGTGAGTGCAAGAACGCGCTCCTTCGCGGATTTATTTCGTGCATTTTGCTTACCTTGCTTCCTTTCTTCGACTCGCTTCACCTGATTCCATTGCTGAATTTTTTTTCTTGTGGCGGAGAGTATTTTTGTATCATGCTTCCTCACTATGCCTACTGGAAATTTCACAGAGCGGTAAAAAAAACTCCTGTTCTTAGTGGCGGTAGATAAGCGACAATTGCGATGAGCCGGACCAAGTACTAACTGTCTTATGTATTTTATTTGGCTCTCCCTCTCCCGTGTCGTGTGAATGTGTGCGCGTGTGTGTGCGCATGTGCACGTGTGTGTGTGTGTGTGTGTGTGTGTGGTGTGCGCTTGCGTATGTGCACGTGTACGTGTACCGGTATGTATATATGTGTGCGTGTGTGTGCACTTGCCTGCATTTGTATACATTATACTATATACAGGTGCCATTGAGAAGCAGAAGCTTGTGTACATCCTTAACCGTGACGCAGCCGCACGTCTGACAATCTCCTCACCACTGGAGGCTCACAAGTCTCACACACTGGTCTTGGCAGCCATTGGCGTGGACGTGGGTTTTGAGAATCCCATCTTCGCTTGTCTGGAGCTGGACTACGAGGTATGATTATGGGCATCCAGTACTACAGTTGCGCTCCGTGAAATCCGACCCAAAGCTCAAAGCTGGCGCCCAGGACCAGTTCCGATTACATCCATGTATTTGTACATGAGTACGTATGTCCAGCCGCATTCGTGCCACTCGCAGGGGACTGGGTGTCAAGGGCTGTGCAAGTTGAGGGCGCTAAATATGCACTCCTGGTTGGGTTTCACCGAGCGCAACTGTACACACACTACGCACGCATGCGCTTACTGTTCACTACCGCAATACAACCTAAGGCTGAGGTCTCTCTCCCGTCTGGCAAATCAGCCAGCCGTGTTGTTGAAAACTGATTGATTTTTTATGTGAACATATTTATGTGCACAAGTGCATGGCATGTTGGGATCCTTCTGCAAGTAGTGCATGGCTCTTTGCTGAGTATCATGATGTTGACAGGGCCTAGCATCATGATCATGACAACATGCTCTATGTTCTTAGCTGGTTTGTAGTGTTTTAAATTGTTTTAAAGGCTTTAGGCTGTATGCCCCCTAAATGGGCTTGACAAATATCTGAACGTTTCGCTTTGTGCTGCGGTGTGCTTTGCCGGAAGTGAGATGCTTTGGCAGTCGGTGTGGTGCGGGAGAGAAGTCTTGCCAGCTTGTTCTCTAGTTCTTGTTGTTTGTCCGTTGGTCCTTTGTGTCGGCAAGTCTCTCTCTCGTGATAACCATATCCAGGTCTGGCTGTCAACCTGAATCCTTCCAATAGTAATGCTGGGGTATATTCTCTGACTGATTGCCCTAGAGAATCTAGGCAAGCAGTTCGTTCCACCCCCGACATTTCCATGCTATGCTGTGTCGCTATAGATGTCCATAACGTGTTGTTTGCCTTGGCTAGTGTGTCGCTGATTATTTGTGCTTGTGTGTCTGTGTTCATCCGTGTGTGTGCGTGTGTGTGTGTGTGTGTGTGTGTGTGTGTGTGTGTGTGTCTGTCTGTGTGTCTGTCTGTCTGTGTTTGTTCGTGTTCATGCGTGTATGGAACTGGGTATGTGTCTGTGGACGTGTCCTGGCTTCCTGGCTGGCTGGCTTGCTATGCCCTGTGTACATGCTTGTTTATCGTCTGTACACATGCTTGTTGCCTGGCACACAGGAGGCAGATGGCGATCCCACTGGAGAAGCAGCACAGACCACGCAAATGGTAGGTTAAGATTTGACTAGGCTGGACTTGAACACTATACATGCATGATCTCTGTAGAAAGAAGATGGGTTTGGGCTGGTTTGTGTGATGCGACAGACTGGCAGGTGCTGTGTAGACTATCATATCAGTATGGCGGCCATCCTCAGGCCATGGTCGGACCAACTTTTTGGCCACCAATGTGTTTTTACTGCTGAGGAGGTCATATGTACCCTCCATATCATACACAAACTGTATGAAACTTGGCTAGGGTATGGCCGGACCAATCAAGAACTCCTTCAGCCGGTCCTGATCCTTTAGCTGGTCAGTTTAGATTGAGTGGTCACCTTGGTCGTCATGGTTATCTTCCGTGTAGCCGCTGGATGTTAGCCTGTTTGACAATCCCCCCTGTGTGCACTATCACGTCAGTTACTGTGAGACATGAAAATAGAACGTTAATCTAACGTTTAACTAGTGAAATTTCGTCGCTGGGATAAATTTCATTAGGACCATATTGCCTGATACCGGTATGTGTTATGTGGGATATGCCTGTTAGCTCCTCCTGGGTCAATTTAAAAATGTGTTAAATTTGCAACTCGCTCTAGTTTAACGTGTCTTGCAGTACATAGTGCGTTGATATCATATTGGGTAGCTGTACCCGGACACAGGGTACAGTAAACCTGTCGAGGCGACCACTCGGATAAGGTGACCACCTGTCCAAGAAGACCACTGAAACCAGGATCAAGGGATGCTATTTCCAGTCAAATGACCCTGGATAAGGAGACCACCTGGTAACAGAGACCACTTTTTTGAAGGTCCCTTGAGCGGTCGTCTTAGACAGGTTTCACTGTACATGTGGATCTCCTCTGACCAGGTAGCACAATTAAATATGTTTGCCACCATTTCTTCGATGTTTGAGAACACACATTGATGTGGTGTTGATGTCTCTGGGGTTTTCTTGCAGACGTTGACGTTTTATGAACTGGATCTCGGTCTGAACCATGTTGTCCGCAAGTACACAGAGCCATTGGAAGAGGCCGCCAATCTACTCATAGCAGGTATGTCAACATTTTACTATTGATACAGACCCTGTAGGTATTTCCCGTTTGCGAAGTGTGTGTGGGCGCTTGTGTGTGTGTGTGGTGTGGTGGTGGTGGTGGTGTGTGTGTGTGTGTGTGTGTGTATGGGGGTGTATGTGGGTGTGTGTTTGCATTTGCGTGTGGGTGTGCGTGCGTGTGTGTACGCGTGAGTGAGTGAGAGTGAGCGCGTGTGTGCGTGCACACGCACACGTGTGTGCATGTTCAAATGACGGACATAATGAGTGTACGAGTCTGTACGTTACAGGCACTTTAAAAAAAGTTTTTATGTTAGCAACATGATAACCGTGCTGCATGCTCAGTACACCATGTTGAGATACAGTACTGCTTGTTTACACTTGTTGAAGAGCGATGCTTTGATGTCTTGTGTCATGTGTGCTTCCTCTTTCGTGTGCAGTTCCTGGTGGCAACGATGGGCCCAGCGGTGTTCTAGTCTGCTCAGAGAACTACATCACGTATAAGAACTTTGGCGAGCAGCAGGATGTGCGCAGTCCCATCCCGCGCCGCCGCCACGACCTGGACGATCCGGAGCGTGGCATGATCTTCGTGGCCTTCGCCACGCACAAGACCAAGTCTATGTTCTTTGTGCTGGCGCAGACGGAGCAGGGCGATCTCTTCAAGATCACGCTGGGTGTTGAGGACGACATGGTCACGGAGATTCGTCTTAAGTACTTTGACACGGTGCCCGTCGCCACCAGTATGTGTGTGCTCAAGACCGGCTTCCTGTTTGTGGCGTCGGAATTTGGCAATCAGTAAGTTAACCCTTTGAGCACGCATGACGTATTATTACGTCACGTACAGTGTCACTGCTCCCACGCGTGACGTATTATTACGTCGTGAGTGTACATAGCGTACAAACGCGATTTGCATGAACCGCGTGAGTTCAAACTATTGTAACTCGGTCAATTCTTGGCCGATTCTCACGATCGAAACATGTATCTGCAAGAGAAAACTCTCAGCTTGCGATAGAAACAATCGCCGAAGCGATACGACCCCGGGTTGTTGAGATATGTGACTCGACACGGCAAATTCAAATCGATTTTTTGGCGTACTCTGCAGAACGCTTATTTTCCATTTTCGATCATGTTCGTTAGGGGTGAAAGGGGTGATCCGGGTAACCCGGGTACCCGTCTGTTTAGCTGCTGATCCGTTAGCAAACGAGTACCCGTTAGTCTTGTAGGATTGTAGGGTACAGTATTAGAAGCTTGCTTGTACAGCTGTACAGTTCAGTGCACAGTTTTGAGTGTGTTTTTCCTCGTTCAATCCTGCTACATATCACGGTATCCATTGTAGCTACGACAATTTCGACTGTTAGCATGTAGCGCAGTGATTGTGCACACTGTGCTTGTCGCGGTGTAGTGTACTTGTATGACTTCGCATATCCTTCCGGCGTGAAATCCGGAAGGCTGCTGTAGCAATTGTTGCCCGAAAATCGCTCTCCTATCAGAATGCCTGCAAATAACATGTTGCGCTTACGATCCCAAGCAAATGCAACGTTTTTGGAAAAAGTATGGCGGATAAAGGGTACCCGATAACCCGCCCGTTAAGCCAGATACCCGTTTGTTACCTTAAAGGGTAACCGTTTCACCCCTAATGTTCGTGCTATCTGCTGCCATGGAAACTAGATTCAAATGATGGCAGCGAATCTGAGGAGTCCTCAAAAACATTTGAGCTCGATACGAGCAAGGAGAGTGAAATGGCAGCTGAGGATTTGATCTCCTGGCCGTGCTCAAGTCTGTCGAGCGCGTGCGTGAAGTTTTGCCAGACTGTAGCATGGGCTTTTGGTGTCGCTCCGAGCTGAGCTTGGAACTATTTTGTTCCTCGCCTGAAGACCTTTTCAGGAAGCTCAAGATCGTGGAATTCGTCCAAGGGAAGTTAAAGTTATCGATCCTTGAACAGCTACTACTTTCATAGGAAAGACGCAATTTTTGCAGGTGTTGACGTGGGGCGGCATTCAGGTAGCGTCGTGCTCGGTTAAAAGCTTTCGTTCTTCTTGCCCCCCCCCCCCCCCCCTTACACACACCGCACACACGCCACATCTTTCCATTGTCTAGGAAAGCTGTGCACTATCACGACTGCCCTTATCTGGTAGAAAAACAGCTGGTATACTGTCCTTACCGTCTTCCGAAAGGTTCTTGTTTCTCTCTGTGCTAACAGGAGATAATATTATACATTGTACATGGTGGGTTCTAGCCAAAAGGGGGTAGGGGTCGCAGCACCCTACTCATTTTTCAAAATTTTCTTCAGTTCACAGAGTGAAAATGCGGAGAAAAACCCTCATTCTGGGACGCTCTATGCACCTGTGCGTTGCATTTTTTGCGCTCCCCAACCCCTACACGTTTTTGTTGTTGGCTAGAACTCTGCTGTGCATGTACATATAGTTTAAAATACTGAACTGTCTTACTCTACAGTAAAACTGCCTAGATGCGGGCAGGTTGGGACCGACCACTGGCCGTAACTAGGAATTGCCCATAACTCTGAACTACTTTCATACTTACTGCATGCAAGTAAAGATGTTATGCCAATCAATATTACTGTTTTGGGGCTGCTTTTCGTTGAAAACCCATTTTTATGACTCTAGGCGGGTCAGAAAGGTGCCGGGTAGACGGACGTGCCCGGATTAGGGACGCCTGGACCTGGGGAATTTTACTGTACTTGTACGAATACAGTCAGACCTCGCTTATCCAGTCCTCTTTTATCCGGATCCCTTGCCATCTGGAAGAAAATTGTTGGTTACCGATTTACAGCATATGTCATGTATACATACAATATGTGTGTTTGATTATCCGGTTCCCTCGCACATCCGGATATTTTTTGTGGAAAACGGATGTGTGCCGTTAAGCGAGGTCTGACTGTACTGAAGTTTCACTCTGCCTGTGTATGGTTGTCATGTGCTCAGTTTCCTTTATCAGATTGCCTTTCTGGGTGACAATGATGATGAGCCAGAGTTTTCTAGTGCCATGCAGTTGGAGGAGGGAGAGACGTTCTTCTACGCGCCACGTCCGCTTCGCAATCTTGTGCAGGTTGACGAGATGGAGAGCCTGTCGCCGGTGCTCAACTGCCAGGTATGTATGTGTGTGTGTGTCCGTGTGGTGTGTGTGTGCGTGCGTGTGGTGTGCGTGCGGTGTGTGTGTGCGTGCGTGTGGTGGTGTGTGTGTGTGTGTGTGTGTGTGTGTGTGTGTGTGTTATGACTGTCTGTCTGTCTGTCTGTCTGTCTGTCTGTCTGTCTGTCTGTCTGTCTGTCTATGTGTCTGTCTATGTGTCTGTCAACTGCTTGTCTGTCAGTGCGTATCATGTTTCTGCATATGCATTGGTGTAGGTACACACACTTGGTTTTGTTGATTGTTTGTTGTCTGTGCGAGAGATTGAAGCATTCTCTGTATTCTGTCACCTACCCCATTTTCCGTATCTATGCCCAGATTGCTGATTTAGCCAACGAAGATACACCGCAGCTTTATGTAGCATGTGGACGTGGTCCACGTTCATCGTTACGGGTGCTGAGACACGGTCTGGAGGTGTCTGAAATGGCTGTGTCCGAGTTGCCCGGTAACCCCAATGCTGTCTGGACTGTCAAGCGCACCGTACAAGGTTAGCTGTGTGCGTGTTTCTTGTGTGTGCGTGCGTGCGTGCGTGTGTGTGTGTGTGTGTGTGTGTGTGTGTATCCGTTTGTCCGTTTGTCCGTTCATCTTCAGTACCAGTATATGCTTTTGTTGATGCAAGTATATCACTCTTCTGCCCTTTCTTGTACGCTCTGTTTCCATCCCTATGATAGATAGTGGATGTAATGCCTGAGCTCTGACCAGTTTTGTATCCTTTTTCTCTTTACTACTGTAAAAGCCATTATTCTAACGAGGCGCATATATAACGATTTCCCCAAATTCACTGGTTTACGTGTACCAAAGGTAACGATTCTGTCTCATTCTCAACGCTCAATAGGACAGTATATGTATCGATTTCTGTTATAACGATTTCTATTTTAACGACAGATTGCTCCTCGTGAACTCGTTAGAGTTAGCACTTCGTTATGGCTTTTACAGTATTGTGTATTATACTGTGTGTGTGTGTGTGTGTGTGTGTGTGTGTGTGTGTGTGTGTGTGTGTGTGTGTGTGTGTGTGTGTGTGTGTGTGTGTGTGTGTGTGTGTGTGTGTGTGTGTGTGTGTGTGTGTGTGTGTGTGTGTGTGTGTGTGTGTGTGTGTGTGTGTGTGTGTGTGTGTGTGTGTGTGTGTGTGTGTGTGTGTGTGTGTGTGTGTGTGTGTGTGTGTGTGTGTGTGTGTGTGTGTGTGTGTGTGTGTGTGTGTGTGTGTGTGTGTGTGTGTGTGTGTGTGTGTGTGTGTGTGTGTGTGTGTGTGTGTGTGCGCATGTGTGTGTGCGCGCATGTGTGTGTGCGCGCATGTGTGTGTGTGTGTGTGTGTGTGTGTGTGTGTGTGTGTGTGTGTGTGTGTGTGTGTGTGTGTGTTGTGCATGGCCTGGGCAATTTTGCACACACGCACACAGATGAGTTTGATTCGTACATTGTTGTGTCGTTCGTCAACGCCACGCTTGTGCTGTCCATCGGCGAGACTGTTGAAGAAGTAACGGATTCTGGATTCCTCGGCACAACACCGACTCTGTCATGCTCACAGCTCGGTGACGATGCTCTTATTCAGGTATGGCTGCTGTGCGCTGTGTCTTGCAAAGCTTTCACTTCGTATCAGACCCACTGCTTTTGCGGGCAGCTCCACTGAGCTGACCCCCTCCCTGCATGCATAATACCCAGTCCCATTTGGTTGTAAAATCACTTTGTTGTCTTCCAGACAGTTCGCGCTGTCTGCTCTGAACCTGGCTGAACGTACTAGTAATAGTTTGCTATGATTACTAGTATTCCCTTTTTGGAACTTCAGTTCACAATACCCAAACTGGCCAACACAGACGGCCTGTAAAGAAAAGTAAACCGATGGCCACGATCTTTCCGTTGAGAGGCGAGTTTTTGCTGAAGAGCATGGCCGTGGAATGTAGCTCTGTAAATTCCTGTAATTGTTGCATGCCTCTGAGAAATACGTGCTTTGCGAGCCCTCTTAGCATTTTGCACCTTTTTCCTGCTTAGTCTCTCTAATTTCTGCTGTTGTGAATTATACCCTCTGGTCTGCAGGTCTACCCAGAGGGTATTCGCCACGTACGTGCTGACAAGCGCGTCAACGAATGGAAAACGCCTGGCAAGCGAATCATCGAGAAGTGCGCAGTCAACGATCGACAGGTCAGCTCCTCTGAATATCTCTCTCATTTTGGGGAAACAATGGTGGCATTTTCTTTGAGTACGAAAATGTGCACCATGCACGTTTATTCGACGGGGTTTACCATGATGGTGTGTCTCTGCAGTAGTGTGCAACATCTCACTTGTCTGTTGCTCTTTGTTTTCCAATATGAATACACCTCCATTGTCATCTTGCCTTGCGGTGGTGACGAATTGGGCCATACGGTAAAACCGGCAATTTTCGGGGATGTAATATTTTTGGCATTTCCCAAAATGAACTGTTCGGTAGCGCAAACATTTTTGGTGAACCAGTTTCCCAGATCCGAAAATGCATCCTGCACACTGGGTGGCATGGCGTGGTTGATGTTTAGGTCGCGTTTTATTTTAGGTTAACGCACTCTCCACATACAGGCATGCACCCGGCTCAGAACACATTGTTTTCTGGTTGGCATATCAGGGATATTGGGCGGAGCAGCTGGCGTGCATGAGAAAGACAGGTCGGCCTGCTCTGCGCAGGAGCTGTGACCCGGTGCACACATAGTGTGTGTGAGAGAGAGAGACAGACAGGTCGGCCTGCTCTGCGCAGGAGCTGTGACCTGGAGCACACAGAGTGTGAACGGGATCACACATAGTGTGTGTGAGAGAGAGAGACGGACAGGTCGGCCTGCTCTGCGCAGGAGCTGTGACCTGGAGCACACAGAGTGTGAACGAGAGACGGTCGGCCTGCCGTGGGCAGGAGCTGCGACCGGTAGTGATTGAAATGAGCCAGCTGCGGAGATAGACTGCCCTCACCCGATATAAGTATATTGACAAGAGTTGTACTGACACTGTTATTGAGGAAATTATGGTGACAGTGACGGAGAGATAGTGATCCCCAGTCGAATGGGGTTGGGAGGGAAGGGGAAATTGACAACTGACGGACAAACCAGTGAACAGTCAAGTCGTCGGAAAGCAAATGTGACAAAGGAGTCTCTCTTTTCTCTTGCTCTCTCTCTAAAGCAAGATTTGGAAAGCACGCGTGGGAGAGTGGCGTGCGCTGCGCATGCGCATGTATAGCAATGACATCATAATCAGATGCATGATCATCAGACTAAGTATGAGTGGTAGATGTTCCACGTTCGTTAACAGGGCTTAGCGCACACGCTAAACCACCATAAAAATTTCCTGTACCGAAGTTACCGAAAATAAATCTCCACCTTACACTTTTAATACCGGTATTCTGTTTTGTGTTATCATGTTGCTGTTGTTGTCAGGTGGTTATTGCACTGACTGGCCGCGAGCTGGTCTACTTTGAGATGGATCCGTCGGGCCAGCTCAACGAGTATACTGAGCGCAAGGAGATGACGTCCGACATCATCTGCATGGCGCTGGGCCCAGTACCAGCCAGTGAGCAGCGATCACGCTTCCTGGCCGTCGGCCTGGCCGACAACACCGTGCGAATCATCTCACTGGACCCGTCTGTAAGTCATCGTTGTCAGGGTAGCTGTCGCTGCTGCTGCTGCCGATGTATATCAGCTGCTGTGTTTGGCGGTGATCATTATTTCCAAATGTTTCAACTGGGATTGTCAAGAGTGCCTTGTTTACTTACTTGTAGTCTTATTCTGTTGTGTATTTTCAACTGCCGGTATTTTGTTCTTTTCTGGCTTGCTAGCCTTTTGCTTTGGCAATGAAGTGCAGTAGGCACTTGTCGATCAGGGTTTGCCAGAGTAGCTTGAATAACATGCTCAGTGCACCCTGGTGCAGAGAGGTGTACACACGTGTGCATGCACACACACACACACACACACACACACGCACACACACACACACACACACACACACACACACACACACATGCACACATGCACACATGCACACACACACACACACATGCACACACACACACACACACACACACACACACACACACACACACACACACACACACACACACACACACACACATATATACACACACACACATATACACACACACACATGCACACCCACACACACACACACACACACACACACATGTACATGCACACACACACACACACACACACACACACACACACACACACACACACACACACACACACACACACACACACACACACACACACTCACACACACACACACACCGAGGAGTGCAGGACATTTATGACCTGACATACTCACTTGGGAGCATCTCTATGAAACCTTTGGAATGCATGAGATTGGTAGCTGCTTTCGTTGGGCTGTGAACGACGGGCACCGTGCTGGGTATTAGCTGGCCACCCCTTACACACCTTTGCTTAATCTAGAATTTGCACTTGGTTTATGTGTTGTTTTTCACATTCTTAGGACACGCTGCAACCACTGAGCATGCAGGCATTACCAGCGGCCGCCGAGTCACTGTCTATTCTTCAGCTTGGCGGTAGCGCGGACGGTCAGGAGGCAGTCGGTGGCAACCCGCTGGGTACTCTCTTCCTCAATGTTGGTCTTCAGGTACGTGTGTGTTCAAGTGCACTTGCTCTGCATTGGCAGGCAGCATGCAGTGCATGCATCCTCCTGGTTTGTTTTTTTCCTTTCCAGGTGTTGCAGTCTTCATACAGTCGCCCCTCTATAATCCAGCACCCTTTATAAACCAACAGACCTTTCTGTAACTAAAGTGTCCTCTTCATGCACATTGCAGCAGTAGATCAGATTTGTTAACCCAGCATCCTCCCTAATCCAGCAGAATTTCCATAGCCCCCTGGTGGTGGAGGATTATAAAGTGTATCAGTATTGCTATAGGGCCCGTGTCATTTTTTTGTCTGTTTTGATAAATGCCGTGTACCTCCTCAGAACGGTGTACTTCTTCGCACGGTCCTGGATGCCGTAACCGGTGATCTAACAGATACCCGGACAAGGTCAGTGCCAGGCTCTCTCTCTGTCTCTCTCTCTATCTCCCTCTCTCCATCTGTCCTCCCCTTTCCCTTTGAGTCTTATGAGGTAGCATACTGGTCTGTCAACATAATTATGATGTACACTTTCATCACCTCAACTCCCATTCAACGAAAAATTTGACAGGTTATCAGCACTGGGCCGCAGCAGCCCTGCGTTTCCTCACCCTAGCGAGTAGTCTACCATGTTGAAATGCACCTACATTGTAGAGCAGTGCCGATAGCTAAGCAATCCTGCATCGACAATCAACCCTACACTCATCACGCGGTCGCTTGGCCAGAATGGTTTATCCGCCTATACAATGCACATCCATTGTCCACATGTGCAGCGCTGTACTAGTAGATGGCGGGATCTTGATCTGTTTTTTACGGCTAGTGTTGATGTGTTGATGTGTAGATGTGTTGATGTGTTGATGTGTAGATGTGTTGATGTGTTGATGTGTAGATACTGTCACCTTAGGCAATCTGTTGTTGTGTCTTGTTGTGTTCTCACAGGTATCTTGGATCGCGTGCTGTCAAGCTGTTCAATGTCAAGATGCAGGGCAAAGATGCTGTAAGTGTTATGTCATTGCCGTTGTTTAACCTCCTCCCACCATCACCTAATACCCAACGTTTTTTTAAACTAAGGGATGATTGTGTTGCGGATGCTCAAGCAACATGTGTTGCATGAAGTTGCCGGAGAACTGTTCCTTTTGGTTGGCATTATAATTATTATTGTGATTCTACAGTGGGATTGGGTATACAACCTTGCATATACATGCAATTACGGATATATGCGACTAGTTTCTGTCACCCGCGTCTCTTAGCAAGTCGAAGATTGGGTTTAGGGACGGACTGATCATAGTGGCTTTAACTCGCGAAGGATTGTCACTGGCCTCATCCGATCTCCTCGTATGTTAAATTTATTTTTTGATTATTTAGTGCATTCAACAGACCATGCCAATGTCTGAGTGGTGTGTATGGGAAGCAATGCCGTACTCCGTGGTGCCTTCTGATACTCAATGTGCAGTTGTTGTCCAATTCTTGCTTGTCCCTGCGCAGGTGTTGTGTGTATCTAGCCGGTCCTGGCTCAGTTATGCGTACCAGACACGTTTCCACTTAACACCACTGTCATACGAAGTACTCGAGTACGCGTCCAGCTTCTCGTCCGAACAGTGTCCCGAGGGTATCGTTGCCATCGCTCAGAACACTCTCAGGTAGGCATGTCAACATGCTCAGTTCTTGCTTACGCCGCACACAAGCACACACGGATTTTTCGTGTGTGTGAGAGAGAGAGAGAGAGAGAGAGAGAGAGAGAGAGAGAGAGAGAGAGAGAGAGAGAGAGAGTGCAATAATGCGTGTGTACATGCGTGTGTATGTCTGTGTCTATGTGTGTAGCTCCTTGCATGAATAGCATTTTTGTGGTGCTTCTTTCTTGACTTGGAAATGTTACTACCGCTGTGCATCGATTCATTCTGAAACAGCACTCTTTGGCAATATTATGTTGTTGTTGTTGTTGCTGTTGTTGTTGTCGTTGTCGTTGTTATCATTGCTGTGTTTTTTTGTGTTTTTTTTGTTTCATTCAGAATTTTGGCTCTAGAAAAGCTCGGTGCCGTGTTCAACCAGCAATCCGTGCCACTGCAGTTCACACCGCGGCAGTTTGTTATCGACTCGGTCAGCAATAACATAGTGGTTGTTGAGAGTGACCACAATGCGCTCACTGACCAGACCAAGCAGGAACGCAAGGAGCAGATGGCTGCGGTTCGTGCCTGTACTTTATTGATGATTTGTGGGTGTGTAGGTGTGTGTGTGTGTGTTTGTGAGTGGGTGGATGTGTGTCCGTCTGTGCGTCTGTCCCACTGCTGATTCTGTAGTGTGTTTGTGGACTTGGATGAATTGTCTTGTGTCTCACTGTGCCTTCTAAATGCTAAATGCCTCTCTATTGTCAGACTGTTAGTAATCTGTACTGTCTCTTTGGACTCACTCTACTCCCAACAGGAAATGCTGGAAGCAGCTGGCGCGGACGAGAGAGAAGCTGCGCAGCTCATGGCCGAAGAGTTCCTGACCGAGAACCTGCCGGACGCCGACTTCACTGCGGCCAAGCCCGGTACTTCCACCTGGTCATCGTGTGTCAGATTAGTAAACCCGATTGAGGTGAGACTGCGCATGCCAAGTTGTCTGTGCACATGGCTGGTGTTGATAGCCAGCATGCTCTCCATCCCAAAGAGGAATACACGTACGCGTCGGTGTTTCCTGTTTTGGAGGGAGATCATTTTGAAGTCAGACGTGGCCCTTGCTGTTGGTGTAAACTTGTTCTTTCCTCAGCCGTGGCGTCACTATCAAGACCAGTAACAGCAGACAGGCAAGAGAAAGTTGGACTCTTAGCAGAAGCAGAGAAGATAGTCGTCTGCTAGGTTGCAACTTCCTCTTGCCTTTCTGCTGCTGCTACTGCTGCCGTCATGTTCTAGCCGTACAGACACACAGTGCAGTGTAGCAGAGACTGCTGTTCGGGCCGTGCTCTAGCCTACGCCGCTACTGCTGCTGCTGCTGCTGCACTGTGTGCTATATGGCTACAACATCAAACAAATATAGCTGAGTGACTGTACCGGTACAGTGCTGCTAAATGAAATCCAATCAACTTTGCATCATTTCACAGCCCTGTGTTCACAGGTCTAGGGCTGCGCAACGCCCGGCGTGTACTTGAGTGACGCTGTGACTGGATTTCATTGAGTAGTACGGTACATTATGCCATGTACAGTCACTCAGCTATGGTGCTGACAGGGGGGGGGGGGGGGGGGGGGGGTAGTGTTGAGTGTAGAGTTGTGCACTCGTCGCCAGAAGTGTACTGCTGCTGTGATGCTGCGGGTGAGTGCTGGGAACAAACTGGTCCATTGCTAGGTGTCAGTGTGTTGTCTATATGCTGTATGTGCTGCTGCTGCTGCTGCTGCCCAAGTGTGTGTGTGTGTGCTCTACATGACATTGTACTTGATGTTGTTTCTACCTGCGTGCGAAGGGAACAAGCCTGCAGCAGATACCACTGAAGCAGAATGAAGGTGCTTTCAGGTACGTACTAGAGCGGTCTGTAGCACTGATGGCATGTCATTCCCTTCCCTGTGCAGTACAGTGTACTGCTTATGCCCGGGTTTTGTTTAGCAGAAATATTAAAGCTGCACTGTGTATGCGTGCTGCTTGCAAGCAGTGTTTTCATCAATTGTCAGCAAGGAAGGAGTTGTCGTGAGATCTCATCTGTTTGTGTGGTGAAAGTTTCGCAACTAACAATTTACCCTCGCTGCTTCCCGTTTTCCTCTTTTCTCAGCATTGCCTTGGTGGAGTTCGGCTGTCGGCCTGATGAGAGATTTATCGTGGTGGGCACTGCGACTGACTTGACACTGACGCCACGTCAGAGTTCAGGCGGTGCACTGCATGTCTTCCAACTGCTTGAGGATGGACAAAAGCTCGAGTTCCTACATCAGGTCAGTCATACATGTACACGTGCGTGTGTGGTGTGTGTGTGGGAGTGGGGATGTGCGCGGGGTGTGTGTGTGGTTGTGTGGTTGTGTGCAGGGGAGGGGGGGGGGGGGTGCGTTTGTCTGCACTTTTTGTGTTGGAGACAGTTCTTTCTTGCCAAAGACAGGTAGTTCTTGCACTGCACTCGCTTATCCTTGCTAGTGACAAACTCAACTTGTATGTATGTTGACTTTGCGGTGTTGGTAGACTCCTATCGACGGCGTGCCTATGGTGCTGATGCCGTTCCAAGGTCGCCTTCTTGCCGGCATTGACAATATGATACGTATCTATGATCTGGGAAAGAAGAAGCTGCTGAGGAAATGCGAGAACAGAGTAAGCCTTCATTGCACCCTCGCCATAATCTGGGTCTGTCTGTCTGTCTATCTGTCTGTCACAATGGAATTGGCCCCAAGGTTTTCATTGTATACCTTTGTGTCTGTCTGTCTGTCTGTCTGTGTTTGTGTGTCTGTCAGGCTCTCTCTCTCTCTCTCTCTCTCTCTCTCTCTCTCTCTCTCTCTCTCTCTCTCTCTCTCTCTCTCTCACTCTCTCTCTCTCTCTCTCTCTCTCTCTCTCTCTCTCTCTCTCTCTCTCTCTCTCTGCCTGTCTGTCTGTCTGTCTGCCTGTCTGTCTATCTGTCTGTCCGTGTGTCTGTATGTCTGCATGTGCGTATAGGAATGTGTGTGTGTCAGCATGTGCATGCACATGCAGAGCAGGAATGGTCAATGGACTTTGAGCAGTCTTGCATTGTCCTAGTTTCACAATCTGCACACAGAGGTGTTTCATCTGTGTACTGTATACCATGCTGTAAAGCACGTTGAGCAGTGATAATCACGATTGCTTCTCATCCTCTTCCTGCACCTTGTGAGATATGTGTAGTTGAACTGTGGAAGTCTTCAGTTCTGGTGTATGATATGAATCATATCATACAGGACTTTAGTGCTTTACGCTACGGAATGCTTCGAAGATGATTTTTTCTTCTCACTGTTGCTGCTTATGATGCTTCTTTTGTTGCTGATTTCTGATGCTGTTGCTTTTCTTGTTTCCACTGCCTGCAGTCCTTGCCCAACTTTGTAGTCAGCTTGAAGACGATCGGCACCCGGATCTTCTGCGGTGATGTCCAGGAGTCAGTGTTCCTGCTGAAGTACAAGGGCAAGGAAAACCAGATACTGCTCATGGCCGACGACACATTACCCAAGTAAGGATAGTGGTAGAAGAGTGCAGCTACCGTAGTGTGTCTTGTATTGAAGTATAGAATCCTGATTTTCAAGATCACTGTCGGCACACAAACCTGGGTTTAGTGTTGACACACATAGAAATACCTGATTTGAATACGAGCCTGATGTGAATAGAAGCCTAGTACGGCTTCTACAGGAATAAGCCCGGCTTTAATACGCGACATTACGGTATTTCTTTGTAATCAGTAGCCGTGATTTTGTGGCTCATCTTGCTGTGTGGTACTGAGTTTGACAAAATGATAATCCCTGCACGTGTGAACTCAATTGATCAAATTGAGCACATTGCTGCGCATGCACTTTCACTTATTCTAATAAACACTCTATGGCAGAGATCCAGTCCACAATCGGTATGTAACACCTGGGTTTAATTTGAGCTGAAACAGTTCAAGCGGGTAATCAATGATTTGGTTCTGTAAGCATTCCATCACAGAGTACAACTCGTATGTATGTGCTTGCATTGTATTATGATAGGGATTTCAGTCACGTGATCTGCGGGGGCAAAAGTACCTTGACAGGCATGCATGCATTTTGAATGCCAGGCATGGCACAGCTCAGAGCGGGGTCTTCGGCGTAGATTTTAGGTAGGGAGAGTGAGTTTATCGCCATTTTTATTGGCGCACCGTTGAAGAGTAGGTTTCAAGCTTTCGTTTGGTGCCTCACACGGCGAATTCGTGCCGATATTACGCATCTCGATAGATTCTTGTAGATTTCAAAGTCGCTTTTGAGGTGTTTGCCTTGGTTCCACACTCAAGCATCAGTCAGAATCAGATTCTACGGCATCGATTTAGTCAAGGTAGGTTCCTTCAGACGGCATGAAGGGTCGCGATCGGTAGCGGAAATTGTTTTGAAGTTGAACGCCATTACACAGTATGGAGGTGGAGAAGAAAGACGATTGGCTTCCGCCTTCCTCTGTGTTCATGGTGTTGTCCCGGGCAGTAGTTGAACTCTCGTTGAGGGCGAGAAGCAAAAATTATACCAAGTAAGTTAGCATAATTTGATTTTGCTAGTTGCAGCCGTGGATGGAAAGGATTTCGAGACGATGTGAAAATTGCCAGGAACAAAATCGGGCGTATCAGACAGTGGAGAAAAAATTTGCTGAAGAACAAGGCAAGTGACGACCTCAGTGAATTACTAAGTCATCCTTTTGAACTGCCTCTCAATCAAATTGTAAAGCAGATAACCACACACTGAACGAAAAATCGTATCTTGTGTCTGATTCTTGTCCAAGAAAGAAACATTGAACTGCAAGGACAATTGTGGGCTGCAGGGATTGCAAATTGCATGGATTGTATAAGTTTGGAAAATTATATCAGTGTTATCAAATTTCCACACCTGAGCAGTCGTACGTGCTGAGGTGTGGACATTTGCAACAGTTCATGTCCACGCTGGACCAGCCGTTGATGTCAGTGCTGAAGCAACAGTTGATGTTGATGCCGGCGCAGCAAATGATGGCGCTTTGGAGCCCGCACCCGGCATAGCAGGTCTTGACCCTGTGTGTGGCACCAGACTTGATCTTCCATGTGTCATACAAGTGCGTGGTTGTTCCAGGCTGCTGGTATTTTACTGAACTTATCTCTTATAAATACTCACCGCTGGCTGGCTTCTGTGTACAATACTCAATAGCCTCTAGTATGATCGTTGTGCGGCTAATGACATTTTTATGTGCGTCTCTGACTCGTTGCAGCCGAAAACGGGCCCTGTGTGACATCAGAGCTTGCTGTCTACTCGTCTAGTTTCCCACATGCATACTATATAACTTAAATGTTGTGTTTGCCGTATTTCTGTCATATTCCACCTATTACCATGTTGAATTATGCGTGAAATATACTGTTGCTAGGGCCGTTGCTAAGGACGCCATTGCTGCGGTCATTTGGAATTTTGAAAAAAAACTTTTATCTTACGTTCCGTCACAACCAGGGCCATCCTGGATCCAAGTTTGGCCACGATCGGATGAAGTTTATTTGTTGCTATGGTGTTGCCAGGGAGTATGGGAATTCCATTTTGTGCCATCCTGCAGATCCAATTTGTATGTGTGTTCATCAAGGTTGGTGCGCTATGTTTGAATGCTCATAACTTTGGAAATACTGCTTGGATTCCGTTCAAATTTTCTGTGGACAGTCCTTACACATAGATGCTTCAGGAAAACTTGTTAGTTGGAGCAAAGCGCTGCTCAGAAAAAACCGCCTGAAATCCCTAATTATGAGATGAATCCTTACACCTTGTGCACGGCTGTACTTCTTGTGTGTGTGTGCGTGTGGGTGTGTGTGTGTGTGTGCGTGTGTGTGTGTGTGTGTGTTGTGTGTGTGTGCATGTGTATGTGTGTTGTAACAGGTGGGTGAGCTCTCTGTGTATACTGGACTACAACACAGTGGCAGTGGGTGACAAGTTTGGAACAATCAACGTTGTGAGTACTACTACCACTACACTGCACTACACTACACTACAGTCTGCTAATTCCAGCTTGGGGTCATGTTTTGCAACAAGCCAAGATGTGTTTGGTAGATTCAAGAATAATAGGCTAGTCTTGTAGCATTTCCTGTAACATAGAAGCTGCGACATACTCGGCCATTTGAAATTTTGTAACGCTCCGTCTCTGCAACATTGAACACTATTCCTGTAGCTAGTACTGGTGGGCATTAGGTAGCTCATCAGAGAGAGACACAGAGACAGAGACACAGAGAGAGCATTTCGGTAACATAAAGTTAAAAGAAAAAAGGAGAAGAATGACTCTACGGATACGTCAGCAAGATCTGTGAATTAGATCATGAAAACACCAGTGCGACGACATTGACAAAAACAAGGGGGGCACTAATCGTGTGAGTAAGGTATTTGTGTTGCTGCCCTAAGTAGCTGACACCACATCTTGATTGCGGTGTGTATGTGATATTGTCATAACGTTATGTGTGTGTATACGCGTGTGTGTGTATACGCGTGTGTGTGTCTGTGTGTGTATGCGCGCGCGCGTGTGTGTGTGTGTGTGTGTATGTGTGTGTATGTGTGTGTACGTGTGTGTGTACGTGTGTGTCCGTACGTGTGTGTCCGTACGTGTGTGTACGTGTGTGTCCGTACGTGTGCATGCGTGTGTGTGTGTGTATTGCATGTGTTGTGTATAGGTACGATTGCCAACCGATGCTGGTGATAATGTGGAGGAAGATCCTACTGGCAACCGTGCTCTATGGGACCGTGGAGTGCTCAATGGTGCTGGCCAAAAGGTAAGTGATAGCCATGTTGGTGATAGTGTAATAGTTGTGATTTGGGCAAGCTGAACCCGCTCCCTAGCCTTATTCCTTTGTATGAAATATCGCCACCGTGAATCTGAGACTGAAGGAGAACATTACTTGCCGTGTGTGACGTTGTGTGTGTGCCTGCGTGTGCGTGTGTGTGTGTGCGTGTGTGTGTGTGTGTGTGTGCGTGTGTGTGTGTGTGTTTGCGTGTGTGTGTGTGTGTGTGTGTGTGTGTGTGTTTGCGCGTGCGCGTGTGTGTGTGTGTGTGTGTGTGTGTGTGTGTGTGTGTGTGTGTTTGCTCCCATCTAGGTTGAAGTAATCTGTAGCTATCACATTGGTGACACTGTGCTGTCCATGCAAAAGACAACACTCATCCCTGGTGGCGCAGAGGCCATCACCTACACAACGCTGGGTAAGTAAAGTCAGTCAAGAAGAGGACCATTTCAAGCAACCAGCATGCACTGCACTGAGAGCCTTTATTCCTACAACAGCCCTAGACTGCACTGAGAGCCTTTATTCCTACAACAGCCCTAGACTGCACTGAGAGCCTTTATTCCTACAACAGCCCTAGACTGCACTGAGAGCCTTTATTCCTACAACAGCCCTAGACTGCACTGAGAGCCTTTATTCCTACAACAGCCCTAGACTGCACTGAGAGCCTTTATTCCTACAACAGCCCTAGACTGCACTGAGAGCCTTTATTCCTACAACAGCCCTAGACTGCACTGAGAGCCTTTATTCCTACAACAGCCCTAGACTGCACTGAGAGCCTTTATTCCTACAACAGCCCTAGACTGCACTGAGAGCCTTTATTCCTACAACAGCCCTAGTTGCAATAAGATCTGGCTAGTGTTTGCAGCTACACTGTGGCCCGTTAGGTATCATCCTGGGTCTCGTGTGCCATCTTCCACACTGGTTCACTTTACGAAGATTTACTTTTAAAGTACATGTACTTTCAACATCCAGTCGCGTAGGTGTTTCTCTAGCTGTGGGAAGCCAATGATCTGGTTTTTGTAGCTGCTGACTATGTCTGTGGTGGTGTGGTGTATGGTAGTGTGCTGAGTGCTGGCATGGGGCTCTGGTATGGCCTTCATACACACACTGTAATACAGTGCTGACACAGGGCTCTGGTATGGCCTTCATGTACACACTGTCCTACAGTGCTGACACAGGGCTCTGGTATGCCCTTCATACACACACACACTGTAATACAGTGCTGGGCAATGTAATGAGATGGCACTGCTTGTTTTCCTGTGTCTTGTCTACGGTGTCTTGTTCTGCTAGGTGGCGCTGTCGGTACCCTGATGCCGTTCACGTCACGCGAAGACATTGATTACTTCCAGCATCTGGAGATGTACATGCGTCAGGAGCACCCGCCACTCTGCGGCCGCGACCACTTGCACTACCGCTCCTACTATCACCCGCTGCGGGTAAGTATCTCCTGCTGCTGCAGTTTTATTCTTTTGTCTGCGGGGCGATTGCCCTTGCCGCTGAGGATGTGGGTTTATTGTGTTTGTGTGTGTGTGTGTGTGTGTTTGTGTGTGTGTGTGTATGTGTGTATGTGTGTATGTGTGTGTGTGTGTGTGTGTGTGTGTGTGTGTGTGTGTGTGTGTGTGTGTGTGTGTGTGTGTGTGTGTCAAATGGTCAAATGATGTGTGTGTGTGTGTGTGTGTGTGTGTGTGTGTGTGTGTGTGAGTGCGCGCGCGTGTGTGTGTATGTGCTGTACTTGCACTCGACGTACTCACATGTATGTCGGTCTGTCTGGGGTTTTTTCTTCATTTTATTCCGTGCTGTTCAGAATGTGATCGATGGTGACCTGTGTGAGCAGTTCAACTCGCTTGACCACTCTAAGCGGAAATCTATTGCAGAGGACCTGGACAGAGAGCCGTCAGAGGTACGTGATACTTTGGTGAAATGCGTACTCTTCAAACACGACTTACCAATGCCAACGTCACTATTCCCATCATAATGCACGTATATAATAAATGTAGAGCCTCAGGATTTATTGCAATTACATACCAGTATAAAAACCGAGGTCCCCCGAGGTTTTTATAACTGGTTTGTAATTGCAATAAATCCTGAGGCTACTACATTTATTATACATATGTTGACCTTCACTTTCCCTAAAAGGAGTATTTTATAAACAGTATTTATTGGCCTTAGTGGTATTTTATATACAGTATTTATTGGCCCAAAAGCCAATAAATACTGTTTATAAAATACCACTATTTTAAATACTGTTTATAAAATACTCCTTTTTAGGGAAAAGTGCAGTGCTGCATGGAAAAGTACAGTGGTATTTATTGAGTCAAGCAAATTTATTTGAATTTGATGCTGTTGATGGTGTGGGTATTTATCAAAGGTCAATATATGTGTAGATAGTCAATGGTAGTGCAGCCTTTTAAAACCTATTCCCTGCAACGCTTTCGTGAAATCCGGGCTGTGCAGACACATTGGCAGGTGCGAAGTTCAGTCATGGCCTTCCACTGGTGCTTGATGCTAACTGTTTTGTGTGTGTGTGTGCGTGTGTGTGTGTGTGTGCATGTGTGTGCATGTGTGTGCATGTGTTTGTAGGTCTCAAAGAAACTTGAAGACATGCGCACTCGCCATGCCTTCTAAGCGTGAACTTGAACGCGAGCAGCGTACTCGAAACGGAGGATGCTCTTGGAAGACTAGGGAGCCAAGTCCCAATCGACAGGCCCTCTGTGCCCCACTGTTTATTGAGAAAGTTTTGAATTTTGTAAAGTGCTCTTTTTTTGTTCTTCTTCCGAAACAAACTACTTTTCGCTGTGTCCCTGACCAGGACAGCTCCCCCGCGCACACAACAGTGTGTTTGTTTAGGTCTAACATACTGCTGGCATTGAATAATATCGTGCATGGGTTATTTTTGTCTAGACCTGCCTGCTTTTCTAACCTCGAAAGAAACCTGCTTCCTGCTGTGCCCGTGGGTGGCAGTTAGCTTCCTTTGCTCTCATACGAACTTTCCCCCCAAAGCTTTGCAGCAACACACACAATACCTAGAACTGCATAAGAAAAAATACTACTACAGCATGCAAAACTCTTGCAACACATTCCGCCAAGTATTATAACAAGTGTTTTGTTTGTTTGTTTCGTTTGCCGAAATGAATCCCATCGCCAATCGGCTGTTGTACATGATATTGTTGCTGTTGTACATCGTTAAAATGTATGCTATTTCCAGCATGGGCCCTGGGGCCATTTGTAAACGGTTTAAAAAAAGGGGGAAGAGAAAACACAAGGAGAAGCGGAAACTGTCAACAAAAAAACATCAACCTTGTGGTGAAATGCTGAGAGAGAAAAATAAATTTGCTGCTGCTGGTGTGTCTACATATAGACTATGTACAAACTTCACAATAATAATAAACATGCCACTGAACATGCTGAATAAGCCCAAGGAGAGAACTGGGCGGCGGGCACGTACAGTGACGACAAGAGCGCATGCAGCATCTGCTGAACATGCTGAATAAGTCCAAGGAGAGAGAGAGAACACAGTTGAACTGGGAGGCGGCACTTACAGTGACGAGAGACAGCATGCAGCAACCCAAAGGAATCCCCAGCATGCAGCAATCCAAAGGCACCCCCAAAAGCAGGAGGAGGATGGATGGGATCAAGCAAACGCTGAATTAGCAACGTGCAAAGAAATCCAAACAAGGTAGTCTATCTGGGAGCATTTGGAGCAGTTGTGCGACTACGGCGGCCAGAGGCGGCAGGCACAAACTCCGTCGCATTCGGGTTGAAACTATCCAAGCTGTCGAGACCAAACGCAGACCCACCACCAGTGGGCCGCACTTGTCCTGCTGCTGCTGCTGCTGCTTGCAGATCACCACCGCTGCCGCCACCACCACCACCACCGCCGCCGCCGCCACTGTTGCGTTGCTGATACTGGCCATGATATGATGAAGACGGTGATGCATGATCTGTCGGTCCAAGACCAAACGAGGTAGCGGCAGCAGCACTAGCTACAGGATCACGTCGCCCCGCTGCTGCAGAGCCTCCAGCTTTCCTGTGGAAGTCACGTGGCGACGACGACGATGACGATGGTGATAATGACGAGGGCCCGCCTGATACCGGCTGTTGCGTGTAGCCTGCGGTGCGACCTTGTTGCTGCGGCTGCTGCTGTTGGCGGTATCCAGTAGCATGTGTGCCAGGTTGACTGGCACCACGGCTACCCCCGCCTCCACCACCACCGCCGCCACCACCACCACCACCACCTGTATTGCCACCTCCACCTCGGCGTCGACCTCCTCTTCGATTGTCCGATGGCCGACGATTCTGATTGTATTCAGAGCCACCACCGCCAGCAGCAGCTCCACCACTACCGTGATAATGCTGTTGTTGTTGCTGGTGATGCTGTTGCTGGTGATGCTGATGCTGATGGACATGGTGACTTTGTTGTCGACCTTGTCCAGAGGCAGGTTGTGATGTCCCTTTGCCGAGACCAGCAGTGGCAGCGCTATCCGTGTGGCGTGAACTTGCACCGCCACTGGCTGTTGTAGTAGCCATGGTGGAGCTGGCACGACTGCTGCTACCACCACCACCACCATCACCATCACCGACAACACCGCCGCTGCCACTGCCGCTGCTGGTGTCGGGTGTAACAGCCGCACTGCCGCCTGTCCCATCTAGCGCTGTTGTGCTTTCTTCTGCATGAGCAATCGCCTGGCCACCGCCGCCATCATCATTATATTGCTCCAAACGGCCATTGTCATGCGCACTGCTGTCCACTGCTGCCTGTGCTGCTGACATGCTGCCATTCACAAATGTACCATTGCCATCTCCTGCTGCTGCTGCTGCTGTTGCTGATACTACTGCTGATGATGATGATGACAGGCGCCGGGAGGGCGTAGCTGCAGCTGCAGCAGGAGCAGTTGTGGCGGTGACAGAGCTGGCAGCACCACCGGCTGCTGCCACTGGGTAGTCGGACATGAGCGAATCCGGGTTAGGTAAGTCGCCGAGGGCCGACTGCAAGTGGATATTGCTCTGCTCGGACAACCCAGTGGAGTGGGATGCCGGTGCTGTGATATTAACAGCACTTGATGACGTGCCACCTGTTGCTGGTAGTGTCGGCACACACTCATCTCCCCTTACTGGATCAGGAACAAAGTTTTCAGTCGTAGGGATAGCGGTTGAACTACTAACTTGACTTTCAGCAGCTACACCTGTTGTGTAGCTAGACAAGTCTGGCTGCTGCTGGCGTTGCTGCTGTAGTCGCTGCTGCTGCTCCTGCTGCCTGACCCATTGTTGCTGTTGTTGCTGTTGTCGCTGTGCTGCTTGCTTCCGGTGCTGCGCCACAAGCTGGTGTTGCTGCTGCTGGGCAAGAAGTCGCTGCTGTTGCTGCGCTATCAGTGCAGCTTGCTTCTGCTGCTGCTGCTGGTGATGAGCCGGCGCAGTTGCCATGGCTGAGCGATGACCTGCACCGCCAGCGGCAGCCTGCTGCTGTCTCTGCTGCTGCTCGTGTTGCAGCCGTAACTGCGCAATTTCGGCCGGTGCCAGAACTGACGATGATGCTAGTAGTGCTGGGTCCTGACTGCCAGAATGGCTCATTTGCGCAGCATTGTCCAATGCTGGTTTAGACGCAAGAGACAGTGGCCGTTGGGCCATGTCTTGATGATTAGTAGAGACAGAGTGAGCAGATACAGCACCATGCTCAGCTTGCTGCTGCTGCTGCTGCTGGATTACTGTGGTGTGTTGTCGACCAGGCTGGTTGTGACGCTGCTGCTGCTGGTACAAGCGATTCACCTCACCCTGATCTCTACCGGCGGCCGTGGCAGCTAGCATTGCTGCCGCTGCGATGTGATTGGCGGCTTCAGTGCTGGCCAAGGAGCTGGTGGAGAGATCTACATCGCTAGACTCTGTTGAGATAACAGCATTTCCAGCACCAGCAGCATGGCCATAACCATAACCTGCTGCTGCAGTGGTAGTAGTAACGCTGGTAGGCACTATATTATCAATTCCTGCTGCCTCCAGTTGCTGCTGAATGAGAGCAGCTGGACTGCGTTTGGTGGCTGCTGCTGCTGCTGTTGTCCCTGTTCGTCCTGCCACCGAGGTGAAGTGAGCTCCAGGTGCGGCTGGCCCACCGCGAACAACACCAGGAGGGAGCTGCTGCTGCTGCTGCTGAGAGAGCTGCTGCTGCATCTGCTGCTGCTGCTGAGGGAGCTGCTGCTTGTCAACAACAAGAGAAGCATGTGCAGCCGCCGCTGCTGCTGCTGCTGCTGCTGCCTGTGATTGCGCGGACAATCTAGCAGCATTCTGAGTGGCGTGCTGCTGAGCTTGCCGCATAGCCTGCTGTTGCTGCTGCTGTTGCTGTGACATTTGAGGGCGTGCAGATCGTACAGCGGGGGCTAACTGCACGCCGGCTGGCATGCGCGGTGCCTGCTGTTGCTGTTGTTGCTGCCGCTGCTGTAGTTGTTGCTGCTGCTGTTGTTGTTGCTGCTGCTGCTGTTGTTGTTGTTGTTGTTGTTGTTGTTGTGGTTGTTGTTGTTGTGGTTGTTGCTGCTGCTGCTGTTGTCGCAGGTGTGGTTGCCGCGGCTGCTGCTGCAATTGCTGCTGAACTTGAGAGTGTTGCAGCACCTGCTGCTGCTGCTGCATCCCGAGCGTGTTACGCGGTACACGAGCGTGGTCCGCATGCGCAGGCATCGGTGGCTGCTGCCGCTTTTGGGTGTTGACCTGTTGCTGATGAAGCACAGTACGCGCCATCAACAGCTGGAACTGCACGCCAAAGTTGTACAAGTGCTGTACAAGGACAGTGTCTGCACACACACACACACATAGAACAATACAGGAACACATACACATCAAAGCATTGGCATGTGCTACTGCCACAACACAACCTACTGCGGCTACAGCACGCTCGATATTGAACGGATGCTTTGACACTCTGCAAATGGCTGACTTCCCATAATGCAGGAGTCTGAGCAGGTCATAACAATCGTGGGCGGCACAGCTTCAAACTTCCACAGCACGCACAAGCCTGTGCGGCTTGTTCTCATAAATCATGCACCCAGGCCGTTGCTGGCAGTGGCATGGAGCCATATATAGACTCAGGAAAATTTAGCAACCAGGGTTTTCCCTCGCCCAATCGGTAAACATGGAGGGAATGCAGTATTCTTGAGATGACGTTTAGCATACAGTTAAATTCAGATTTCCCTCTCTAATGCCCCCCCCCCTTCCCGTCGATTTTCTACCTGTGAAGCAACTCCAGTGTACACGCAAGAAAAATACGGTGCTCAGCGAATGCGTGCACTTCTGCACTACACCGCAAGCCAGTGCGGGTAATGCGGTGGGTGGAACTTTGCACAGTTCAGCACGGCAAATCTGACCGCTCGCATTGCTTTACAGTTTACATTGCACTGCTCTTCAAAGCCTTGATCTATCCCCCCCCCCCCCCCACACACACACACGCTCACACTGTAAAAAGCTACAGCAAGCTGACAAAGGGAGATGAGACATGTAGCGGCGGCGGCATACACAGACAAGTAGCAGCAGCAGCAGCACATACAGCAGAAGCAGCTGGTAATGCGGATTCATGGGCATTCCAAGCATGACTGCTAACTCACCATTGGGGAGATCTGACAAGTCGGGCTTGGTGGAGGGACGCACGCGTGTAGTCAGCGGGATGTCGGGCATAACAACACCGGCCTGCTGCAGGAGAAAGCCGAGAAGACGTACACTCTGCAGCGCAGAGCTATTCCAGATCAGCGAGGCCAGGCGATCAGGAGGCGCTGTCATGAAGTACTGCCGGAACATGGCATCACCCTGTGGAGACACCGTGCTGGTCGTTGCAGCCGCTGTTGCAGCCACCGCTGCTGCTGCTGCTGCAACGGCTGCATGCTGGCTAGCCAAGTGTTGCTCCTGAAGTGGAGCTGCTTGGCCAAGCTGCTGTTGTGGCTGGTCGAGATGAGAACCACTCACAGGAGCAGTGGAGGACAGTGCTAGAGTGGCTGCAGCAGCAGGTGCTGCTGTTGTTGGACTGAGCAAAGCGCCTTTTGCACCAACCACACCAGCAGCAGTGGCGCTAGCAGTTGAATCTCCTGACGTAGTACCAGTCTGCATGTGATGCGAAGCAGCAGCAACGATGTCAGCGGCGGCCGTGGAGGTGGCGCCATGGCTTGGTAGGGCTAGCGAACTAAACTGTTGCTGCTCTGCTGAGTACAGTTGCTCACCAGGTCCAGCCATGGAAGGCATGCTGTCACTGGCATCCACACCAATAGCACCATCCCCTTCCGGCTCGTCTTCATCACTATCATCATGATCATCGCCACTGCCGTCATCATCATCATCATCATCTCCTCCATCTACTGCAGCTGCTGAGGTAGTTATAGAAGTGGAGGATTGACTGGCGGACACGTGCATACTGCCACCCTCTACAGACAGAAAAGCACACAGCATGGCACATATGCTTGGTTACCGCCAACGATGATACGGCACGGGAGCAGAATCAAACCGCATGCATCACGTCACACTCAGCTGCAGTCTTAACATTCGCATGTAACGTGGAGTGGTGACTATCCACACCCCTCTCGGCACGCAGACGTCTTCAGGGGGGGGGGGGGGTTCGGAAGGGGAGTATGTTTGGATGAGGGAGCGGGCGAACACCCATCTAAAACAGGCACACTCCCTCAGGCTTTCATCATTTCTCATCCTCCTCGGCATTATACCACAGAAATTACAACAAGGTGAATCCAGTCAGTCATCCTTTTCTCTCTAGCTCTTCTCTTATACCTTCTTGCTATTATTCACTTAAATGTGGGGCTTTGAATAAAACAAGGCGAGTCAGTCATCCACAGAGTGCTCAATGTGGATAGACACAGAGCATGGTACAAACAGCAAGAGGACGATGAACAGTTTGGTCAGAACTGAGAGTTCCATGTTAAGACTATCCTCAGACAACAAAGATATTGTCTCCCACGCATGCCCTTTGAAGTACTCAAGGAGTGCTAAAAACAAGTGATAAAATATCGCGATTTGAGGGGTTGAACATATTAAGATAGCCGTGCTGATTGCGTCAAAATCAAGTGTCGGACATCCCACATCACTCTTGCCATACCACACTCTATTGCAATGATTTGGTAGCGTATGCTTTTGCACCGCCATCGCGTAATCTCTCCTGCAGTCAACATGCAGCTCACTATCCAATACATATACATGTTGACACAATACACACTGCTATCTCATTATTACTGACTGATCAATGAAGATCTTTTGTCACTGGTTTTCAGCACTCCTGGAGTCTGAGGACCACATGAATTAGGTAGACTCCAGCTCCTTGAAACGGGGATATCTGTTGACCACAACCTGCTGCCATTGAAATACAAATGGTGCTCCAGGTGGGAAAAATCAGCAAAGACCCATTTTCCTCCCTTTAATTCCGTTCAAACAGGCATTTCGGATAATCGATCGTTCGGATAGTTGACGTTCGGATAATCGGAGTTCTACAGTAGGAATATGACCAGCTCGTTACATGCACCCAGAAGCCCAGGAATGAATGGGCACTAATAGCCATGTGATAGAAAACCAGGCTGCTCAGGACCCACTCTTAAGTCACCTAGAACCAAGACGTACCCGATGATGAGACGTCAGCCGACAGAGAAGCGTCCTGTGCAGCCTCACCAAAGTCAGCATCATGCGTAGCAGCCGCTGTGGCGCCAGAGTCATCTGAATACAGGTGGACGGCACGCACCCAAAAAAGGTCAAAGGCGAAACAACAGACACAAGTCAATTGGACGGCCGGACGGAATGAACATGGCAGCAACAAATTACAAGTCAACATGTTGTGTGCCTGCAGCTGGCCTGGAACAAGCTGAATGATAGCAAGCATAGCATGGAAAATTGTCTGTCGGGGGTGGAACGAACTGCTTGCCTAGATTCTCTAGGGCAATCAGTCAGAGAATATACCCCAGCATTACTATTGGAAGGATTCAGGTTGACAGCCAGACCTGGACATGGTTATCACGAGAGAGAGACTTGCCGACACAAAGGACCAACGGACAAACAACAAGAACTAGAGAACAAGCGGGCAAGACCTCTCTCCCGCACCACACCGACTGCCAAAGCATCTCACTTCCGCCAAGCACACCGCAGCACAAAGCGAAATGTTCAGATGTTTTACAAGCTCGGGTACAACACGCCAAAATGGCTTGTAACACCGGTCCACAAAACCTACAAGTAACAGATCATTCTATTCTCACAGCTTTGACTTGTAAAGGCTAGCTGCTGATGACACAAGCACCAGGCATGTATTCATGCACACACATTGTTACACCCCCCCCCCCCCCCCACACACACACACATGCATGCACACACCATGAACACACGGACACACACACACACACGAAACCCAACAATGCTTTCCAGCTGCTGCCAGCGACGTACGGCCAGTCGAGTCTCCTTCTTCACGTCCAGACACTAATGCGGACGGGGCCCCTCCAGTCCAGAGGGAGGTGGCTGGCTGAGAGTGAGAAGAAACAGCAGCACCCTGCAAGTGCAGAAGAAGAAAGAAGAAAGCAGATGAAAGCCTTTCTATTGCATAGGACAACAGCTCATCTTTATCCTAGATGCTGTTTAACACCCCGGTGTGGATGCATATCAGGAAAAGTACACTGCTGGTCAATGAAAAAACGATCGCGCTAGTCAAGTACGTGCAAGTAACCGAGCTGCACCAGTGCACAAAGCCCGGTGTTGGCAGGTCTGGGGCAGCACAGGGCCCGGTGCCTACATGACCAGAGCTATCGGATGCCACTGAGCAATGAGCAGTACACTACAAGTGTTCCCATACAGTTGCTCAGGCACAGGACAACAGTGTTCAGGCATGATTGCTGCCACCGGTGTATCTGCAGGCCAGTGAAGGATAGACTGTGATTCCTAACATGCAAAACAACCATAACAAATGCTAGCGAAGATACGACAATAAGGGGCCACACAACAAAAGTCACAAGGGCGTCACTGCTTGCACTTCCATACACATACTTTGAAGTAAGCTGACGTTTTCTGAAAAACGAAATTGGTCAGCCTTATCTCCTATTTTGTTTTGTGACAAAAGACTGATATTTATGGACCACCACTAAGGAGGAGGAGGAATTCGTAGCCGGGACAAACAGAGTGGTTGGTCCCCTGCACTTACAGGGAGCTCCGGGAACTGATTGTCACGATCTTGCTGCAGCTGTACCAGGTGCATCTGATCCTGGAACACACGCAACATACATTATACACACACCCACACATACATGCACGTGTGCACACCCACACAAATAAACACCCAAACAAACATCCAACACACCCACACAGCGTACAAGGAGTTGCCCTGATTACACGAGCCACTATAACCTTGGCGTATCGATCAAGAACAATTGTGATTGGGTTTTTTGCAGAAGGTGAAGGCATCCGTCCTTGAAAGGTGTCCGCTATGGGATACTAGTATTCTGTGGTAGGACCATTGTCTAATCTCAACCTGACAGTGTTTTGTCAACAATCTCAATTGTCTTAATCAGGGCAGAGTACTAGCACGTGACCAGCCAAAGCAATGCTCTCGAACAGCCAGCATGCACTCTATTCTCCGTCTGCACATCTCCATATCTATAAAGCCAAGCACCATGCTTGTTCAATGTTTAATCCTTTGAGCTAGTGAACAAGTCCACCCTGTGGCAGAGTGAGTTAATAGATGATAGGTGTACAGTGGTGAAGTACCTGTCACAGCCGCAAAAATAACACGTAGTCGACGTGCGAACACTCTTCCCAGCACTGCTAGTCTGTTGACACATATCTTGCTAATCATTCGACACATCTCCTGCCAGTCCCTTTCACACATCTCTTGCTAGTCCTTTCACACATCACACCAGGGCTCGGCTGTACCAGAACTTGGAGTGACACAACTCCGGCACGCATGCACACTACCAAGGAATACATCACACCCGCAAAAGCGTGCAACTCCACATGGATTCGCTGTAGGGCGCGCACCAAGGGCAAGAACTCACAACATGTAGCGCAGTGCTCCCATTGCATTCACACACTCGTAGCCAGGATAACTTATTGTGAGCAAGAAATGACTACTAGTAGGCTAGCACTCCTTGAAAGGGCAAGTGAGCAAATCTCTGGCAGAAGTATGATCAAGAATGTATGCTTTCCCCGCGCATCTTGTAATACAGTGTCAGTTCATCCGGTTCAGGACACATAAATCTACCGCCCGTTGTTCTGCTTCGTCTACCGTAGCTGTGATGCACACGCTCTTTGTACTTTGATATCTGGCTTCACTTGATGGCATCAGTGGGTCAAATGGTCGCGAAAGACTGATGTCATAACAATTCTGCCGTTAGCGGGGCGAGCGTGGAGTTGCACACTAGTGTAAAAGTCCGTAAATAAGTACTGTGGTCCCTCTATAATCCGGCACCATTTGTGCCACGGAAATCTGCTGGATTAGGGAGGGTGCTGGATTAAAAAATCTGATCTACTGCTGCAATGTGCATGAAGAGGACATTTGGCTACTGAAAATTGTGCTGGTTTATCGAGGGTGCTGGATTATAAAGTGCCGGATTAGAGAGGGACGACTGTACCTGCACGAAATAAATACCCCCTTCATCCTTTTTGACTCTTTCTGTTGAAGTCAAGTTCAGCCCGATAAACGTACTGCCCGAAATAAGTACCGGTATGGTTCGCACATGCAGCGCGTAGCATGTACATCTACATGAAGAATGACTTCTCCACTACACACAAGTCAGGTTCGAAAGTTAGTACGGGTGTGACCACTAAAATCGAAACTAAGTAAGTACTTATTTGCGGACTTTTACGGTATTGATTATGGACTCTTGCTATCACTTACCCGAACACTAGCGTCCAGTTCTTGATCAGGAGTTCCTGCTACGGCAGACGAGCTAGAATTCTGCTGAGCCGAGCGGCGAGCATCGCGTCGCCGTCGACTTTTCGATTTGCCAGCGGAGACAGAGCCGCCACCAGCCACACTCTCCCCGACTCCAGTTTCACTAGTTGCCATAGCGACAGCAACGCCGGCGGCAGTGCCAGCGCTAGTGGGTTTCATGTTGGCACTGCCGCCGCCGGCGGAGGTTGTTGTACCCTTCACGTCGGCATCCGCACAGTCCATAGCCAGCGTGCACAGATCATTCACAAAATCTGACATGCTCGCAGCACCCGACGCCTTGCCACCACCCATCACCGCCTGAGTGAAGCCACCAGAAGAGGTTGCCGACACTGCTGCCGCCGCTGCTGTCGTCGGCGAATGCAAATCCGCCGTCGCGCTGCTGGCATTGCCGCTGGGAAGCGATGGCCACACGTCGCCTCCATCAGCACTCTGAACACACACAACACGGGCGCATAAGCTGTTAGTCTCTACTTCCAGTACTTCCAGTATCCGTGTGTCCCTGTACACCCACCCCAGTTGAGGCGCGTACACTGCAGACACTCAACGCGAACCGCTCTAAACACTGTAAAGTAGATAAATCAGGAGGACTGCAGTGTGTCATTCCCTACATCTCCTGAAAAAAATAGATCACACTCAAACAGAAGATAGTGCTCAAATACAACTATACAAGGCCAGGAACAGAGCCATTGCAGGGAGCTGAGGCAAGAGCAGGCTGGATTGGAATTTACGTGTAACTCAAGAGCAGGCTGGACCTGAATTTACATGTGACTCGAGAACTACTACTACAGTAGTAGTCGGAATATACTGAGTATGTGTGACTCAAGAGCTACAAGTACTAGCTAGTGGCTGGTGTTGAGATGAGCAGACCAACCTGGCCATTGCGTCCACCTCGCTTGCGACGCCGAGACTCCGCAAAATCTACGCAAACCAGCAAGACATGATATCAAGCAAGGCATTCAACAGTGTGCAGCAATTACAATACAGCAAGACATGATATCAAGCAAGGCACTCAACAGTGTGCAGCAATTACAATACAGTATGCAGCACTATGAGGTGTCGCCTACAAGACCATATCGCATGCAGCGATGCCAGTTTCAATTCTTAAGTTCAAAGAAGCAAGGTGTACTGTGTTACAATAATAAATACTGGGTTGGGCGCTGAAGAACGATGCGCCGAAGAACGAACATGCTAGGATTTCACCATGCACTGGATAGTGGATACCCTTACGTACATAGTGGCTCAGCCATATACAGAGTTCTACATGAAAAATAAGAAGGGCCTAAAATTGTAGGCTACGACTCTGAACTTGCTCTTCGGCACACCAGACCGTACTGTAGTGCTGTAGTACTGTAACCACCCGCACTCACACCCGCACTCACACCCGCACTCACACCCGCACTCACACCCGCACTCACACCCGCACTCACACCCGCACTCACACCCGCACTCACACCCGCACTCACACCCGCACTCACACGGAAACAAAATAACGACAACCGGATATCAGGACCAAGGTTGATGCTACACTAGCGCCTGAGAAAGCAACAGACTTCAATCTCCACAAGTTCCAACCACATCATCATAAAGGAAGACCAAAGACCAAAGACCAACACACACACACACACACACACACACACACACACACACACACACACACACACACACACATATGGAGAGCGTTCTGCTTACCCTGTGTCGGCGACAGACTTTGAGCACCGGTGCTATCAGTAGATGCTGATGAAGCTGCGCCAGTGGATGAAGAACGATCTCCCCCAAAGTCAGAAAGCTGGTTGTAGACTGCACAAATACCCAACCAAATGAACAGACAAGAAGACGGTCAGTCAGATGAACAAACACGCGCACACAGCACACGCACAGCCAAGCAATAGCAGTGGCAGAAAGCCACCCATTTCGTGTGCATTCATACTGCCCATAACTATCACTTCATATCCTTTTCTCACAACACACCATCTTGTGCAAACGCCCGCCTCATAAAGAACCCTGTTTTCCATACACATGTAACAAGGCTGATCTTCAATGTGCACTCCACCCATAAATGTCACTCCACCCATAAATGTCACTCCACCCATAAATGTCACTTCACCCATAAATGTGCACTCCACCCATAAATGTGCACTCCACCCATAAATGTCACTTCACTTCTGCTTCTCACAACGCACCATCTTGTGTAAAAGCGTGACTCATAAAGAACCCTGCTTTCCATACTGTACAAGGCTGATCTTCAATGTGGACCGTTGGCACACACGGGTCTAGTACTGCGTCTTCTATAGGAGCAGGTCTCAGATAGAAGCCTGTGAAATCCTACTATAGCGCATGCAAGCCGCGGCTTTCACGCAAGACCTTACGGTAACTGCATCGGAGCCCTTGCTCAGGCCAAACCACTACCACCTCTGCTGTATCTAGCACAGCACTGTATGCACATGGTAGACTTTCGATTGCTACTTCATGTACACACACACACACACACACACACACACTATAGGACATGCACACACACACACTCGCGCGCGCGCTGCATGCATGCGCTTCCTTGCAAGCTGCTCCAGCACCAGGCCCGGCTTGTAGACTCACATGTGCCCACTGAGGAGAACTGTTGCTGTTGTTGTGGTGCTGTGGTGGCTGCGTCCTGCGCGTTGATGGACTTGAGCCGACTCATAGGCACACACTCACTACATGCACACGGAATGAAAAAAAACATCAACAAATTAAAAACGTACAGACCGAGACTTAAAATATTGGCAGTACACACTAGCATGGTATCATGGCATCATAATAATCCAAATGTTCAGTGTTATACAAATCCTCCCCCCCCCCCCCCCCTCTCTCTCTCTCTCTCTCTCTCTCTCTCTCTCTCTCTCTCTCTCTCTCTCTCTCTGTCTCTCTCTGTCTGTCTGTCTGTCTCCCCCCCCCCTCTCTCTCCCTCTCCCTCTCTGTCTGTCTGTCTCTCTCTCTCTCTCTGTCTCCCCCTCTCTCTCTCCCTCTCTGTCTCTCTCTCTCTCTCTCTCTCTCTGTCTCTCTCTGTCTCTCTCTGTCTCTCCCTCTCTCCCATACACAGGAACTTACCGCTTTCCCAGTTGAAACACGTACACCTGTAACAAATGCAAAGTACACACACGTACACACACACATACACATGCACACACAACGCATCGGTGAGACAAAGCTCCACCACTTGACATGCATCCAGTAGCAGCAATCAAGGCAGGTGTACACAATATACTTCCTTACTACAGTGCTGGACAATCACGCAGGACGGATTTTCAATCGTAGGAGACTCAGCAAACTGTAGTTGGTAGTCTATGAGGTCCATGTAGTACCGAGGAATACCTTGCTGCGACAGTACTGTCATTTCGTCAGTACTGACACCCGCAGTGTGTTGCCAACAACACCATCCATTCATTGGCAGTGCGGATTAAGTAGCAATTTTGTAAGTGCTAGTCAGTGCGGAGGACAGTTAAGAATAGAGGGGCATGGTGGAATCGTATGTTAGAATGCACCACAAGCTGGGCCCGGCGCAGTGATCTATTTTCTGCGGAGAGGGCTGAAGTAGAACTGCAGCCGTGCAGGAGAGACACACTGCAGTGTAGCTGGGACGCTGGCTGATTAGGGTTCGCGACTGACACCCGTACATGGTGTACAGTCCAGTCATGAAAAGTAAAATATTGCAGAGAAGGTTACACCATAGCCAACCAGCAGCTTCAAGAGCTTCACACATATACTAACGTGATGCGACTCCATGACTGCTGATAGACAAGACACTCACCATAATAGTGGCCGAAACGTTCTCCGGTTGAATACGCTTGATCTCCGCTTTCATCCACTGGCCGTCGATTTTGGCCTGATGGACAAAACCAAGTGATATGCACAGAGCTGTGAGCAAGCTGAGAGAACATAGTGTCCCCGGGTTGTGTGGGTGAGTAAGGATCCTAGCCATGCGCATGTGACATGTATACAGCAACAACATAGCGTGCACCATCTCTCAGTTAAGAAGAGAGAGAGGTGAATGGATGTGTGCGTGGAGCTGCAAACATCATGCAGTGCTCGTACCCCCTTGCTGCACAAACCATGTTAGGGGCCATCCGCAAGAATAGATATTTACAGTATTTAGAAACGAAAACTAGTCGTTTTGAGGGGAGGGGGTTGAGCGCCTGTTCGTTTCTCGAAAAATATCGATGCACAATTTGTATGTGTGGGCACGTCCAGAAAAAAAGAAAAAATATCGATACTATGTACCGTTTGTATGTGTTCGTTTCTCAGGGAGGGGTTGAAGAGAAATAGTTCTTGTTTCTAAATAAATATCGGTATCTACGGATGGCCCCTAACAGCATTGCACAGTACTCGTGATGTGTGCAATGCATTGAGGTACGTGTACGTGTGTAACAACACTAAGCTATTCACTCTTGATGCAGTGGGCAGGATGACTCTTTGACGGCACCATGAGAACATGACCAAGAGCGTGCAACTACGATCTGGAGCTGCTGCGGACAGAGCAAATTGGATGTTTTTATTTCACCATCTTCTGGTGGAAGAATGGTCAAGTGGAAAAGCCTTTCTGCGCTTGTCATGTAGATACAAGACAATATACAAGACTCGGAATGGATACGGTCATACTAATACAATTTAACTTTTCTAAAAGTCAATCTCTTTTTCAGAAATGATGCGAAATAACAATGGGAACATGGATTATACCAGGGAGAGGAGTGTGTCGAAAACAATGACATGATTAACAGTATGCGTCTCGAGATTTGTTCTGCCTGTGTGGTTTTGCTATTTTAGTTATGCAGCTTGAATACAGGCCCAGCTTGAATACAGGCCCAGCTTGAATCTTCAAGCTGGGCCTGTACTGGTATGTCATCGTGTGGGAAGTCAAGCTTCCACCAGACAGACAGACAGACAGGCACGCAGGCTACCATGAAAAAGCTGACACCCACACACACAACTATCATACCATGCACATGTCACCGTTGTTGAACTGCATTGAAGACGCAAGATTCCGGTCACTCTGTGTTTGCTCTGGAGACAGACAGGGCAAGAGAAAGACAACAATCAGCACAGAACTCAAACAAAGCCAGCAAGGTAACGCACTGCCATGCTTACCATACAAGCCGAATGCTATACTAACTGCAAACAGGGAAAGAGAACTTACGCTGCCGCTCTGCCTTCCACTGCTCGAATTCCAGATTACGATAGCGATAATCTCTGCCGGCCTGATCTTCATGCTGTGTGGATGCTGATGAGAGTCGGCCACTGGCCCATGCGGATTCACCTGTTGAAGTTACGCAGTGACAACAGACACGAGAAATAACTCATCAGGCAATGATGAGACTGAATACGGCTCTGGGGACCCACCACAGTCACTGTGAGTCCAGAGACAATTGCAGAGCTGAGTGGTAACATTGACACCCTATCTCCGAGTTAGAGCTATAAAAAGTACGAACGCCGCAGACATCACCACGCAACATGACAACTTGTTAGAGGTTAGAATGTGTTTGTTTGCAGAATTGATTTTTAACTCCGATCATCAGTGGAAATACGAAGCTGAAGTGATCAAGTGAACAAACAAAGGAAAAAAATCCAACAAAGCATTCTAACCTCTGACAAGTTGTTGCGTGGTGATGTCGGCGACATTCATACTTTTTTATAGCTCTAATTAATTAAACTATTGCCTCAACCCAGATTATTTATGTCCGAGTTGATAATCAAACCCTTATTTGCCGCAACCCCCCCCCCCCCCCCCACACACACACATGTGCAGGGGACAAAGCTCGTTCCAGGTTGCTTACCATGTGCAGTAGAGGAGCTTGACTTTTGCGAGGATCGATCCACCAAGTCGTATACAATGGCTGCAGGTGAGAACACGGTCAAATCAAACATGTCCTAGAGTTTGAATGAAAGGAATAGACATAAACATCCGCAGCATGCATCCAAAGTACAGGACCTGACACTGTATATATACGCATTCCACTGGGGACTGTCCCAAGTCACTAGGGGTGTGTTCACCTGGGGTGATCTAGCGCAGAGCAAGCATGTGGAGCAGTGCGAGCAGTCAGTTCTGTCGTGAACGCGATGGAGCACACAGATCTGTGATGTTCACATGGGATCATGGTGCCTGAGTTCATCTTTTTCAGTTGTGCGGGAAAATCAAATACAGTGAGACCTGTCTAAGCCGACCGCTCATGCAAGGGCAGTCTCCTTATCCAGGGTCATAAGACTGGAAATGATTATTCCCTTGGTCCTGGTTAGAGTGGCCTTCTGAGACAGGTGGTCGCCACATCTAAGTGGTCACATTGACAGGTTTTACAAGTACTGTAAATAATACGTGTGTGCACGTATGCAGCTTGCAAAATCTCAAACGAAAAAGTAAGCAGCGGCAAAAACGGCACTGCTCTGCCTGCTCGACCTCATGGCAAAAACGGCACTGCTCTGCCTGCTCGACCTCATGGCCTAGAGTAGCAAGAACATGATCTGTACGCTCAAGACCCAGTGCAGGTCAGCCGGACATGTGTGTTCCTCAAGACCCAGTGCAGGTCAGCCGGACATGTGTGTTCCGCATGATCCTGTTCTAGTCCTGTACCAGATGACCGCGCCCTAGTTGCCAAGCGCAGGTTAACTTGCCGTAAGCAACTAGACCCGGTCACATGCCATTGCACAATGTGACCATTGTAAGGCAGGCCCAAAGGTACAACAAGGTCATGAACAGATGAGTAGTGTGTAACAATCCAGCAGAATCTTGTTAAGAAGAACACAGAGAAGACCAACTTTCGCTTTCAAGTTTAGAAAAAAACTGGTATCCATGACTCCACAGGGCAAATCCCTTTGTATTCACGGCGAATTCACTGCGTAACCACTGTATAGGGAACAAACACCATGGGCCAAGAGCGTTCATCCCAAAGAGGTTTGACTGTATAGTGTACACACATAGCAGTGTGCACTGCAGCAGCAGAGCACTATCTACTTACTCTGACACATTCCTGAAGTCCGTCTGAAGCTGATCGGGTACACGTTGTCGTAGTGAGAACCGTCCGAAAAGCACAGCATGATCTGTGTAGACACGCACACACAAGATCAGTGTGTGTAGAAACGTCCACCCGCCCGCTATAAGGACCGGTTTTCCGTACACCACGGGTTGATCACTAACGGCATGCTTGCGCTGTACGTCATGTGAGTTATACGTGGTGTCAACGTGAGCACTCGGTGGTCACAGATCAAACTTTTCCTGATCTCATAAGAATAGCATGATCTGTGTGATGTGATCTCAAACACATACTCTGCTTTACAAGGAGGAAAACTTCCTTCTGCCAGCGGAGAGGGCTCAACACAAAAACGTGGAGCACTATCACACACAAAAGGCACAAAGGAGGTTTACACATTCTGCTTTATGTAGTCCTACAGCCATCTGCATGTACGCCTAACCTTGAAAAAAGATCAAGACTTTAATCAGGTCCAGGGCCCAAGGCGAGACCCCGGAACAAATAATCCAACCTACCTTCTTTGGATAGCCATTGCTGGTGATCGGGGTGGGAGCTGCACCGACGTCTTGAAACACATCAAAGTCCACCCTAAAACACAGCGCAGACAAGAATGCACGCATACACGCACACCAATACTAGTATACGCTGTACAAATGTGCACACAGCGTCGCACAGCATCAGCATACTATCTGCACAATGCAGCAGAGCAGCCAGGACAAGCACTGACACAACGTGAAGCATCGCGTCAGTTTATTTCCTTTGGACTGCTGAGCTGAAGGTACGGGTTGCCAGAACAGATGATAATATGGCTAATCCTTGATAGAGCCATGCATACGAGCCTGCAGGCTATGTAGCAGTTGCCCTTATCTGATTAGTTCCTAAGCTAAACGACAGAGAGAGAGAGAGAGAGAGAGAGAGAGAGAGAGAGAGAGAGAGAGAGAGAGAGAGAGAGAGAGAGAGAGAGAGAGAGAGAGAGAGAGAGAGAGAGAGAGAGAGAGAGAGAGAGAGAGAGAGAGAGAGAGAGAGAGAGAGAGAGAGAGACGAGAGAGAGAGAGACGAGAGAGAGAGACGAGAGAGACACACACACCATGCATACACACCATACATACACACCAAAACAAAAAGCAAAGCAGACAGACCAAAACAGAGCCGAATTAGATCTGAACAGGCAAGCAAACAAAGATATTAGTGCTACAGGTATAACTTACTTGTAGATACGGGACAATGCTTCAATCTCTAGTTGACCTGCCCAAGCCTTGAAGAACAGAGTATAAAGAGAAAGACAACACATATCATGACCCAAATCACAACATCAAGTGCTTGCAAGAAGCTGACGACACAACCACCACTTTAAAACGCAGAAACTGGAAAAATTGTCTTCAGCCACGCGGAGTTCAGCATAGCACCAGAACACTGAATGAAACGACAATTACGCCTGTGCCGCATTTACATGCACCGAACGAGCAGCACAAAAATATGTCCGGGCATGAATTGGCCAATTCCTGATACCCATGAACACAACTCACCTGTGGTGACTCCATTTTCTTCATGTAATCATCGAACGCCTCGTCAATAAACTGTGCGAGAGAGCAAGGAGAAGGCATGCACAGATTCAGAAACATGACCAAAATGATTAGCCTAGTATTGGAATCATCCACTCATTAGAGGTGAAAGTTGGCACTGAGATCCCGAGTTCGAGTACTCTGATTTTCTCAGATCGAATATTTGAGTATTCTTCATCTCCTAAAAACTGCACACCAAGGGCCTTAAAATCACATGATACAATCCTGATTGAACCGAGTGGCAGTCATTTTTCTCGGGTACTGGTCGGTGGGTCATTTGGGCTCTCGCTACTTGTGAACAAATGCTCACCACAGACTCTGCACATCAAAATCTGCCAACTGCTGCTCTGAAACTGCAGATGTCTGTGGTAAATGCATGTACCATGTATGAACGAGTACTCTGATTTATTCCGAGTACGATTATTTTTGAAAAAAAAAACCAGCGAGTACTCGAGTATTCTGTATAATTGTTTCCCCCTACCACCCATACAACTGAGAAGTTGAGTGTCCAGTGCACTCTGGGGTAGTATATAGCCAGCACAGCTCGATATACAAGTCAGCAAGCCATTGCCATATCCACAACAAGCACGGAACTCCGAGTCACAAGACACAAATTGCTTGGTCGTCACCAAAATTGACCTAGCGTGCCATTGTTCCGTTCTGAGTGTTGAACACGCTTTATGCAATGGTGGCACAGATTTTATATTGCTACGTCTACATGTAAAATCTAGAGTCGATGCGATAAGTTAAAAAAGAAACGCATGCATATTCGAATGGACGGATATCGGGTACGTACACATGAGAAGGTTTCGGCATTCAACCGCATGTATGCTACGCAAAGAAGCCTGATGGCCCTGTGACGGGCTTGGTTGTGGAAAAGCTGTGCACAAAGACCAAGAAACAAGAATGTCAGTACCACATCAGTCATTATTGTGCTAACCTGCTGCACGGTGAAACTCACCAATACCCTAAAGTTGCGTAGAAAAGACGCGGCTTATATGAGTTTTTGGGGGAAATTTTGCAGGCTTCTACATGAGACAGGCTTCTATACAAGACATGTATTTCTATGCACGTCAGCACTAAAACCAGGCTTGTGTGCCAACAGTGTATCTCGAAAAACCAGGCTTGTATTCGAGGCAGGCTTCTAAATGAGACAAGCTTTTATACAAGACACTACGGTACCTTGCTTATAATTGTCAGTGTTGGACAACTGCGGATAACATGTAAACCTTTGGTCCTTCCTTTTTGATTTTTATCCTTGGCTCTCCATCTGAGCTCAATTCCCCTTAGGGATCTCGATTTTTTTTGCTCGGCCTACTTCCGCTCAGGCTGGAACTTGTGATTAAGAAAAGGAAGATATGGACCTATAGCATACTTCGGACAGATTTGTGCAGAGAACTGCTCAGAAAGTTACGCTCCTATAACATACCGTAAAATTTCGTAAATAAGCCCACCCTAAATAATGCCCATGTCCGATAATAAGCCCAGTTTTAGACGGTGTACACTTCAAGTCCGTTTTAGCGCCCATGCCCGAAATAAGCCCAGGGCGTAAAGTGGACAAGTGGTTTACCTATCAAGTCTGTAATTTATTGCTACATTCTTGGTTACGACCAAATTTCCAGCTGTGGTTTGATGTACCCGTACCGCGCTCAGTGTGAATGGTGGTTCACTGAAACTAGTGGGTTGCTGATAGATTGATCTTCTGCAGATTGCGTCCGAAATAACGCCCATGCCCAAGTATACGCCCGGGGCTTATTAACGGAATTTTACGGTATAGGGCTCTGAACGACAGATTCATTACAAAAATATAATAATATATTTTAAAGGTACTCCAGTGAGCGTAACACAAAACGTCGTATTCTGAGCACCAGTGTACACTGTACACCCACTTCTCTCACACATCTTCAAGAGAAGTGACCTGCCCCAAAATCAGCCACCTAACCCCAAAACATAATACATATTATATTCCTAGAACTACAAGAAGCACCAAACTAGAAACGATAGTTTTCAGACTTTCCTAGACCCGTGGCGATTTTCACCATACCCTAAACTAGGCTAAAGTGGGTGTTCGCGCACAACTAATTTCATCGTGCTTAGAATTTAGACGCTATGCTCTCTTTGCACTGCTTATTACATTCCAAAATAAGACTTTATCGAGGGAAATACAAGAAAATAATGAAAATTTGGTTGTAATCAAGTGACTGAGCCAAACCACTCATCTACACTGAACGCCAGGCGTTATGAGCTAGGGAAAATTAATCATATGTCCGCACCTGCTCAGACACGGCACGGAAAAGACAGGATCCATCCTTGGCTATCAATTTCCGCCATCGGCCAGTGGACTGCAAGAATTCATCCATAGGAGTGGACCCAGGTCGAGGAGGGTGATCCCCTCGCTTCTTTCCACGTCCCATTGCTGCTGTTAGCAGGGGAGAGAAAGAGATTTCCTGGAGGTCAGCTACACCGAATATTCATTGCTCCTAGTCTCCGAAACGAGTGGAACAACAAACATGCGAGGACTTCGGAGCTGACAAAAACGCTGAACAGAAAGATGTGCCAACAAACATTATAATCCTCAAAAAGCCTCAAATTCATGCAAACAAGTCATGAAAATGTGCCACATGCACAAGTACAGTACATTACGATCAGCTATGTAGCGTACACGCGCTTTGGCGTCTGTGACGCCATTTTCTTGGCGCGGCATACCATGGCAACGGGTTCGGTAGTTCGGCGCGCGGCAAAATAAACGGCATAATTATTATTTTTAAAAGACAGTTTTTTTCACGTTGTATAATTAAATCAAACGAATGAAAAACGTAAAATCAGAAATCAAGAGTCCATTAATTTAAACCATGTAACTTACTCTGAGTGAGAAGAAAAAGAATGGTGAGCCTTTCTCTGTGGCTTTGATCAGAGCCCAGCTGTCCTTTGCTCTCGTGAAGGCGGCCGTGGCATGCCTTCGTGGGCATCGCCACAAGTCGAGCAGGTATGATCCTCATGCATATTCTGCCACACTTGCTGTCTTCGAGTTGGAGTGTCATCTGTAGGCAACCTGTCTGTTTTCCCCAGTTTTTCCCCTTTTTCTCTGTATCATTTTGTATGTTATAATTTCCGCGGATTCCAGTTTTTCTCCCTTCAAATAATATTTGAAGGGAGAAAAACTGGAATCCGCGGAAATTTAAGCGAAGTTTAGCGCGTATTGGCTTAGGCCATCCAGAATTAATTCGTTGTTTCGGGTCACCCGACCGACCGTCTTTTTTCACCCGACCGCAAAATGTTTTTTTTTATAGTGCATGCAAATGTACAGACTAGACTGTGTACACACGCGACCCTAATAATAGCGGTCCAGATATCCACCTCAGAAGCAGCCATGGCTAGCCAAATGACAGGATGCAGCGCTTGGTGACGACGTTGTCTTCTATCTCCGATCCGCAATCGGTCCTGAAACAGCATCAGCTCCGCCACCTTGTCGCTATTTACAGAAGTTTTCAAAGTGAGAGCTGCTCGCCGGTCAGACTCGTTTGCCAGCGAGCGCGAGGCCAATATCTGGTCCTGGAGGGGACCTGGATCTGATGGGACAATGACTGCGCTGGATTGTTTCCACTACAGTCAGATTTGATCGACTGGCTAGATGGACAAAAGCTATTCGATGTACATGTGCATGGACGTAACCAAAATAAAAAAATAAAATAAAATAAAAAATATACCCGACCGACCGACCCTGGTACGGATGAGTGAAGTGACCCGAAACAACGAATTAATTCTAGGTGGCCTTATGATTTCTTTTTCTTCTGTTTGTATTTAGCGCTTGACCGGTTATTATTGTCCTTCTCTTTATTTTGCGCTACATATTATTATTTTTCTGGTTTATAATTATACATAAACAGTTTATGCAGAGAAGGCGAGTCGTCCAATACGTATTTGACAACTCCCTGTTTGGCACCTATGAAATCAGGGGATGGCCCACGCCTGGTAAAAAAACAACAATGAGAAGCTACAGTGCGCTAGTGCATGCATGAATAATGTGCAGTACACACAGAGTAGCGTATGGCGTACAGCAGGGAGTCGTCAAATGGTACTGATTTGACGACTCCCTGGCGTAGAGATCATGTACAGACGGACTATGGATTCGAACACAACAGAGTGGAAAACCGGAATCCGAGAAAATAATAACACAAAATCATGGAAAAAGGGGGGGGGCGGGGGTGAAGCAGAACCGTGAGTAGCCAAACTCACCGTGGGCCACGGATACTACACGTAGTAGTTACCAGTTACCGAAAGCACTCTGCCGCAGCAAGGCCACAGAAGCCTGAGCATCAGAGTCAATGACTCTCTGGCGGGCATCTTGAGACCGTGGCCTGCGGTGCCGGACCCGTGACGGAGGCTGGCCGGATGATGGGAGGCACGAACAAGAGAACTTTGAAAGGAAACCCTTGACCTTATCAGTAAAGGCAAGAAGTGAGGAGAAGGGCTCCTTTCTCTTGTTCGCGAGCATAGAGGTGGCACGCTAGAAAAAAGCGGAGGCGGACTTGCCGTAGCCGCCGGAAGCCTCGCTGAGCACAATGGGAGAAAATGATGCGTGTTCAACTTCCCAGACGCGTTCTTTGTACGCGCGCCTTTTCTCGGCCTCATGCTTCCGGTAGCACGGTGGCCGTGATGGACTGCTGGCGGTTGGAGCGGGCGTGCGGGTTGAACACCCGGATGTCCAGTAGTGCCCGTTCGAAACGTCCACCCCAGACACCCGATGCGGCCACATCCAGGCGGGCACCATCCTCGGAGATGGCGGAGCGGTGACGGAAGGTCTCACCGGTTAGCAGCTGGAGATGTGGCTCGACCTGGACATCATGGCCGGGCCCGACTTAACTTAATTAACGCAGGAGAGATGCAGTGAGATCCCGTAGGTCATTATGCCGCACGGCGGGGCAGCCACCAGTCGGGCAAGACAGCGCGGCGTGTTCCGGTGAAAACGCTTTGCCGCACCGTGACCGTTCTGTTGGCAGGCCTGGATGGGGTCCAACCATACCGTAGGCAGAAAGCGTCCCAGAATTGACCTGACAGTGCGGCACTAGTAAGTCAGTGCACAGACTAGTGCGTAACCGTAATACCGTACTGGCAATATATGTTGCCGCGTAACGCGTAACGCAGGGGGGTGCGGCGTAACGCGCGACCAGGCTAGTGCGACAAATGTTCGTTGCGTTCGTAACGCGCGTCCGGCGGGGTGCGGCGATCTTTTCATTGCAAAAAAGGCTGAAAACTGTGACAGCACGTGTACCGCGTGGTGAAAAGTTCAAAACTGGACGCAGCAGGAAGTCCTGCAATAGCAAAAAAAGGACTGCGGCAATAGAAACCTGTGTAAAGTAACGGCTCCTGTGCGACTTTGCATGTAACGCCCTGCGTGCGGTAAACATGTGCCAATGTAACGCTTCATGGCCTCACTGCGACCATATTATATTGCCAGTACGGTAATAGGGAGGTTCTTTCTGCTCTACGTTATCAGTGGGAACGCCATGCAAAGAATCACGCGAACTCTCTTCGCGTTCCCGTTCTGCTCTACGTTCACGTGGAGATGTAACGTGGAATGTGTACTGGGAATTTCCCTTTCCATATTTGGCAGTTTTCTGCCTGCACTCGAATGATACCCAGCAGATCCGTACGCATTTTCTTTGCGTGTGCCACAACGTGCACATGTACAACGTCAACTAGAGAACCTCATCCACGCGTAGAAATCTGGACCCAAAACACGCGAAGCTGTAGTCTCTAACCCAGACACCTGCTCTCTACGTGATTTCTCTACGTTTCACCAGAGTACATAACCCCCGGGGGGGGGGGGGGGGGTATGTACTCTTGGTTTCACGTATAGCAGAACCTCCCTGATAACTTTACAGTCGAGTCATGTAACCAGTGGTAACTGTTCGTTCGAGTACGAGGTACGCACATAATGACAGTCATGTAGATTCTACGTACATGCAGTAGTTCCGACAAAACTTCAAAAGCATTCAGCAGCCACCAGTTCAGTTGATGAGGGTGGAGCTACTCCAACTCACAGGCTCCGGGACCGGTGTCCTCGGACATGTCACATAGCCGAGCGACTGAGAAGGGCCCGTCGAACCCCAACCTGCATCCGATGCTCTCTGTAGTAATCCATGCCACACTTATAGTGATGGAGTAAGGCTCGTTCTTCTTCTCACTGTCTGGTAATCGGTGCAAGCTGCTTCAACGGTAGAGAGCAGTTACCGCCTTGCCTTGCTTTGGCCTCCGGTGGCACTGAACACGAGGGGACCGTCGGAAGGTGGCATGCTCCACCTCGCGAACACGCTCCTCATAATGCCGACGCTTCTCACGCTCATGTTTTGCGTATGCGGCGGGGGTAGAGTGGACTGAGTTCGAGCAAGCATGAGGGCTGAACACCCGAATATCAAAGAAAGCTCGCTCAAACCGGCCACACCATACTGACCCCGCTCGCCGCAACAGCCAACCTGGCACCATCCTCACAGATAGCCATCCGGTGATGAAAATTCTCACCAGTAACGGCTGGAGGTGTGGCTCAATGCTGATATCATGAGCTGCTCGGATGTGAGCATGGTAGCGATCAGGTCCCGCAGCTCGGTGTGCAGCAGAGACGGATAGCCACCTACTGTGCAAGACAGAGCGTGTGGGACAGTGAAAGCAGCTCCACAGGCACAGCTCTGCGGGAGGTGGGGCGAAGTCCACCCGTAGCGGAGGCAGACAGCATCTCGAAACGTGCCCTTGTGTAGAGAGAACCCAGGACACTTGAGTGGCCAACAGCTGAGTTCAACGCACCCTTTTCACCCGCAAAATCCATGGACCTCTGCAGGTCTCCATCCACGCCATCGTACAGCTGCTTGGCATGATGCTGCTCCGTCTTCCTAGCGTCTACCCTGGCTTTAGCTTTGGCTGCCCTGGTGTTGTCCGCCTCCCCCTGTAGGCTGTGGCAGCGTATCCTGGCTCAACTGAATGCGCTGAACCAAGCTCTCGGTGATGGTAAGGGAGGAAGGAAACTGGTTCACCAGGGATGCTGGAGAGACAATCCCCATGCCGCCGTAGCGGCATTGGAGCGCGAGAACTTGGCGTTCCGTCTCTCCGGTCTGAGGACGACCAAGAAGAGCAGCCTCGGAATGAACGACTCGGAGATGGTGGACTCCAGCTGCTCGAGGTGCGGAGCAACACCTGGCATTGTGCGGGCGATGCCGGAATGACCACTTGTGCCGGAGAACGTTGGTGTACACTGCATAAGTTGCTTGTGGGTGGGTGGAGGTCACGGTGGACGACTCACGGATTTCCTCTTGCCATGACTTCACCTTCACCAAAGCAAAGGAGGCCATACACTCGGGTGATCCAAGGGCGGCTCCAAGGTGTTGGTTGCCATCCGTCTTGATGACGATATCGGTGTTGGCGAAGATTGCCCGTGCAGCTTCAACGCAGTCGGGCTTTACAAGAAGGACCGACTTGGCCGCGTTAAGGTGATAGCCAAACTCAGGAGTGGACCCCTCCACTCGATGATGTCCCACCAGGCTCGGAGGTGGGGAATCTTCCCCGCTGCATTAGCATCAGCAGCATACCGGCTGTGCAGAGCGTCACTCTCGGCAGTGACTCGGACCAGCGGGTTCTTCGGTAGACTGCAGTAGATCTAGGCGCGCGTATTGTACATCAGGGAGTCGTATTTTACGTCGTATTATACGTCGTATTTTACGACTCCCTCCGGCCTGATGTATACGTAGGGGCACGGCTTTATTCACCATGAAACTATCATGAAGTAAGAACCGGGGAGTCGTTGACGAAAGCAAAAAGACAACCCAAATTCGGAAATAAAGAGAACGCTCAATTGAAGTGTACGTGGCATACATGTAAGATTGAAGTGAATCATTGAACACAAAAGCTTGACAAGAAACCGTTACCTAAATTGCCTATCAGCATGCGAAGGCGAAGTCACGCCTCTGCTCGTGTCAGCACAGCCGGCGGCGATATGCTGCAAAGGGGCTTCCGACCTTGCGGCGAACGTAAGAGGTCCTGCGGCCCCTAAAGCACATGACTGCCCATCGCAGCAGGCAAAACGAAACCCATGTGCGTCACATCACCGGGCAGAATAAGTCTTTGTTTTCGTCTACAACCAAAGCAGTTTTTTTTGTAGTGACTTCTAATATGGTGGTTTCCTTGCCTGTCACACCCGAGGTCGAAAGAACCAGTGGAGTGAATGACGCTCTCTCCACCTGGTTGATTATGGCACCATACGCCGCCTTCTTCATTCTCTCTCTCTCGTGTGTTCTCAGGTGGCTAAGGATTTCCGGACGAGACACTGCAAGGACGATCCGAGGTCAGTGACCCTTACATAAAAAAGATGTCCTGCTGCCGCGACCAGAAACCCCTAGCCCGTATGTCCAGGCATGCCTCTGGCTGACGATTACCCGAGGCGGCAGAGATTTCCTCGCCGTGTAGTGGGAGCAAAAGTGGCTCAATCTCGACATCGGGCAGTACCTCCTGCAGTACACCGGCCACGGGCCAGAAGGTCCTGAAGCTCGTTATGGCGAGCCGACGGATAACCGCCGGTCGGGCACATGGGGGCGTGGTGGGTAGTCATGAACTTCCCACAGACACAGTGATAACATACACTTTCCAGTGGCAGACCATAGTGTATGCATAGTGCGTCTCTGGTAGAGGAAAGAGTCAAAAATCCCTAATCCTCTTTTGACATACAAAAAAATCACGGTTCGCATCAGACTCGGCTAGCTAGCTAGCTAGAGGCCGAGTTTTCCGCATCCGTAAGAACGCCACCACCCTTCACCCTTTTAGGAGCTGCATCTGCGCCTTGATCCTTGACACACAAAATCAATGTAAAAAGCAAACTTTGAAACGTGCCAGGAATACACATGGGCACTGTCACCACTGTCCTGTCCAACATCCTCTCCAAATCACTCACAGCCGGCCCTCCGAGATTGCCAACTTTTAAACTCTCGCAGAGCATTTACAGGATAGTGGTATGATGATTGGGCACCGCGGATGCACATGATCGCCGACCGCAACAATGCAAAAGCGAGTCGACACTGGACATACGTCATTGTCTCGGCATACAACTTAGTGTCCCCATTTGAGATGAGACCACACAAGTGCTTGACAAATCTGGAGCGCTCTGGCGCACAACAACCGGCCATGGTGGAAACTAGTGGAGTAAAGGTCCCACGGTCCACATTGATGATGCGCTCAGCATACTCCAGCTTCTTCTTCTCATGCTGAGCTCTGCCAACAATTTCTCAAGAGGTCTGGTGGTATAGGACGGAGGATCGGGATGAAAAACCCGGACATCCAGGAAAGCATTCTGTGCCCTAGTCCGCAGCCCTCGAGCCCAGATATCAGCGCGAGCGTCGTTGGCTGTGTTAGTAACGGCTGCCAAAATCACCTCCCCCGATACCGGAGCGAGCTGATGCTCAACAGCGACATACGAGCAAACCTCAGTAAGTAAGTCGGCAAGAATGTCGCGAACTTCATTGTGCCGAATGGTGGGGAAACCACCAGTAGGGCAACACATGGCATGGGCCGGACTAATTGGTTGACCACAAGAGCAGGTAGTAGGCACATCAACCAGTGCCCAGTCATACCGCAACGCCACCGCATCCTGGAAATCTCCCTTCGACAAATGATATCCGTGTTCTGTGATAGGCAGTGTGTTGAGCCAGCTAGAGACACCTCGGGAGGACAAATGCTCCAATCAAGTGCCATATCCGCTGACGGAACTCAGCCTCGCTTGTAGTGCCGCGTTGACTGACAAAATCCTTCTTGGTTGTCATAGCATCTTGTCGAACACGTTCTGGTGCATACTCGGTCCATGAGGTGAGGTTCTGTTGCAGAATTTCATTAACCTGGGCTGCTGTCCAGTTGCAGCTGGCAATAACTCAGTTTCGATTACTTTGTTCAACGCTGATACTGCGTCCTCCTGAATAGGAACTGTACGAAACAGGTAGACCCAACGACCCCGTATGCCATGGGTCAGAGCTTCATATGCCGCTTGTGGCTCGGTGTTGGCAAACATTGCTAATTGCGGTGCAGCTCCCAACACCAATCATCAACCCTCTCCCTGACTTGGCTGGCAGCATCATCAGGCTCCCCTATGTATGAGCCCAGATACTTTGTGCTACCAGTCACAATACAATGCCTGTGCCTTCAAACAGCTGAGATGCCTCCTCCTCCAATCCGCGCTTCACGAGAAGTAGGGGTTTGTCCGGATTGGTGAAGTATCCATACAGGTGGCCATGTTCCTGGGCTGTTGTCCACCAGTCTCAACCACTCTCATCTTGCCAGCACCACTTGAGCCATCTGCATACCCGGCATATGATCGTTGTGTTGCTGCTGTAAAATGCCGAATGATGGGGAGTGTGGCCAATGCATAAAATGCCATCATTCCGGCATGGACAGTGGGTCTCCCTGCTGGGTTGTACATAATTATACCCTCCTTTGACAAAATCTCCCCACCGTCAGAGACAAACAGACGTGCCTCCCACTGATACATGATAGGAGTTCCGAAGAATCACGGGTGGATAATGCTGGACAGAGGCGCTGAACGTTATGCAGAGCTGCCTGTCGGTTTCTGCTGTTGAATGTGTTACTGGCATCCCCCAATAGCACTCCTAGTCTACATAACATTAAACAGTGAACGATTCATGGATTGGTTGCCTTGAAGATGTCTTGCATCGCATGCACTGCTACTGTGCTAGTAGCTGCTTCAACTAACTTTACTACTTACTTTAGTTAATAGTTGTAAGTAATTATATTAGTTAGTTGATCCGGCGCATTTCTCTCCACTTCACCAGGTCATCAAGACATCATGCATGGTCGTTGTCATTGTCAAGGAGACCAAGATACCAGCTGTTCATGCAACATCCTGATTCAGGACTGTAAGTCTGTAGCCCAGGTCAGGAGTACCGAGTAGGGCTAGGCAGTGTAGCACTAGTAGATCTACAGTCAGTGTAGATGACTGTGTAGACTACATGACCGTGACCATTTCCAAGCCAAGGGTGATGGCAGGAAACCCATTACATCTAATCTCTGACTTGGGTTGATTTTTCCACTGGCAGGTGACTGTCGTCTCCCCCGCGCGCTATTGCCTTTATTGGCGGTCGACGTAAGTTTTAGTTTAGTTTGTTACCTGCACTGGCTGCAGCAGATCACCTGGCTGGTAGTGGCCACGATGTGGGCCGCGTCGTCACTATGGCTTTGTTGCCTGAGCGGGGCAGTGTTTGCGTCGGCAAGGGCCGACAAGAAAATTCCGGCATTCCCCAGCAGGTACATGGCGCAAGGGACCATCAGTCTGCCGTATGCCGAGATCGTTGAGCCCTACACGGCTTACGTTGATGGCGACAATGATAGAAGCAGGATCGACACGTACCACGGCCTGGCATCGGTGTTCCGCCTCGGAAACGAGGGCGCGCACGGCACGAAGCTGAAAGTCGTCTACGAAACGACGGAACAATTCCTGAACAAGCGGACCTGCTTCCATTTGAACGGATCGTCATCCGCGCCGCTGCATCACCACTCGCTGTTGCCCAACAACCCGGAGCGGTTCGAGTTTACCGAAACAAAGCAGTGCAGTTTTGGAAGCGCCGAGGTGTGTGAGGTATACGGGTATAAAGTGCAGCATGGCGACAAGATCGATTATTACACATTCACAATGATGGTCCGGGATGACGGCGCTTCCGTGCCAGTGCGATTTCACTTCCTGGGAGCGGACCTGGTGTTTTCGTCACACTTCGACGAGTACATCTTCACATATGACAAGTTCTATGCAGTGACACTGGGGTTCCCTGCTGACACGTTTGTCCCACCTATTGAAGAATGCGTGGCGTTTCCCGCCGCTCCAGGGTCTGCGATGCAACACCGGTGCACTGCGTTTGATCGACTCACTGCAGCCCCGCTGCCTGAGGACAGCATAGACGTCGCGTTCAGGAGCTTCAAAGCCAAGCACAGCAAGGCATACGCAAACGCCAGGGAGCACTTTGAACGCAGCTGCGTATACCGCGCCAGCCACCATTTTGTCGAGTCGTCCAATCGACGCAACCTTGGCTATCGCTCCGAGTTGAATCACCTGGCTGATTTGTTTCCGGCCGAGAAAAGAAGACTGCGGGGCCTACTCCCAAGTACCGGAACCTCGTACCCAGCTGATACGCTGTGGTTTGAAGCGGCTAATCCGGCGCAAACCATACCAGAGAGCCGCGATTGGCGCATCTACGGCGCAGTGACGTCCGTCAAGGATCAAGGAATATGCGGCTCGTGCTGGGCGTTTGGCGTGACGGGCGTCATCGAGGGAGCCTACTTCATAAAGCATGGCCGCCGCACCATGCTGAGTGAGCAGAGCTTGATCGACTGCACGTGGGGCGTGAAGAACCTGGGATGCGAAGGTGGCCTCGAGGTACCTGCGTATCAATGGATCATGAACCACGGTGGAATCGCCACGTCAGAAAGCTACGGCCCATACCTGATGCAGGATGGCAAGTGTAACTATGCCAACGCCACCATTGGCACGACGATCAGTGCGTACGTCCGCGTCAGGCCGCATAACGAAACGGACTTGCTGCTGGCCTTGATGGAACAACCGGTGGCAGTGAACATTGATGCTGGCCACGAGTCATTTTCCTACTATGCTAGTGGTGTTTACTATGAGCCGAAATGCCACAATAAAAAATCTGGTCTTGACCATGCCGTGCTGGCCGTAGGGTTCGGGACACTCAACGGCGATGACTATTGGTTGGTGAAGAACTCCTGGTCGACGCACTGGGGCAACAACGGCTACGCTCTGATGAGCCGTAAGAACAATAACTGCGGAGTGGCCACTGATGCACAGTTCGTTAGGCTGTAGAGTTTAGCCACTGGTGACGCACCTGCACTGACAAGCCTATCCAGCTCCCTGTGACCTTGGCTGGAATATGGCATGGTGTGGTTTATTTTACTTAGCGCCGGTTGACTACTGAGTAGTGATCAGCATGCAATACAATCATGTACATCCACATTGGGTTATAATATACAAGTCGTAGGTTTTTGTGATCTCGATATCGTCAACAAAAGGTAGTATAGTGTATTAGTGTGCATTGTAACGTTACTTTGTGTATGGGATGCTGTGGCCGACTTCGTATTTATTCATTATTCTTGTGACCCACTGTGCGTAAATTAGGTTTTGTCATGAAGTTTCACTTCACCATAGCTACACATGATGTGGTGATTTGTTTTCAAAACAAACATTTCAAATGCAGTGATTGCCACTGTCTGCCATGCCACTAAGTTGGGCACTAACTTAGGTGCATCGGTAATGGATCTAACGGTTTCGGTAGCACCTACTGGCTTCGGTATAGATGCACTCCAGTTTTCTTCTACCCCAAACTGTGGAGTTCGCTAAGAAAGTTGTGAACATCACGCAACTGCATTATGAAAGAAAGGGGGAGGGGGGCAACCGCTCTATCATATGAGTCAGTTCCTATTCACAATCTGCGCATGCGCTGCATGAAAAATTCTGTTATTGTGATGTTAGACTCGGCCGGGTGGAGAGCCAAGGATTAATTATTTTATAAGAAGACCTTGAAAGAGGACCAAGGAGCTACACTTTATGCTATAATGTCCACTAACACCACTGCAGTTTATGTTACATTACAATCAGCTCATGCGATAACATAATAGATTACACGACACTGACCAACGGGCAACGGTACTGACGTTCTACAGTTCTGCACGTTCTCATGATTGTGATGTGAAGAAACAAATATTGACGTTCCTGCGCGGCCCAGTCACCCATCGTTTCCAGGGCGACAAACACCTCGTGAACACCAGATCAGAGACAGAGAGTCGCTCATTATTGATGGTGGTGGGAAGAGACGTCATATCAAGAACCCACCGTCGACGTCATTCGCAACGCTGTCACCTCCAATACAAACCAGCTTCTTTTGTAGTGGCAAGCCCTCGCTGGGCAGAACAGTACGAGAGAGTGGTAACGATTTCGGCGATGATTTCACCGTGATTAGGAAGGTGTTTGCTCCTCACATCGGATCGGAGAAAGCACCCCTCGTTTTTGTTTTTTGTTTTTTTTACGACTGTTTGCCAAGTCGATGGTGGACTTATCGTGTGCTCTGCATGCAGGCAGTTATGAGTCAAGTGTCAAGTGTCAAGTCGGCGGAAAAAGCACGAACCCGGAGTGAGAAGCAGACTCTGGTCCTGAATTGCTGTACTAGTGTAGGTGTCCCTGGGACTCGGTCGCTGGTGGGATAGCAGAGGTGGAAGCAGACTATTCGTGCGTCAATTAGACAAACTGATGTGAACGAGTGGATCAGGAAATTGCCAGATTGGGCGCTAATTGGTGAAGAGTTGGCTCCGTCAGATGGTGATGACGTTTGACATGCATTGGTTCGGTGTTCTACCTGCAGGGCTCGGAACGGCAGATGGAGGGAGGGAGGGAGGGAGAGAGAGAGAGAGAGAGAGAGAGAGAGAGAGAGAGAGAGAGAGAGAGGGAGGGAGGGAGGGAGGGAGGGAGGGAGGGAGGGAGAGGGAGAGAGAGAGAGAGACTCAGAGTGGTTTGAATTTGTTTGTATAGACCATACTAGTAGCCAAAATCAAAGGAGTCTCGGTCAACAGCTACTTATGAAGAGGAAGAAGCCGAAGACAATACATAGTAAAAAAAAAAAGGATGGAAAAGACGCGGGTTGGTATCAATTATTATTATTTTTTTTACACCGCGCTCTGCGGTGAGCTAGAAAGGATCAGCCTATGCACTGCACTAGTCTGCAGTGCACTAGTCTGCACTGCACTACTCTGCAGTGCACTAGTCTGCAGTGCACTAGTCTGCACTGCACTGGTCTGCAGTGCCGAACTGGTGCGGTCTAGGCATAGTAACGGCTGACGAGCGGGACGGAGGCTCTGTACTGGTGCAGTGTGTCTGGGCCGGTGACGTTCGTGGCCTTAGTTCTCCTCAGGGAATAGTACAACACGTATTGTACTACTCCCTGGCTCGCCTGGGCCACAGTCATGTTGACCAAATCGAGCTAGGTGAGACTTGGAAGCAGCCACCAGTCAGTGGCAGTGATGAATACTGTGATGAATACTGTACCCCCCCCCCCCCCCCAGTCTAGTCGTGTAGCTAGAGGACACATGAATACCTCTCTCTCTCTCTCCCTCCCTCCCTCTCTCTCTCTCTCTCTCTCTCTCTCTCTCTCTCTCTCTCTCTCTCTCTCTCTCTCTCTCTCTCTCTCTCTCTCTCTCTCTCTCTCTCTCTCTCTCTCTCTCTCTCTCTCTCTCTCTCTCTCTCTCTCTCTCTCTCTCTCTCTCTCTCTCTCTCTCTCTCTCTCTCTCTCTCTCTCTCCCTGAATGCCTGTTCAGTGTCAGCTGATCAGGTAATAGGGACCTTTCGCATTTGCCACGAAACGAATGCGAAACGAAAGTTTGATTCAGCTCGTAATCGTTTCGTTGAAAACAGATTTCAGGTTTCGCAAGTCGTCATGCAAATGTGCATGGCAACTACGAATACGGCCGCGGGCGCCGGTAGCTTGGCGTACGGGTTTTTACACGCACTCGTGCATGGATCATGGAATCAAGGGAAAAATGTGTACCTTGCAAAACATGTGTACCTATCCAAATAAATGTGTACCTGACGGATTCGGAGCGTGCCACGAATGAAGAGGCTTCCATTCGTGAAAACGAGTTCTCCGCAGGGACTCTGACGAATCCTCGAACCCAGGTGACGAATCAGCATTCGTTTCGTATCCGTACGCGGGGTGCGAAAGGTCCCTATTACTGTCCTTGCCTGTTCAGTGTCAGCTGATCAGGTAATACTGCAAGTACAACATCAGCAACCAACAACAATAAAATAAATATTCTACATGCATGTATAATAAATTAATAATGGGCAAAGGCATCTCATGCAAGCACAACATTGATCATTTGACGAATCTTAGACCTGTGGCCGTCAATCACCTCAAGCAGCACACGCAGAGGATCGGTGGAATTCCACGCAAACAATCGTGGCTTCCACTCACAGCGTGGTACAGATGGTCACGGGAAGCATACTGCCCACCGGGTATGAATGGCCATGAGTGGTGCGCGAAGTTCCGGGCGGGCCACTACCGCGAGATGATCCAATCCAGGCGACTCCGCCTTGCAATGATACCCGCAGAGCTCTTACACACTCGAAAATCTTCACAAAATTGGTTTCCTTCAGGCATAGGTGTCCTGAGTACAGCCATTTTATCATCTCAAACATGCAGCTCCTGGAGGACGGACCTGGCAAGTGAGCTGCTCTCTCCTGGCAGGCGTCTTGAGCTCGAGTCAAATTACGACCGGTCTCCCCTTGATCATTAGCCACGTAGTAGAGCTTCTGGCTTCCGTGACATTCATAATCTGCACAAAAACAACACATCGGATTTACTACTACCGTACTTGTTCAAATCGTCTTTTACCATCGCTTTTTTCTTCTTACATGTATTTTTCCTTACCTTTTAGATTGTTTTCGCATCGTCTCCATCGCTTACATTGTTTAATAAAGTAATCCAAATGCCACTTCAGCTCGTCCTCTTTATTGCCCTAACTTATTATTGTCTCGTCGTCGAATATTTAAATACTACCGTGTAATTCATCATTGAATGGATAAAATATTATATTTCGCTTCTGCTCTTGTACCGGTTAGTTGAGCACTCTCGTGTGGGGTAGTACCCTTGTCAGGGCTATAGCCCGAGGGGTGCAGAAAATGCCATGACAAGTTTCTTTAGGTACATGTAGCTCGAACTGCTTTGGCCATGAACACCTTTAACAGGAGAAGTGCTGTTTTCTCCGTTGTAAGTTGTTCTCTAGCATGCATTGACCCCACGGCAGAAATGATATTCGTATGAACACAAAGTAGTATTACTGGCCGGGGTGTCGGAAGGTATTGCACATCGTCATTGGTGTGGCTATGAAAAAGGCAGGGGTTGGGGTCCTCCCGGGAATGTTCTTAGGAAAATTGGGCCCAAATAGCCCCCCTTTCATTGAATTACAGGTTCCAACGCCCCTGACTAGCAATACCGGATAGTGCGGGCAGAAAAACGGCATTTTGTCTGGTATGTATGGTGATCTGGTATGTTCAAGTCAAGTATTTAAAAAAAAGAGTAAATGATTATTATTTGAACTCGGATGGTGAGCCAATATAGTTATGATGAAGAAAGGAAAAGGACAAAATGTTACGAGTTATGACAAACTGTCCACCAACGTAACCAGACCTATACGGCGAAACGTACGTCGTGTGGAACTACTTGTTATTGTACATAACTAGTCCATCATACATGATAGTGGAGTTCAGTAGGATGTTGGCGTTTCGGTTTGTCACAATTCGTTTTCGCTTAGCTTCCCCTTCTATGTTTATTACATGAACTTGAGCCTCCCAAGTTGGGTGGTCTGTTGCTTTGCGTCATCGAGTTGTAGTAGGGTCGGTCTGTCCAATAGTCTTACTAGTTTCGTCATCATCCAGTAACTTTCGGCATTCTTTGTTGCCGTGATGCGTAGCTCGTGCTCTTCTTCGTTGCGCTTTCCTTCCCCTCTTGGACCTTTCCGAACCTGAGCCTTCCAAGTTGGAAGGTTGTTGGTTTGCGCCTTGGAGAAGTGTTGGAGCTAGGTGTCAGGTTGCCGAATGTCTCAGTACTCCTTGTCAGTTTTGTGCCATTTTGTCGCACTCGCTGACTGTATAAGATCTGGTTACGTTGGTGGATAGTTTGTCATAACTCGTAACATGTTGTCCTTTTCCTTTCTTAGTCAAAGTTATTATTATCGTGTCCATTCCCAAAGGGAACTCACGACGGCCGTTAAAATCTGGTAAACCCTAGCGGCAGATGCAGCTGCTCAAGTATTTTTGGTGTCCTGAAAAAGAATCTGCCAGTTTTTGGCATTATTAGTAGCAAGAGTACATAACCTGGTAAGTATGTACATGATTGTACTCTTGCTAGTACTGTATTTGCCAAGGTCTACTCCCAGCCAGGCACATGAAGATAAGTAGATTGTTCTATGAGGGCCTGTCACCATGATACAGGAAAGAAGAAGAAATAACCCCACCACAGTTTTTTTCCTTTTCTCTTTTTTTTGTTTTGAAAATCTGAGGGGTGCCGCGAGCACCTTTCGCACCCCCCCCCCCCCCCTGGATCCGCCCCTGCTTGCTGTTTGCGTTACGCAGAGCTCATTGAGTTGTCAGCTTGAGCACTCTGGCAAGGTACATGTACATTGGGGCCAGGTAGTCGTACCCAAACTGGCTTGGGTATGACTACCTGATTGGGACAGGCTGGTTCAAATCTGCCTTTGGAAAGTGTACCGTATCTCACCGATTATAAGTCGCACTTGATTATAAGTTGCACCCCCATTTTCAGGTTTGAGCAATATTGATTTGATGTATTGACTTCAGTAGTAAGTCACGCTCGATTGTAAGTCGCACCCTCTTTTTACCCTTGCATTTTAGTGTAAAAAGGTGCGACTTAAATTCGGGGAAATACGGTACGTTTCCGATTGCTAGCAGGTTCAGTCTCATTTTCCGCTCTGTGCTGTGCTGACAAGTCCACAAAGGACTGTCCATTGACTGATTGACATGCTGTATTACACAGTACAGTGCACATAGTACATACTACTGCACCATCAGAGCTACACCACGTCCAATATATTAAACAGTGACCAGGTGATTGGTGCCTGCCATGCACCACTATCCAGAGTATGCCTCTTGCTTCACATGTATCAGCCCTGACTTACATGTACATGAAGAGTACAACCCCCCAGAGTGTGCAACTCTTACTCAACTATGGGTGCCGTCCTGACAGAATTTCAAGCTGACGTCTTTTTTATGATGCAATGCGCACTGTACACGGATTATCAGACGTATCCTGAACCTGTGATAGACAAAGCCCCATTTGATCCGGTACAAATTAGTGCAAAGAAAAACGTGTGTTGTGTTGACACCCCGTACAAATGTCGTAAATCACTGGTGCAAGGAGCATTGCATCATGAAAATGACGTCAACTTGAAATTCTGTCGGGACAGTAGGGTATGTGGGAGTTGCACACTCTGTGAGGGGGTTATGTACTCTTGCTTACATGCATAGGCTGTGATGTGATCCCAGCATGCACCTATACTTGCTCCCTCTGTCTGCCAGGTCACTTTACTCCAGTCCAGTATTCACAACCACTGCACACTCTGCAAGATCTGATTCAAAGTACATGCATGACAACAGCAACACGGAATGCGATAAATGCAACTACCCCTGGGCAAAAACTTGAGATGAACAGACAGCTGCCTGGGCTGGGGCTTGCATGCAATGCATGGAGGTGGCAGGTTTTGAACGGAACGGGTTTTTACTTTTTAGGCAGACCGTGTTGTTTCATTGAAGTGTTGCGTGCCGCTAAAAGGTACAAAATACTCACTCACCCGCATAGTGTCCGAGAACAAGGTCCCCCCGATTGACTTTGCGTTCTGTACATGATAGGGAGAAATGATTGTAGAGTCAGAAAAAGTGATCTAATCTGCTTGAATATGGAGTGAAAGGCCTCTTGTACGGGCAAAGCAAATGTGCTTACATATGACACAATATCTCAGTACAAAAAAATTGATCAAAACGCCAACTTAATGCCAAGAATCTGAAGAAAGACTCAACAACTTGAAAGACTTGAATATGGAGTGGTGCTAAGAATCTTCACATGCAAGCCAGCTGACATGGCCTTTTTAAGACGCGTCAAATGCAAGCTCCATGAGCAAGAGCCCAGCTGAATACCGTACAAAACGGGAAGCGACAGAAGATTCGGATCGGTTCAAACTTTCCTACTGCAGTGAGGGTATGTGTGTGTGTGTGTGGGGGGGCAGAAGCTTACAAAACTGCTCCGTTTCAAGTTTGAACAGGTGACGGTGTTTGGCAGGAAGTGCACACTGGCAACTTTGTGAATTTTTAAAAACATTTCCAAAACAATGCTTTCCTCGATAATGTATCGAATAGCTCACAGGACGAGTAGAATTCTAGGATTCTTAGCAAGCTGAGATTTCTCCTTACATGTGCATATTTGCTTTAGCTTGGGCTAGACCAAGACTGTGTTAGACAATCTGACATCGGTATCTATCTCTTTTTCTGTTAAATTGTGTGTTGCTCCCTACATGGGAGCTCGCGGTTTTCCTGCTGACATGAATTCTCACTTGACTGACTCACGACTGCCATCCAGAGCACACGAGAAGTCCATCGAACCGTCCACTCGGCAAACCTGCAAGAAAGCACCACTCCCTGCTCAATACACAAGTGTTTCGGGGAATTCACCCCTCATCAGTTGAGCTTGAGTTGGCTGAGGAAGATTGTGCAGGGAGCAACACACAATTCCCCAAGTATCGCCGATGTCGCACCAACCTCTTCTTCACATTTTTCTGTCGTTGTCCTTAGAATGGTACAAAACACGTGGGTACCTTTTTTGGTCTGACAAACCTGTCACCCACTATGCTTCTTGCCTTGCACCGATCAACGCCGAACATCACAACTGAGTTTGGCTGAATTCCGTCGTGTAAGAAAACGTGTCTACTGCCGTAATATCGCAAACAGTCGCTTGTTTTTGAAGCGCTGTCTGAACAAAATGGTTATTGATTGTCCATCACAGCCTTAGTTAACTTGCATGATTTGTTTGTTCTTCCAAGTGCAATAAAGCCGTTACATATGTCGACTCAGCTCGTCCTTTTGTTTGCAGTTCTGAAACTGGAATTTCAAATTTGAGTGTTCAGATATTTCAAATTTCTGCACTATGTCAAGGATAGTAGGCAAATAGGAAGTCGTTGCATTGGCAGTTGATTCAGGGCCGGACCGGGAAGGAGTTTTGGAGCGGTGCGGCCAACCTTTGAGGGGCGTCCGGGGGACCTCCCGTGGAAGAAAAATTTTGAAAATTTACGTGAAATAGAGCGATTTTGGGCATCTCACGAGGCTCCAGAAAATACACAAAATCACAGTCAAAGAACACAAACACAACTTTTTTATATCCATAAGTCGCACAGTACTGGTGATGGTAGCATTCAAGAAGTTGAACACTGTAAGGAATAGGTAAAAAAAGAACGTTTTTTAAACCTATTATTTTAGTAACTATGATCTCGTGCCGACTTCTCCGATCGACTGCCTCATTATCGAACGAATGATTCTATTTTTCGGCTTCCTCGATCTTATCTCTTTGGATCGAGTCTTTTCTGTGTTGTGCGATGTTTTCGCTCGTTTCCAATGTTGACTAGTGCATGCATTTTTGATAGGAGTGACTGGTGCTACCCTGGTGGAAGGCGCAGGTAAGCTCAGGAGGTCGTGCTGCAGAACAATCTTCAATCTTCGTCACGGACTTCTGAGCTACAATGTACTTCGAAGCACATAACAATGACGACAGTATACAGTCATGTACCTCTGAATATTTTTACACCAGTTTTGCGCGAATCACATGGACCATCCAGCTGGGAAAGGGGTCCGGCCATGGCCGGACCAGCCTGAGCGGTTCTGGCGGCCCTGTTGATGTGTACAGATTCCTGTAGTTAAGGTAGCTCAAACCACTTTCGAAGTAGTGGTGAGGCATCCTGCAGCTTTATAACTCGAAGTGAATTGGTGAGCACACATGCTCATTCCCTGGGCACTACAAATTCACAACTCATTTCATTTCACAGAATCATTTTCAACGTTTCGGCAAATTGCCATCATCAGGATGCAATGAGCATATATTGCATCCTGATGACAGAAGAAGTGCTATTTTCTCTGTTCCAAATTGTTCTCTAGCATGCATGGACTGCGAATTGATATTCCTATGGGGCATACTTATGTATTTTGTTGTACTTATGGGGCCTCGAAGTTACGAAAATTGCGTTTTTCGTACTTTCAAGTGGCCATAAGTACAACAAAATGCATAAGTATCCCCCATAGGAATATCATTTCCGCAGTCTATGCATGCTAGAGAACAACTTAGAACAGAGAAAACAGCACTTCAGTACGAAAGAGAGGTTGCGACTTCGGCGATGATTTAGCGCGAGCTCTAGTGTGGGAGCAAACCCATTCCTAAACAAAACAGCACTTCTTCTGTAAAAGTTTTTTCATGGCCAAAGTGGTTCGAGCTACCTTAAAGGCAAAGTCTAAGAAGGAATCGTGTTCTCCTGGGAAGCAAGCATCTACTTACCAAAGTCCAAAGGGATACAAACAAATGGATACGTGTTTGCTTGTCGTGAGAACGGCGAAGCTTTGTTGCTGAGCTGCGTCACGTAGTTGTCACTAATCCATGTTGAAGGAGCTGCTTTTAGGCACTCCATTGTTTTGTGATTAAATCGTACTTTCGAGAGTGCTTGGTTCGCAAGCTGCAAGCCAGCGCTTTTGCAGTTACGATGAGCATCAGCAGACGTGTGCTTTGTGGCACTGTAGTAGAAGTCAACTCCTGCGCAAGTCACGGATTCTGAAATGAAAAAAAAACAAAACCAAAACAAAGTACACGCACCTGGAGTTGTTAGTTGTTCTCTGCGTGGGAACTCACGCTTGTCCCGCCGGCCTCATGCTTGGAACACTGCGTGCCATGCACATGCATACATGGCCGTGTTCTCACTGGCCATGATGTGCCAATTCATTCCTATCAGCCATGCGCTACAGTACTGCCGGGCGCCGAAGAACAGGAGGTCAGAATTCTAACCTAGCCGGTCATATTTTTAGCGAACACAGCAGGTTTGTTCCGACGTTATTCGATGATACAGTCATAAATGTACATTTATACAGGGTTATACTTCTGAGTGTACATTATAGCGTACATTACAGTTCCGCTCTTAAAAATTGGTGAAATTCTAGCCGACAGTACTGCAGTCATCACGTTGTTGTCTCGTCCGATGCAATGGCCACGTTTTACATACCCATAACTTGTGTGAGGCCCAGATATTCCTATGAACTCACAACTGCATACTAGAAATGTTCCAGGTTTCTTCCAATGGTTTTACGCCCTGCTGCCATACATTTAGAAAGCGATCCTGTCAGCTTTTCTATTATTTAGGTATTGGCGACACGATAAATTTGTCACAGGCTTTCTGCAACAGGTGAATGCTGGAGGCCATTTGATTTTATTGCCAATAGGTGGACCGGTGTGGGTAGCCACCAACTGTCCTATGAAATCAACGTCGTCAAAGTCGCCACCACTATCTCGAAATGTAGACCCGTCTTTCTCTGAAGGAACGTCATGTTTGGGCAGCTTCAAACGGCCATGGCCCCTCCAAAGTTGCAAAGTGCCCAAATATATGATGGAATAACGCATTCATCGGAGCACTGTCGACACTTTGCCAAAATTAATCGTTCTTTGTACGCCTATACATGTACATGTACAGGTGACACGCCATGCATGCCTGGCATGTGTGCATGCCTGGTATGTGGCCATATGGCTGTACTGTGAGTGCACTTGGTTTACATGTGGCCCTTCAAGATATGCAGTCAACTCCACTTACTTATGTACTCGCATGAAGCGAATTTTGTGATATAGCAAACCGCTGTCCATGAGTGCCTGTTTGAACCCATGCGAAATTGACCCTTTGTAGCGAACCATTTTCGTTTATAACGAATCATATCTTGAAAGGCAAAATGTAAACCAAGCGCACTTGTACATTCGTGGGCAACACGCCAGTGATTTCTCACTGCTTGAATGGTGCGAACGCATTTCTGTTATAACGCATTTCTGTTATAACGCATTTCTGTTATAACGAATTTCTGTTATAACGAATTTCGCATAAAAATGACTAATCTTCCTGCACAACGGTGTTCGTTATATCAGGAGTCGACTGTGTTTTTTTATAAACGGAAGCTGTTCATTACAACGGGTCAATGTTGTATGTGTTCAAGCAGCCTCGAACATGCACAATGCATGGTTCACTATGGTTGTCACGAAATAATCGCTACAATTATGGGATATTCATTGGTTTGAGGGAAAGATGCACTGAAAGGGAAAAGTCTGAAGAGAAAATTGACCGCCACCACCAGGACTCAAACCAGGGACCTTCGCTTGAGGCCAGCGATGCTCTAACCACTGAGCTATCATGAGCTATGGTGTAGCTGTCATAATTATGGGAGTTTGTTATGCATAATTATACCAAGAGTACATAAACCAGAGTGTGCAACTGTGCATATCAGATCTGAAACAGCGCAGTTCGTGCACTATGTCACCCTGATGAGGTCAGCCAAGCCGCGACTTGCGCACAGCTCAAATTTTCATGTTTCATAGCCCGGAAATCAGCCAAGTTTTCTTGATTTTAGACGTCCAGTTTCAGGATTTCGGTGTTTTGTGTGACTGTGTACATCCACCGACGAGTAAAGTCACCAGGCTATCCGTATCAAAAAACCGAAATCAGGACAAACTCAGTGTCCTGCACCACCGCGACTGGTTACGCAACTTTTCACCGTACCTGTGGCTTACCATGCCGTCAGAAATGACGTACTGCACGAATTACGCTCCCACAGGAACCATCCCGAGTTGCACACTCTGGTTTATGTACTCTTGATTATACATAATAAGTAGTGCCAACTGTGAATTGATTTTCTCATTCTGGACACCCTGGCCTTGCAATAGTAGGTATCAAATGGGTAAATGTTTGCAAGTGCGGCCCGGATAACCTGACAAGCTAGAGCATATAAAGCAGAGTGTGCAACTGCGCATCCTTTCTGTGAGAGAAAACCATTCCCAATACGCAGCAAAGTTTTAGTTCAGGTCAACATGAATCACAGGAAAACCCTCACGCCGTAGGTACGTCCAGTGCCAAATCACTGTATCACCAAGGCAATGACAAGATATCCGTGGGCACTTTCACCTTTTGTATCACAAGCCGCAATGCGCAACCAAAAAACCGACATTGGCCGTTTGTTGTCCAATCACTTGGAAATCGATATGAGAAAAAATGGGGAAACTTCCTGAGCAATATCCTGAAGACATTTCTCAAAAAGCTCAAACCAGATTTGAAATATTTGAAAATGTCTTGAGGTCAATAGACTCAATACTTGTAACCACACTGTAGAAGACTTTTCGGAGCAACAACGTTTAGCTACACCAGAATCCCAGAAGACAGCATCATTTGCAAACCCATAATCAGATAAGACTTTTGTCATTTCTGGGAGGGGGGGGGGGGGTATGCCAATTGCAAGGTACAGGTTGTCCCCCGTTAATACGAGTCCGGTTAGTACATAAACCCCGTTAGTACATAAAAAATCTCAAGTCCCGGACGAAACGTGGTCACTTCCATACAAATTTTGTCGGTTAGTACATAATTCGTTAGTACATAAACCCCGTTAGTACATAACATTTCTCCGTACCCGCATGCCACCTACCTCAACAGTACATAGTTTGTTGGTCTTTTGGCCTTCGAGTGGAGGCACGTCGTGTTCTAGTTTCTACTTGTGGACGCAATTATCTCAGAAATCAGAGCGCACATCACAAACCGACAAAGCTCTGTTTTTTTCGAGTGACTGTACAGGCGCGGCTGGGCATGTATCATGTAAACTGTAGAATCTTCGCTGACTGTGACCGTTTTAACATAATTTTTATGTTATATCGAGGGAATCAAGAATATCTCGCTCCCTAGTCATGGCAGCAAGAAACACTCAGAAAAGTTGAAAAAAGTGCAAAATTCTGGTATACAAGCAAGTTATGTACACTTTCGTTTAGTACATAAACCGCGTTAATACATAACATTTGTCAAGTCCCAGAGATTATGTATTAACGAGGGACGACCTGTATCCAGATTCTCGCTTTAAAAAAAGGAAACCTCCCTGCAATGCTTGAGCGAAGTTGGAGAGACCTACTCGTTATGGACACTTGCCTGTCTGTTATAGTTACCCCCACTGTTTATTTCTATTGCATGATTTGCATCAGCAGATCTCCTTGACATGCCATCCCCTCTGGGAGATCCTTAAGATTATTATTATTATTGTCCAACATGGGAATGCCGTGGGCTTCATACACCTCAACGCACAGCATGATAAGCGACGGCAATCAGCACCACTCATGAGGGGATCCACCAGGCTATAACAAGCTATAAAGTATAGACCTTACCGAGCTTCCTGCATTGTGGCAAGTTGTAGAATTCAAAACGTGTGTACCCGTTACCCACTGATCGAAACGGGGCTGCTGCACCGTTCGTAGTCTTGCAGGATTCTTCGCCTTTGCGGCAGTAGGCATAGTACCCAAACTGGCACTTGAATTTGTATATTCCAATGGGATCAAAAGGTATCAGGATCACACCAGTACGGTCGTAATCATCGGGTACCGAAACATCTGAAATCACAGAGACAACACAGGTATGCAAACTACAGGTGTACTCAGACCCTTCTCAAGTACAGTCTCGTCAGTGCACTGCCCTCCGCATTCTCAGGCATTCTCATTCCATAAATTATATGACAAGATTTGACAACAACAACAACAACAACAACAACAACAACAACAACAACAACAACAACAACAACAACAACAACAACAACAACAACAACAACAACAACAACAACAACAACACCATCTCTTATTGGCCACTGGCTATCGTGAGAATAAAGATTTGAAACAGCAACAACAACAACACCATCTCTTATTGGCCACTGGCTGTCGTGAGAATAAAGATTTGAAACAACAACAACAACAACAACAACAACAACAACAACAACAACAACAACAACTTCTCTTATTGGCCACAGGCCATCGTGGGAATAAACGATTTCAAACAACAACAACAACAACAACAACAACAACAACAACAACAACAACAACAACAACAACAACAACAACAACAACAACAACAACAACAACAACAACTTTCTCTTATTGGCCACAGGCCATCGTGAGAATAAAAGATTTCAAACAACAACAACAACAACAACAACAACAAGAAGCTTGCTCACTCCATCCACCACAATTACGCCCCGCCTCATATTCTAATGCTCGCAACCCCAAATCGTGTCAATACAGGCTATAGCATTCGGCACACTCGCACATGGCATCAAGTTGCCAACTGCAACAACCGACCGCTGCCTAGGTTCCCCTTTGGATAATTCTCTCCATTATTTCAATGGCCTCTCATCAACGTGATGCGATATTTAATCACCAGCTTTGTTTAACAACAGCCACCACATACCCTGTACAGACGATACCTCAAGTCCCGCACCAACATCAACTGGACCGTGTATTCTGCGCAGCGTAACAAGGTTACCAATCTGCTTCGTCGCGCAAAAATCCGACTTCCTGCAAGATGCTGCTGTTGGTCCCAACCATAGCAGGACTAACGTATACAGTGTACACCCTTGTTAAGTCCATTTTAAAAAACTCGCCCTCAAAGCCCATACCGTACCTAACTGCTGAAGACCAATCCATCACAGATGCAAAGCGGCTCAAGGCATCCATCCTCAATGAATTCTTCATCCGCCAAAGCCAGCAATATGTTGTCGATGTCCCTAGTCAAACCCCTGATATCCACAAAGAGCCCTTTGATACCCCTAAAGGCCTAAACCTGTCCCACATCTCCACCACACCTGCTAAGGTGGAACGCCTTCTTCGCCAACTGCACACCAACAAAAGCCCTGGTTATGATGGCATAAAGACCCGTGTCCTGAAAGAAGCAGCAGTAGAACTAGCTGGACCATCTCTCTGTGCCCTGTTCAATGCCTCCTTTCAGCATGGTGTCCTCCCACAAGCATGGAAAGATGCAACAATATCGCCTCTCTATAAGAAGGGAAATCCTCATTTACCTAACAACTACTGACCCATCAGCCCCCTCAGCGTGATTTTGAAAGTGTACGAACGGATAGTGCACATGCGTCTGTACGACCACTTGGAGCCCTATCTTCCTCATCGGCAGTCAAGCTTTCGGCGAGGTGATGGCACAGTTTTGCAGCTCTCCAGAATCATCGACGAGACCTCTGCCAAGAGGGACAATGGAGAGTCAGCCGTCACTTGATTTTCTACCTCAGCAAGGCATTCGACCGCGTTTGGCATGCTGGGCTAATGGCACAGCTGGAACACTGTGGTGTCACTGGTGCTGCCCTCTCTTGGTTCCTTGCATACCTCACTGGTCGGTGGCAGGGAGTGCAAGTGGAAGCCGCTACACCTGAGTGGCTGGCTCTCCCTGTTGGAGTTCCCCAAGGCTCAGTACTGGGGCCTCTACTCTTTCTCACCTATACCATTGACCTGCCAGTATCCTGTGAAAATCACTCCACGGCAAGAAGACCATTTGCAGACAATACTGCCCTTGTCGCCTCCCACAAGTCATACCAATCTGCGCTCAACCAACATCAGCTCTCACTAACTGCTGCTGGGAATCGGCTAACCACATGGCAGCTGTTAGTGAACACTGATAAAACCGTTGTGATGACCTTTCACCATTCCAATCGCCAACCACCCTTCCAACCCTCCATTATCCTGCACAATCAAACACTGAAGGTAGTTCGCAGTCAGCGGCATATCGGCATTGTTGTGCAGGCTGACCTGAGGTGGAACTGCCACTTCGAGACCATGCTTGCCAGAGGCAGCAAAGCCCTACATCTGCTTTGCTGGCTGCGTTCGTCCATCCACTCTTAGACCCTATGCACCCTCACACCACCTACATCGACCCAATCCTAGAGTATGCTTGCATTGCGCTACCCCCCCCCCCCCCCCTCCCCTCAGTGTTACCCGATCAGACAGGCTCGAACGATTCCAACGCCGTGCTGCCCGCCTTTGCTTGCGCATCCCCCTTTTCACCCCAATTCATCATTCTGCTCTCCTGCACAGACTCAACCTCCCCACTCTTTACAGCCACCGCATTCTCAAGCATGTAATTCTTGCTCACAAAATTCACCACAAGCATGCACCCTCACACATCAACAACCTTGTTTTACCCCTGTTGTAATCGCAGCCTACCCCCTCAGGCACCCTCGCGCCTATCACCTGCCAACAATCCGGACTGACCGACACAAAGGCTCCCCATTCAACATTGCCCTCGACCATTACAATCAATTGCCCACCACCTTACGTGCAATTCCCCAAGTACTTAGTTGGGATTTTAATCTTCTGGTAAATTCTATCTGCAGCTGCTCTCAATATGCAACCACTACCGGTAGGTTCTAACGTCCTTCTCCCTTAGGGAGCATCTCATAAGTTCGCATTTTGTTTCTAAACGTAACGCATTTCGAAACGGGGGTAGGGGGGTAGCGCCCTTTTCGAATAGAAAAATGACTGTTCGCACATTTTCTGGAACTGTACAATCTACTACCGTGCTAGATCCCTGCAGCAAATGAGTGTGTTTTGGTGGAGATCTACCTGTGTTTGCAGATCAGCTAACCCTTGCACTGCATGCATGCAGGCTACTCAGAGGTGTCAAATGTCACACCAGCCTGATCAAACCGTGTACCTGGCCAGCGTTTACAGCAGTACTGTTGTTGTGGAGGAACTATGTTTATGTGCATGTACATGTCATTGATTGTACTTGTACTCAGTAAATGCGGTACTACTGTATGCCATTCACGACCGCTCTAGCAAAACATTCATATCCATATCCATGTACATGTTCATGTACAATCATGTACATAAGCATACCATAGCATGGGGCATGGACGTGTACAGTAGATAAACACAGAAAATGTGCGATAAGACTTTCGAATAGAGGGGGGAGGTAGGGGGGTAAAGTCTATTCGAAATGCGTTACGTTTGCAAAATAAATGCGAACTTATGAGATGCTCCCTTAGTCAATACAGTTCTCTCATCTCTCATTTATTCCTCTCCCCTTGTCATTACAGTCACCTCATCTCTTATTGGCGCGAGTCGCCATCGTGAGAATAAAGAATAATAATAATAATACCGGTAACCGCCATGAACTCAGACTGTGATCAGCAAGTGAATGCAATGTTTACATGGCTACTTGCCCATGTCTAACCCCCAATGTTTACATGGCTACTTCCCCATGTCTAACCCCCAATGTTTACATGGCTACTTCCCCATGTCTAACCCCCAATGTTTACATGGCTACTTCCCCATGTCTAACCCCCAAGACGAAATGATAGTAGCCGACTGGCCGAAATTTAAAAAAAAGAAAAAAACGATCGTGTGATCTACCAGCACCTTACTTACGAGGTAGATGACACGCGTATTTTGCATAAAGGTTTTGACATACTAATGGAAACGGATGTTGTGTCACACTCGGCATACAGATGTTAGGATGCGCTTGACACTCATTGACATCTACGCAAAATGAAGCAAAAGAAACAGAGGAAGAAGAAAGTGGGTTCCAAGTGGACATGGCCTTGATTGGAGAGGACATGCAGGAGGACTGGAGGATCTTGTTGAGTCAACCATGGAGGGGATGAGCACCAAAGATTTCAGCTCGACCAAGGCCACTGCAGTATATGACGACAACACCCAGGATAATGCCCCCCCCCCCCTCTCACCCTCACCACCTTGCAACGACGGCAACGAGAGATCAACGGGAGGTAGATCTCGACGAACGGATGCACTCGAATAAAGGAAAAGGTGAGGCGACATTCCGATCCCATGCAGTAAAGTCGTTATAGCCTCACCAGCGGCTACAAAACTGAGTGTAGTTTTCTGCCTGCATTCGAATGATACCCAGCAGATCCGCATACATTTTCGCTGTGTGTGCCACAACGTAGAGATCTGGACCCCAAACACGCCAAGCCGTGGACTCTAACCCAGACACCTGCTCTCTACGTGATCATGTTCTCTACATTTCACGTATAGCACAGCCTCTCTACTGATAAGCTACAGGTCTTGTAGGCCAAGCTCCCAGGTGCAATGATGAGGTGGTCCAGTTCAGTGCTGCCAACCAACTGGGTGTGTTTTGCGTACTCCGACTTCTGATTTCCCGTATTTTGCAGTGTTTTTGCGTACTGACAATGTACTGCCGTGTGCATTGTTTGTTTTTGACACTCACATGCTTGTCGGTGGCTAGATATCCTAGTGTCAAACATGTGTGACTTGTAAGTTGTACCACGACATGATAATAATATTATCATTATTATTTTGAACATTTTACGATTATTATTTTTGCTACATGTAATCGAAGCATGGCATGCACTCGCTTAGGCCTGGAGAAGTTGCATCTTCAGGTACATGCACTATGCAAAGAGGGGGCAGTAAAAGCCACCCTGTTGGCCCTGGCCCGGGTATATCATTGTGATCAATGTACATGTATACCTAAGGAAACATACCGGAAAATTTAGAGCCCCCCCCCCCCCCCTTGCACCACCATCAACAAATCCATTTCAACTTTGCTACAGATATAAATGAAATTGCAAGAAGAGATAATAAACCGACCTTATGGATAAGGATTATTTGGCTGTGCTGTATGTACCGCTACTTACCCCTGCAATGGTGCCAATCATGTCGCAGTCCAAGATCGCATAGACGATGATATTCTGTAGAGGTCAAAGGAAAAAAATGTGAAGAGCGCTACCGGTATCACAGCCTATTCCATACCGCTGTAAGACCACTATTACTAACGAACATTATTGATTAAAAAAACGTAACTCGGATACTGAACTAATAAATATAATTAAAATAGAAGAGATCACATGGAAACGAGGTATGAAGCAACTATCCACGACTGTAACAAGATAACAAGCAGTCAGAAAGTGCGATAACAGGGCGCAGCACTAGACATGTTACTGAGACATTCAATGACCTGAGACCTAGCTCCCACACACCTCCAGTGCGCAAACCAACAGCCTTCCAGCTTGGAAGGTTCAAGGTTATGGTAAGACCAATGATGGGAAGGTGAGCGCAGCGTGTATGGGAGCTTGGTCTCAGGTCGTTGAATGTCTCAGTAACATGTCAGTTTTGTGCCCTGTTATCGCACTTTCTGACTGCTTATTATCTTGTTACAGTCGGGGATTGTTGCTTCATAACTCGTTTCCATGTGATTCCTTCTATTTAAAAAAAACTTGGCCTGGTATTTCGCTCCTGCTCTTGCATAATATTATTATATTATCGTAGTTGAGCACTCTCATGTGGGGGTAGTGCCTTTGCTGTTTGCATTATGCTATCAGGTTCGGCCTCATTTTCTCGGTGCTGAGCTGATGAGTCCACATAGCAAGTGGAAGAAACAGCATGCTGTCCGCAGATTGAGGAACAAAACATAGAAGTAGCGATTTCGGTGGTACCGTGAAGTCCGGAGCAAACGCCCACTTCGCTGCAAACGCCCACCCCAGCTCGATTGTACTATTTTCGCAGGTATGTCGTCCTGAGGACAAGAATGGTGTACAGAAAGTTCGATTTCGTACGAGTAGACATGAAAAGCCTACGAACTGCCTATGGCAAAGACTAAAGCAAAAGAACTTTCGCTATAACTCAACATCAAATTCCCGCGGACAAAAATGCGCTAACCTCGCCAAGAAGGGACCAACTGCATTCAATCCTTTCGCAGTCGTTCTTGGAAGCGATTGTTTTTTTCGCCATGCCAAGACGCCACAAGTTCGACGTGGAGTTCAAATGCAGTGCTGTAGAATGGCACCGCCTCGCCTACACAGCGAAAATGTTTCAAAGACGGCGCGGCACTTCAGCGTCGATAGAAAAAGGATCCGAGAGTGGATTGAGAAGTACCCTGTCCTGAAGCAGGAAAATGTTGGACTGAAGAAGAGAACGAGACTTCACCGTGGCAGAAAATTGGCTGCACCACAAGTAGAAGTTGGTCTGCTGGAGTACCTCAACAAGATGAGGAGTGAAGGTACGCAGCCTATCTGGATACAAAGATTTACGTTGCTTTCAAACTAAAATTACACTATCAACTACATTGCATCTTCAGGGCATGCTGTTTCCAACCTCGACCTGAAGGAACATGCGCAGGAACTCCCTGGTGGGCGTGGGATGACTTTTTCTCCCGGTAACAGTTGGATTTGGCGCTGGAAAAAGAGAAACGGTGTAACAACACGCTCCGGTACCTACAGCTCGCAGTTCATACCCGATGACTACGCTGAACAGATCCTGGACTTCCGCAGGTGAGGTGTAATTTGTTGCTGTAGTTAGGTGTTTGCGAGTAAAACAATACCGTGACTGAGTCTGTGCATCACTGTGCATGTTTGCTACACTAGCCTACATGACACCTCACTATGCTATCGTGTATGTTAGGTAATTATTTTTTGCACGACATGCCGGTAGAACTACAGCCGCTATTATATAACCCAATACCAGTTCAAAACTAGTATTAGATAAACCTTGTTATAGTTCACGCATATTGGTAGATTGACAGCATGAAACAAGGTGGGGGTAATGAGAGTCAGAACCGGGTTCAACACCCATATGGTTCAAATGGTCCGCAGGGACCGGGGCTCTGCCAACCGCGGAAGGTTGTAGTAATGTCACTGTTTCCGAACACAGTGTCCTCCACCTTGTTTCATGCTGTCAATCATTATCTAACAATAAACTACAGCCGCTATACTATCCTATAGCGCTAGTCTACCATAGTGTACAGTACATCATTTTTAGTGCATGACCATCATCATCACTTCAGCAGTTCAGGCTTCTCTACATACAGTGTGGCTGCGTAGCGGCTAGTGTAGCCTTTAATACTAGTTCCCTATATCCAGAATGTGCCACTGTACTGACTATGACTGTGATGCGGGTTTTGTCTCTCTCTCTCTCTCTCTCTCTCTCTCTCTCTCTCTCTCTCTCTCTCTCTCTCTCTCTCTCTCTCTCTCTCTCTCGCACACACACACACGTGTTTGTGGTGCGATGTTAAATTTTCAAAACAATTCTTCAGTATTAAACGGTTATTTTCTTTTCTCGTGTTTTCTGCCACTGTAGCAAGATTAAGTCAGCACGGACCCAAGATGGAATGGGACCACAGTCAATCATCAACATGGACCAAACCATGGTCAGGTTTGACATGCCAAGGGCAAAAACAAATAATGCTCGCGGCGCTCGTACGGTGAGGATAAAGACGACCCGTGCGGAGAAAAAGGGTTCACCGTCGCCCTAGCTGCTACGGCCTCTGGTGTCAAGCTGCCAGCGTTCATCATTCTGAAGGAGCGAAATGGTGTGCTTGGCAGCAGAGTTGCGATTAATCTAAGTGTCCCCAGCAACGTGACTTTGCACGCTTCTCTGAATGGCTGGATGAATGCCGATTTGCTGAAGGTCTGGCTGAGACGGGACGTTAAGTCGGAGGAGCAAAAGAGATTACTCATCCTCGATCAGTACCGGCCGCATGCCAGCACGGAAACGGCTGATATCCTCTCAGCAGAGTGCAATTCCGCCAGAGTTATGATTCCGGGTGGATGCACATCCATTGTACAGCCCATGGACCGCTCAGTGAATAAGCCGTTCAATGACTCGATCAAGGCATCTTGGAGCCAATGGATGAAAACAGGAGCTGGCAAGACACGACATGGCAACTTGAAGCAGCCCTCTCGACAAAACATCATTGACTGGGTATCAAAGGCATGGGCTGGAATCAGTCCTGGTTTGCTTATCAAGGCCTTCCTTGTGTGCGGAATATCTAACGCGCTGGATGTCACTCAGGACAGCCTGATCGATAATTCCATCTCCGTTGACGAATGATCTGATGACAGTGATGACGAGTCAGATGGAGTTGGAACTGACGATGGCCATGATGACAGCGAAGATGAGGACAGTGATGTCGAGAACAGCGATGATGCGTACGCATAATTCCACTTCTCCCGTCATGTGGATTCTTTATGTTTGGAACATAACTGCTTATCATTTCACATCCTATTCTCGTGCTATAGATCGGAGCCCATTTTTATGCTGCACATATTTTGCCCTGTCAGTAAGCAAGCCAAACCCTTTCAACGTCCTTATGATTTAAGCGCAATTTAGCGCGTGCCCCCTTCCCCTCCCCCCCCCTTCCCTTTTCTTATTTTGCACATTTTGGGTGCCTTAGCACTTTCCAGCTTTTATGTTTCTTTTTCTTATTTTCGCGCGCGCGCGCGCGCGTGCGCTGTCATATTATTTTCTTGCTTTTTAGATTCCATCCGTGCGTGTTCCATCATTCAATTTACCAGATCCGCAGGTCAGGTCGCAGCAAGCCCTCGTATTACCGGCGAGCATGGTATGGCATTCTCGTGCAATTTGTGCCGCATAATTCCTTGCGTGAAGAAACACTAATAATTATCATGAATAAGGAGGTGTGGAGGGGGAGGGGGAAGGGGACGCATCCATGATTTCCAAGAATACTGTACAACAGGTGATTCTGGGGGTATTAAAATATTTGAGTCATGGACAAGTTAGGGTTTCAGGTGCAATGTAGAATTAGGTGACCTACAACAAGTTGTCTTCACATACAGTGCATACTCTACAGTCCATTTCAAAACTATAGACGTGTAGGGTTTTTGAAATATTTCAAATTTGGCTGGACCTTTTTTAGAATAGTTTTCGGAATATTGCTCAGGACCGCTCCACAATTACTCTCATATACAGTCAGACCTCGCATAACCGCACACATCCGTTTTCCACAAAAATATCCGGATAGGCGAGGGAACCGGATAATCGAACACACATACTGTATGTAAGCATGGCATACGCTGTACATTTGTAACCAACTATTTTCTTCCGGATGGCGAGGGATCCGGATAAACGAGGACCGGATAAGCGAGGTCTGACTGTAGTTTCTAAACGATTGGATAACAGAGGACCAATTTGGAAAAAATTATGCACAAAGTGATCACAGATTTTATGTGGTATAGATGCTGGCATAACGGTTTTTGCCCAGGTACGCGTCTATAGTTTTGAAATGGACTGTAGTGCCTTTTTTTGTGCAGATTTACGTGCTTAGATTCTCTACCTAAACTTTCACTTTCATAGAAAATAACGTACTTCACAGGATTGCTGTTCTTCTCTACGTTACGGGAATGTGCCGGTTCCGGGCACCCAGGAACCTATACGGGGCACGCGCCTGATTAATAAAAGAAGCTGGTTATTCTTACGTGGAACCCCGAAACACTGTGTATTGAGCAGACTCATGACATCAGCAGACCGTGTGTGTGTGTGTGTGTGTGTGTGTGTATGTATGCATGCACGCGCGTGTGTGTGTGTGTGTGTGTGTGTGTGTGTGTGTGTGTGTGTGTGTGTGTGTGTGTGCGCGTGTGTGGACCTACAGCAGACTGTTCATCTGGTTTGTGATATTTCTTTCCTCTGTTTGTGAGTCCTTTTCCATCAATATGGCAGCTTGTTTTGATTTCCTTTTTTTTCAATTCATTTTGCTGTACTTCCTGTTTTGTTTTGCGCCACTGCCCCTCACCTTGCGCTCAGTTCTCTGAGTGGAGGGCGGCGTGACCCCACGGGGTAGCTGATTGATAGTAGTAGTAGTAGTGTGTGCGTGCGCGCGCGCGCGTGTGTGTGTGTGTGTGTGTGTGTGAGTACCTGGGTGTGTGACACCATTCAATGTATAGCAACATGTCATCATGTCACAGAATGTCCACATGCTACATGTTAATGTATAATAACTTTGGAATGACTGCGTGCTTCGGTCAACGTGGAACTTTCACCGTTGGAATTTTTAACATGTTGAAATCTGACAATAAGCTCACAATACATACTTCTAGCTTTCTGCACTCCCCCGGTGCCGTATTGATATTTTCCATTCGTCAACGTAGGCAGGAGCAAAGCCAGAAGAGCCAAATTGATCTGTGGCAACAAGAAATGTGTGGTCACACAATGTAATTATTTTAATTTAATTTTTTTCTTATTTTACTAGGAAATTCCCAAAAGACGTCATCGCCTTCTTACAGGGAACCCTAAGAACATCTTGATGGATGATCGAAATTCAGCAGGTGAATTAGAAAGGCGGTAAGCAGGTGGCAGTGCATTCCACCGGTCAGCGCCTACGTAAGAAATCGCACTGTAATATGGTCACACAATGTAATATGATCACACAATATATGGTCACATAATGTATGATCACACCATGTATGGTCACACAATGTATGATCACATAATGTATGATCACACCATGTATGGTCACACAATGTATGATCACATAATGTATGATCACACCATGTATGGTCACACAATGTATGATCAGTTGATCACATAATGTATGATCACACAATGTATGGTCACACAATGTATGATCAGTTGATCATATAATGTATGATCACACCATGTATGGTCACACAATGTATGATCACATAATGTATGATCACACCATGTATGGTCACACAATGTATGGTCACACAATGTATGATCACACAATGTATGATCACATAATGTATGATCACATAATGTATGATCACATAATGTATGATCACACAATGTATGGTCACACAATGTATGATCACACAAGGAAATCTAGGTACAGGTACATCCAGTTACAACCAAGACAACATTGTCTAGGAACCTCAGTCTCACAAGATAGAGAAAAATGTATGCAGTACATGTAGTTTCACCAGAGGATGCATCCAGCTTGCTCCGGAGCGGAGAGTGTTCGAATGTCGCGGATCTCCATAATTTTTTTTAAGTGCTGCTGCTGCAGCATTGTCATACTCAAGCTGAACTGATATGGGCTGATTGTCTCGAAACACTGCGTATTGAGCAGGGAGTGGTACAGTCTTGCAGGCTTTTTCTACAAAGAACACAAACCCGGCTCGAGACAAAAAAATTAGAACAAGAAAGATAACAAAGTTGCATGCAGGGAGAACGAAGAAACGATTAGAACACAGAAGTTGAGGGTTGACAGAACAATATTAACTATTAGTCGGGGCTGACTAATAGTATCCACTAGCGCAGCTGTGTAGGTGGGGCGTTGTGGACTCCTCCGACCAGAGGTCTCGGTATCCTTGCACACAACGCGCACCAGGGGGGGGGGGGGGGGGGGGGGGGTAAAAAAGAAAGAAAGAAGAAAGATCAACTCGGATCGTGAACCAATTAAATTATGGTGAAAAAAGAAGGACAAATGTTACGAGTTATGACTAACTGTCCACCAACGTAACCAGATCTTATACAGTCAGCGAGTGCGACAAAATGGCACAAAACTGACAAGGAGTACTGAGACATTCGGCGACCTGACACCTAGCTCCAACACTTCTCCAAGGCGCAAACCAACAACGCTGTGGACTCAGTCCACGCGCCCAGGGCCGGCACGCCTATTGCTTTGGTCGGAGATTTCAATATCGACACATCGTCTTCCAGAGCCGCCCAGCTGACGCATCTTCAACACTTCTGCGGTAACTTTAATTTTGAACCACGTCACTGAATCGACGCGTGTTGGACGTGGTAGGTCCAGAACCACCATAGACCTCCTATTGGCTGAGGACGGTGCAGTGGGCTCTTGCCGCGTTCTCCCGCACAGCCTCAGTGACCACCTCCCCATCTTGGCTACCCTTGCCTTCGAAATGCCAACCGTGCCAGTACTCAGATCTAGCCGAAACACAAGAGGAATAAATCTTCCGCAGCTCTGCCAGGACTTGGTCAACTCTCGTCTAGAAGACTTCAGCACGGCGAAATCCTTGGAAGATATGTGGCAGCTATGGTAGGACAAGGTCACCTCACTCCTTGACAGGCATGCTCCTGTCCAGGAGCACCGCTTATCCAGCTCTAGACATCAGATTCTTACAAGATCCCCATGGAAAACGGCCGTTTACCATGATGCAGTCCGCGAACGAAATCATGCCCACCATGGTTGGCTCCAAAAACCTACGGACACGGAACTTTACGACACATTTTCAGATGCCCGCAAAGCAGCTTGCTCGTCAGCTGAAATCATCCTACTACACACAACTACTGGACACGTGTCAATCCAACCCCCGGAAAGCTTGGAAGGTCCTCAACGACCTCTGCGGTCGGAAGAAATCGTCAACTCCTACTCGGCTCACTGCGTCTGCCCTCAATGCCCAATTCAGTTCAGTTGTCAGCGATCCGCAGCGACCTGATGTCCTATCCCAACCTGAGGGACCGGGCATTGCAGATGGCTTGAACCGCTTCGAACCAGCCACATGCGAAGAAGTGCTTGCTCTCCTACTGAAGGTAGACGAGAGGAAGGCCACGGGTAGCGACAGAATTCCCTGCTATGTGTTGCGACACTGCGCTCGGGTCCTCGCCCCGTCACTGACTATCTTGATGAACGCGTCACTGGCCATCGGGAAAGGTTCCGATAATGCTGAAATTGGCCCATATTCGCCCCATTTTCAAGGCAGGAGACCCCGAAACTGCTAAGAACTACCGCCCTATATCTTCGCTCCCGGTTGTTTCAAAGATCCTGGCAAGGATTGTGCATAAAAGGCTCTGTGTGCTCCTAACCGAACATGACCTCCTTCCTGCCGAGCAATTCGCTTACCGAGCCCACCACTCCACGGAGGACGCAGTCTTGTTGGCTGTGGATCAATTTTACGAAGCCGCAGACCAGCACCTGCATACCGGCGTGGTGCTCATTGATATGAGCAAAGCTTTCGACAAGGTCCAACACCAGACCTTGCTCCAGGATCTCTTCGAACTTGGTGTCTCCTCTACGGCACTGGACTGGTTTGCGGACTACCTCAGCGCACGACGCCAGTGTGTGGTCACTGCCAACGGTACATGCTCAGAGGAAACAGCTTGCACGTGCGGTGTCCCCCAGGGAAGCGTGCTTGGTCCGATATTATTCGCGATCTACACGAGATGTGTCGCATCAGTAGCTGACCCGGTGCGTACACTAAATTTCGCGGACGACATCATGCTGTACCTGAGCCACGCTAGCGCGCACGCCATCAACATCACCCTTTCCGCAGCAGTGTCGGCTGTCGCCAGGCTACTCGATGCCAAAGGGCTTATCCTCAACACCGGAAAGACGCAAGTGCTTGCAATCAAAGCTGGACGGCAGGCACACCTCAACCTCCACATTACTTGCACTGGCACGCCTCTTGCCCAGATCAGTACGGCTCGCTACCTCGGAGTCACTCTGGACGAAAATCTTCGCTGGTCACCGCAAGTCACCTCTATCGTCCGACGCACGGCTATGAAGCTGCGGATCCTCCGCCAGATCTGGCACTGCCTAACAGTGCGGCAGGCGATGCTGTATTTCTCTGCCCTTGTCATACCGGATATTCTATATGCGTCGAATGCGTTTCTCCCAGGACTGTCCGCTGAGCAGCGGAACACAGTAGCCAAACTGGATAAACGTTGCATCCGTTGCGTGGCCGATGAGCACCCATTGGCCCACACTCTTCCCCTGTACACCAGGCTGGGTGTCTGCCCAGTGCTGGAACGAGGGGAATTCAAGCTCCGACTCCTGACATTTAGAATCCGTTCTGGAATCGTCAGTGAGCTGTTGTCGTCCCGAATTGTATTGCAAGGCCCGCCGACAGGCATGACCACTCGAGGTCAATTGGGACGCAACCTTCCCCTCCCCCTGGCCCACAGTGCTTCTGGCGCATGCCGGCCGCTTCTAGCCAGCTGCCGACTCTGGAATGGCCTGCCCGACTGTATGAAGTCCATAGTATCTGTCCGTGAATTCAAACGCATGCTACGCGTATTTTACTTCGGTTAAATGTAATGGCTTTCGTAACCTGCTGATGAGGCTCGATAGAATCATGCTACGATGACCCGACTTGTAAATTTGAGATCCATTTTTTCTGCTCGTCTTGACCCTGCCTCCCCTCATTGCTACTTCCATTTTCGTATTTTTATTTTTATTTATTTTCTCTTCATTTCTGACTCTTCTTACTGGTTGTCATCGCTTTCATAATATTGGGCAGAACTGCCCGTTTGCCATGCGATGTAAAATACATAAAAAACAACAACAACAACCTTCCAACTTGGAAGGATCAGGTTCGGAAAGGTCCAAGAGGGGAAGGAAAGCGCAATGAAGAAGAGCACGAGCTACACATCACGGCAACAAATAATTCGTCTTCGCTTAGCTTCCCCTTTCTATGTTTATTACATAAACTTGAGCCTCCCAAGTTGGGTGGTCTGTTGCTTTGCGTTGTCGAGTTGTAGTACGGCCGGTATGTCCAATAGTCTTACTAGTTTCGTCATCATCCAGTAACTTTCGGCATTCTTTGTTGTCGTGATGCATAGCTCGTGCTCTTCTTCATTGCACTTTCCTTCCCCTCTTGGACCTCTCCGAACCTGAGCCTTCCAAGTTGGATGGTTGTTGGTTTGCGCCTTGGAGACGTGTTGGAGCTAGGTGTCCGGTCGCCGAATGTCTCAGTACTCCTCGTCAGTTTTGTGCCATTTTGTCGCACTCACTGACTGTATAAGATCTGGTTACGTTGGTGGACAGTTTGTCATAACTCGTAACATGTTGTCCTTCTTCTTTTTTCACCAAAGAAGAAAGAGTTAGGCCATCAGGTAGTATGCTAGTCTGTGGTGTACACGTCGACAGCAGTCCCACAAGTTTGCTCGAGGAGGTACTTGTACACTGCCACTTTGAAGCGTTCCAACGCTGCCTTGGATGGGGGGGGGGGAGGGGGGGGGGGAGCGTTCAGGATGGCAGAGGGTAGAGCATACTATGTTGTTAGTAGGCCGAAAGGGGAAGGATCGGTGTAGGATGTCAGTACTTGTTGTGGGGAGGGGGTGCGACAACTGGAAGGCATGGGAGTGTTTCACTTGATGTTGGGGGCGGGTTTCGGGGGTGGGCTCAGGGGCAGCAGGTGGCAGCATGTCTGTCAGCTGGGCCGGACCGGAAATGTAGTGCAGCTTGAACAGGTAGCACAGT